TGATCGGCTGGGCAATTCTGTAAGTTAAGAGAATGAGGGACCCTGGTAGGATGACATTATGAAACAGAAGACGCAAAGGGGGCACGGTAATCCGGGTTTCCTCTTGCTGCTCTCTGGCTTGGACAAGCTGAGGTATGCATTGATGGATGACAATCAGGTTTTCGGCGGTGTATTTACACCGAGTCTCTTACAACTATATAATAGGACCTTAAATTCTGAGTAGTGTTGGTCTTGGTACTGTTTTCATCAGTAAATAATGAGATCCTCGAAGGTTTGAAGCGATGTCGAGTTACTCCATTAGAATCTTGCAGGACAAGACGAGTATTGTCCATCCAGAATGTGACCGGGACGCCAGCCTAAGTTGGCAGTGCGAAGTCCACGAGGAACCAACATGGAGCAGGATGGATGAGAGGGTTTGAGGCGAGGAAAGAATAACGATGTCGTTGGTTCTTGGTTGATATATGTAGAAGTAGTTGACCATCAGGTCCAGCAAGCTCAGATGAGAAACAAGTTGGGATGGGGGAAATTTGGAAGGAAATCGCAGAGAAAGGCCGATGCCTAACACAAGGCAACAGATCCAGGCACTTTCGGCGGTAAACATGCGGGTCTGAGGTGCTCTCCGCAACAACAACAACAACCTCCTAAACAAACGACTAAGTCTCAAATCTGTCGTCATGACCTTTGAAATCAGCAATGCTGGCAGAAGCTTTGATTGCAGTCCATAAGCCAAACGACAGTTGCCATATCCGTGTCTTCGGTTGGCTGCAGCTCGCGTATCTGAGTTAACCAATGTAATCTGATCTCAAGACACGGTTACTCGCTCACTCCTCAACGAAGCACAAACAATGTGAGTGTTCCACAGCTGTCATTCAGTTAGCCAGTCAGCCAACCTGCTTAACACAGCGATTCCACTTATCTTCACATCCGCCTTCAGAATCACCACATCCAACCGTTGCCGGTTGAGGGAGTGGCAGAGGCAAGCTGTCCATCCAAGTCAGCGTTTGCCGAAACACATCTCAACAAACCCACGGATAACCTGAAGAGCTCACTTCATGTGGTTGAGATCGATGTCATTACATCAACGAGCAAACGAAGCATTGCTCACCGGAGGTACACGCAGGATAAACCTTCCCCCGTTTCGCAAACCACACAGGATCATCCAAGGCAATTGTTTTTAGACTACCACTCAAATGCACTAATCAGACAGTAAGACATCGTTGCGGCCTCTCGCCTTAAGTTGCAGGTTTTCATACCCCGCGCGAAACCCCACGTAATGAATCGGAACTGTGGCTCAGGCAAGCAATGAACAGGATTGATGGACCAGCCCATCTACATACATACTGTACTTAATTTGGGGTCCGATCTCAGATAGCCATGTCTATCCGTCTAGATCATAGAACATATCTGGAACTACTATGTCGGATAAATCCGGACGGAAACTGCTCACCCTCACTTTCCGTGACCCCACCATACTCCAACGCCATTTGCGCCGGCTTTCTGGGTGCTTGTTTTACTTGCAATGCAACTGCTGACCAGGGATTTAATGACATGAGATCGGGCTGAGTTGTATTGTGCAAAGTTGCAGTCAAGTGCTTGAGTGCCATTCGGGAGGACCTCGCGGGTCTCCGCTAGGAGATTCGATAGTCTTCTATTGACTTGGCTCCATGGCGTCGGGTAGTCAAGCTGCCATAGTTGTCCATACAGACTGCTTGTATGGCATTTCTTGCCAGCAACTTCTCTGACTGGATCGATTTGGGGGGAGGGGGGGTGGTGAACAAACGATAATGTTCATCTTACACGTATGCTTTGATTCCGGGCGTCGTATGCCCGCTTGATCCGTGATTGTTGCCATGTGACCTACCCGCCCGGTCCGATGTGTTAGTTGCAGTGACTTCAAAGCAGTGCCGTTTGGATTGTGATAAAGTATCGCATTTGCTTCTATAGTTGCCTTGGCGTGTTGGGGGTGCATCTGATTGCAATAGCTTCCCGCTACGCACCATCCGTACCTATTCGGGTCACTGCCAGTAATAGCCCTGAAAGGCTTCGTCGCAGAGGTTGTGGAGCAGAATGGAGAGAAGACCGACATGTGGAGATTTGAGTGTTCATCGCCAGCGTTTGACACGGTTGTGCCTACTACCGTTGCCCTCCTGCGTTCGTTGCCAATTTGAGAGAGATGTGCTTGTGGACATCCAGTTAGGGATGATTTTGATGCTGCTGTCGAATCGATGGAAACCCTACCTTCTGGAAAGGTGTCGGTGTCCTAAGCAATCCAGAATTCGTAACAGCAAGGGGAGGGCAAGAGAATTAGCCAGGGTCATGATACGTCCGAAAGTAAAAAATTGCGGACCTCCAAAGTTGCGCATCACGGCCTTGCGTTTTCTCTCATGACGCTAAAATTACCAAGGAGCGCACTGTAACCCTCACAGGGTATTGAAGCGTTGGTTGGGCCTGCCTCGCTCATATTTTAGGCCAGTCTAAGAAAATATGGAACCTCGTCCGACCTGAGACTGGGCACCATAGCGACGGGTCGCCGGTTGGCAATTAACCTATATCTTGGGAAAGGAGGAATTTAGGTACCCAAGTGACAGATCTCCGTGTTTGAGCGACGGCCTCGGAGAGTGTCAAGTCTCCGAAAAGGGTGATCATCTTGTCATGAAACCCGTCAGAGATTCCGAGGTCCAGGAACCCGGAAGCGGCGTACATCCACTCACTACACTACATGCGTGGCATTGACACATGGGACGTTCGCTTAGTGAATGCGGTATGACGACGTGCTCTCATGATCTTGCTGAGCGGCGGCCACCAACAGCAAGGAGAGGCACGATATCCTCGGATTGGCGATGCATGAGATTTTGCGCCTCGTAGCGATATCAGACCATGACGTCTGAGTATAACATCCGCGCGCTTGTTCAATTGACGTAAAAATAGGATCAAGCCTTGTACATCGTTTAGCCGAAGATGAGAGTTCGGCTCAAGTTCATCTCGTCATCGTTGGCGTCGTCGTCGCTATAGATCAAATGAATATCGGCCGTATACTCCTGTCAGCATCTGCGAGTCAGCGGCCTTGTCCGTTGACCTTACAGCCTGACCCATCTCCTGATGTCAAGCTGCCAAAAGCCACGCGTATGCAACTTAATCGTGGGGGCAAATTGCATTCCAGAACTAGGGAATGTAATTTGGCATTGACTAACTTGACCTAGTCAATTCGGGATATTGCATGAACCGTCACGGGAGGTGCTCACCAATTTGCAGTCAAAGCAGGGGTACCGCCGTAAACGCATCTGCGTGCTCTGAAGACTGTTCTCGCCTGGCAACCGTCAACACCACGTAGGCCCAAATTGTACCAATATGTTGACATCCCTGTATCGTAGTCTATCGCATGACTAGTCTGACAGTTTATTTGCCGCCATCACACATTGGGCAGCAAGTGTAAGATCGACCAAAGCTCGGAATCTTCACGATCTACATTGGCCTGCCCGTCAAATACTACCTACCCAAAGGTGGTACTGCGGGGAACCAGGGGTGCGTTAAGGCAACACGGATAACGATTGACATCTGCGCTTGTCAATGTCCACGGGGAGTAAATGCGTCGTTGAACACTTGAGGCCCTGGAAGTCGACTGCTTTGGCGAATTCATGGATAATCGCCACGTGTAGCGGGAATTTGATTCCAGATACGTTGGTGTTCAAATCCATCAACCACGGGTCCGCGCCGGTGAATGGACAGTCAAGATGCGCCGTCAACATGACCGTGATATCGATTGGCACATCACTGCCACTCGCGGAACGGAGGATCATTGCCGTTGAGGTTCTGATGGTACCATCATACTTTGTAGATGTAGTCCGCACTAAGCATTATATATGAGCGGTGCGGTATGTGGGTATGCATACTGCACCTGCTCGCGCAAGTGCTCCGACAGGGGGATAAGCTGCAGCTGGGTGCACCATCGCAGGCGTTCCTCAACGGCAAGGAAGGTCGTTAGACCAAGCGGGTCGCCCATGATGTTCAGATGAATTATTGCAGCGTCGGGACGGGTGGCCCCTGTATCGTTTCGTCGCCATACCCCGCCATGAGTTGCTCGCTGTAGACTTGGTACTTTTTCGAGTAATGAAAGACGCCAAGATTATCATTAGTCAAATGCGTCGCGTGACCTTGAATGATGCCCAAATTCCACTTGAGGAGCAGCGAGGCTGAATAAAAGGTCAAAGCAAAAGGCTTGAATGACCATTACTCGTTATTACCCCTGGTGATCACCAAATCGGGCTTTTTGGGTTGGCGGCTGTCGAGTTGGCCCATGACCCACTTTGGAGTGTGTCTCATCCGTCCCTGAGTAAGGAATGGCAATTCGATACTTGGCGAGGTTGAATTTGGTCCTGCTACACCCTCAGGATTGATAACTGGTTGTTGACTGGTGTTCGAGTGTTAGACTGAACTTTCATTTGCGGCCGGCCCTGGCCGCCACTAATGTTGCACCCCAACATCATCCTGCGGGACGGGATGTGATGCCACTGCCCAATCGACTGACGACATTGGTGTAATGGTGGCCACACCACCTTCCTGCTCGCATCAAGGCGTACGGTGGGGATGATATTGACTGTGAAGGATCGTCGCGCAAAAAGCATCTCGTTCAACAAGCGACAGGCAATTCTGAAAACAGGATGCTTGCGTGTACTTCGCAATTTTCTGGGCTTCGCCGTGTTGGTCTTGATGGTCTCGGACGCCGCACCAATATTCTCATTTGATGCGGGGTGGTGCCTGCCGCACTTGCAGAAGCGCGAGCCTAGGGCGTGCCCTCGCTGGGATACAATTGTGGCGATGTTAATAGTACCGCAGCAAACGAGAGTTATCTATTGATACCTAGAAAGAGATATTGTGAGCTAGGGCAACTCCGCGACTGGGGCTATTGGGAATTGTGCTGTGCAGGTTGTAACTGTCAACTCTTGGCCAGACAGTTTTCCCAGCAACCTATTTGACAATTGCGATGCTAAGAAAAAGGGCTCGAGGGCTGCTTCATCTTCATTGCATTGTGTTAAATCCTGGTCTCCGTGTTCTCCGCCTCTCCATTTATTAAACACAGCAACCGATGGAGTCCTAACCGTGCGCGCGGTACTCCGTCATCACATTCTGGCTATTTTTCGCTACCACCCGGCCTTTCTGCAATGTCTGGCCTTTCAGAGCCAAACATTGCACTGGACTGATGACAGGGGCTCTGGGAAGCGACGCCAAAGGGTGCATCAACTAGACCCGTCGTAGCTAGGTGCCAAAAAGCCTTGCCAGCCATGCATGAAGTACCGCCAGATCGCGACGGCAGGTACTTGTCCCAGCAACATTCCGCGTTAAGAGGTACCCTTCTCTGGCCTCCACGCCCGGGCTGAAGTACACCGTTATGTCGTCTCTTCACCTCTTTGCCTTTTGCTGGCCTTTCCTTGCTTGGATGATGTCGGCTAGCTGGAATTCTATCCCCGACCCTGGCCTTGTCCAATGTCGCTTGAGTGGCCTGCGCAATTGCCCTGCGGAACCTGTTACTGGGGTCGGCCGCCCTGTCCTCTTAAGTCATAATTGGCTTGCTCTGTGCACCGACCCGGCCACTGCTAATTGCTGCGATGCTTCGTCCATCATCCCGGCTTCACTTCCTCCCACACTTTAACCCACTAGACTACTGCACCTTTGGCAAATCCAAACTGGCACGACCCTCAGACACGACGACACGAGCTTGTCGTCTGTTTAGACGGCTCTCGAATTGCATACTGGCTACCCTCTGCATGCATCATCAACAACAACAACAACAACAACAACAATAACAATCAGCAGCTCATGGCGCCCTCCACTTGCGCCTCCTGAGTGTCTGATTTAGCAAACAATTCCGTACCGGCTCCGCATCCCATCGGATAGGGACAGGACAGAGACGCCGCTTGCTGGATAGAATCTCTCAATGCATCGATCCGTGTCCGAACTTCAAAGCAGACAGCGCTCTGCCGCGCTTTAGACGCGAGCCGTACGAGCAATGGAGGCAGACGCTCTTGCATCGCATTCGACTTTTGCCTTGTCGACGCGCCTCAATTCGAATTCTCGAAGGCAGCTAAGACGAGACCTTTCCACCAGGAGTCAGAAGTCACAGAAGTTGACGGAGCTGCGAGAAGCCAGGCAAAGACGGTCGCCACCACTACCAGTGGGGACACAACCAGACTCGCCAGCGAAACCGAGGTCCCGCCCATCGCCCACCACGGCACCTAAGCCTTTGTTGCCTGCGACAGAGAGGAGATCGGGGAATGACGGGAAGCATACCAAATCCAAGAAGGAGTCGGAGGGGGATAAGTGGGATATCGCACCAGATGGAGGTTCTGCAGGTCGCGAAGGGAGGCAATTCACTGTTGCCAATGTAGGAAATAATGGCAAAATTTACCTGAGGTAAGCTGCTCAACGAAGCCGTGAGCCGCATCTGGACCCGGTCAACAAAAAGACGACGTATCGTGCCGTTAGGGATATGCATGCGTTGCAATGGTCCTTGAAGCTGACAATGGTGCAGGCCTACGGTTCGACCCGCAAACCAGCGGTATCCACAGCCACATTTTGTCTTTCCAGTTACACCGCCCAGTACAGCAGGCTTAGATGCTTTTAGCAGTAGGAGGGATATAGGTGATGGGACGAGCGATTTCTACGGCAGCCAAAGCCAGTTGACTCCATTGACGGCGCCTTCGTCTCCTGAACTCTCAAGACAGTCGAGGCCGTTCGACCCACGGATATCCAGAAGGTCGTCCCATCATCGACGTGCTGTGTCCGAATCAACAATTCAGGATCCGAGCATAGCTCGCGAATCCGACATTGGGGGATTCAAAGTGGTAATATCGAAGCCGAGGAACGAGTCAAGGGCCAGGACAACCGAGGATCTTGATGCCGATGGAATGCCCCTGCTGCAGGTCTCGATCCCGACGTGGAAGCTGGGCACACCGCAGTTCACTACTCGAGGAACACCCATCATTCGAGGTTCTTCTTACGCGCCAACAGAGGACGTTCGTTCAAGCAATGTCTCGTTTTTTCCCAGGTCTCACGTGAATTCGTTGCATAACACACTGCATCCCCAGTCGTCAAATACCACAAAACCTAGTCCGACACCTCATATCACGCTCCCTTCGCCTCACATGTTGGACCCCACCTCACCTCGACCCACTATACCGTCTCGGGCAACATGTCTCCTGACCGATCTCGTCATAGAACCGGGCATGTTCGACAGCCTGACATTCAAGCCGTTTTGCGACGATCGTTCCATTGTACGCTATTCATCCAACACCGGCGCAGTGACGGCAGCTGCGCCATCGCGGCTCGTCGCGGAAATAACCTCGCCAAGCTTCTTGGATTACGAACTACTATCTGATTTCTTCCTCACGTTTCGCGCATTTTTGGAAACTAGTGACCTGCTTCGAATGCTGATTGCCCGACTGAAATGGGCTCTTCGCCGAGATGACGAAACGGGCATGGTCGTTCGAGTGCGAACTTTTGTAGCAATCAGGCATTGGATTCTCAACTACTTTGTGGACGACTTTGTCGTAGACTACCATCTCCGCGTCACATTCTGCGATCTTCTCAACGAATTTGTCAATGAGATCTCCCAGGCCCCTCGTGGACATAAGACACAGATTAAGATCCTGTCCGAGCTCAAGAAGTGCTGGAGACGTGTCTGCTCGCAATACTGGGATGGTCCTGAATTCGACTCCAACTTGGCCCCCGAGTTTCCCATCGCCCCCGGTGGCATCGCTGGCCATCGTAATCCGAGTTTGGACCCGAGCTTTTGGGAGACGAAGTCGTACGATCCACCCTGCCTAGGACTCGAATTCAGCGAGCATGAGGCACGTGGGGAGACAAGTTTCTACTTGGATGTGGACAAGGCTGGTCATATCAACTCGGTTATGCATGTAGGCGAAAGGCCCAGCACACCACCATCTCGGCATACTGCCTCTTCGGAGAGGACCAGGACTCGAGCATCGCCAACGAGCATAGCAAGTTTGGACGTTATTTCTTGCTCGTTCCCTATTAAGAGTATGCGAATACCCGATCCAGCAACAAACTATCCGATGACGACCCATCCTGTTGATCCCAGCTCAGTATACGCGAATACCGATCCAATCGCGCCAACCCCGCGTGCTTTGACTGGCAAACGGGTCCGGCCGCACAAGCGCAATAACAGTATTGCGGACTCACTCAGAGAGCACACGACAACAGAGAAGGTTATTTACAAGAATGCCGAGTTCTTGCTTGCCCTTCCGTACGCAGGCAGTCTGGTTCGTGGGAATTTGCTCCCCCCTGGACAAGCATTCGTGGACGTCATGCCCCCAAGCTCAGCAGGCGGAAGCCGCCAAACGACAGTATTCCAGCCAAGTCCACAAGTGCAGAAAGACAAGAGCGCTGCCTCAGCAGTGTCAGGTGCCGGGATGAGGAAGCTGCTTGGGAGCGTTAGCCGAGCATTGAGCAACAACAAAGGGCAGGCTGTTTCCCCTACGCAAGGGAACTTTCTCAATACCTCTCCCACTGGACCTCGAGGTGTGACGGCAAATCGAATCCCTGGCACTGCCGTCGTACCTCAAGCATCCCCACAGCGCCCGAACGATTACCGACCAGCCGTCCGCGTCGACATTCTGGGTGCTGAGGTAGCTGAAGACTTCAAGAAGGCCGTGCGAGAAGATTCTGTTGATGCTGCGACCCACGCACTTGCCAGCAAGATATTATCTGAGAGTTATGGATATTCGGCAGCCCAACTCAACTCCTCGTTCGATCTTCCTCTTGGCTCGGGTTTCCGCCCCTTCAGTGACGCAGCTATCACCGCAGGCAGCAAGTCAATCGTCATTGTCGACGACACGTTTCCTTCGGACTACCCCGCTATGACCGGTGCGCTCCTTCCGTTGAATGATTCTGGCGATAATTTTGCAGGCAGCTTTGCCCGTCCAGAAGCAGATCCCACGCCACCAAACACGCCGCCTGGCCGAAATCTCCTGAACAACCCATCGAGTTCATCCTACCCACGCGGTCAGCACGTTCTGAGCCCATCCTTACCGCTAGAGGATCCTTTGCCACCATTTGTTCCCGATTTGGCGACGCTAGGGGGTAAAAGGCTTTCCGAGGATACAGGGACGCGTCCGTCCATCGACCGTCCATCAATGTGCTACATCAAGCAATCACCCAACCGACACCCGCTGACGAGCATGAGATACCACAAGAGACAGCAATCCAGTCGCAGTTTCCGTTCCAAGCGATCTAATGCCCGATCCATGGCCAGGTCAGTGGCCCACCGCAGATGGGCTTCTTTCCAGAGTGTGATTCCGCAGTCAATTAAGAGTTTTGATGCCACAACCTACTCGGAGGCAGCATCGGTTGCGTCGGAAGTGATGTCCCCTCCGGCCCGAATGCTTCGAAGACGACCTGGCGGAGATCTGAGGGGTGTGCAAAATGTGGCCGAGCTCGATGCTTTCCCGCTACAGCGATCGCGGTCGGTCGGCTCTCTTACAATCTATTCGGAGTCCTTGAGAAGTTCCTATCTCTGCAGCCGCCGCCGGGATTCCTGCGATGGCTTCGTGGATGTCGTCAGTAGCGATTATTCCCATAACCGCCAGGAAGTTTTCTCTTTGGGGACTTTGGCAGAGAAGACGCCACAGCACCACGAGGTATCCCTGTTCACTACCCACTCGTCTAAACCTGTAATGCGACCTTCCTTTGAGGCTGAAGCCCAGAAACTGGCACAAATACCCGATGATTTGGACGATGATGGAGGTGTCGAGTCTGCGTTAGCAAAGCTGGAAGGTAAGATCTATGAGAAAAAGCTGGCCAAGTTGCCTGTCTCAATGCAGCCTTCCAACGAGTCTGTGCCCGGAGTCGCAAATCATAGCGTTGGGAGTGCGGCTGATCTTCCTGTGGAGCACCCTACTACGCCAGAGAAGGAGAAGAAAAGGCACCGTATCCAACATGTTGGGGATGAGCACATGCTCCCTCATGGCACCGAAGCAAAAACACGCTCGACACGTCACGTATCAGAGACTTTAGGTGTAAAATCGTTTCTATCTGGTTCCCAAGAGTCTTACTCGTCGATCCCACTGCTTGATCGGGGATTAACGGACGGCGGTCGAAGCAAAACAAATACCCAATGGACCAACCAGTCGATCCTGCAGGGCCCAGAAGACAACCAAACCCCCGTCGACGAAGCCTCACCTTCCTGTACATCTTTTGAGTTCATTCAGAAGACTCAGAGCATGGACCAAATTAAGCCAGTGTCAAACGCCACTAGATCCAGCGACTTCCAGTCATTCCGTGACGTATACAGCGACCGTGACTCTGATCTGTCTTCTGAATTATCTCTTGAAGTGGTCGAATCCGACGACTATGCCGCCAAGTCGGCTAGAAGACCAAGCACGATCAACACCGAGATCCCGACTAATGTCAACGCGCAAGCACACCGGTTGATAGATGATCATCCGCCTTCTCCTCCTACGACTATGGAGCAAGTTCTTCAGTTGTCGCCGGAGACCGCGTGTGTGCCTCAGTTGCACGAGAATCAAATCTGGGAACAAAAGTCCCTGCCGTCAACCCCCGACACAACACCGTTTACTGCGATGTATCAGCAACGCATGGCTTCTCCACGCGATCCTACTGGGACACGGGAAGCTATCCGGCATACGCCACGATTCCAAGACGACATGAGTGAGCAGAGTTCAGTACACTTGCCTTTCATACTTGCATTTGATTCGGAGGTCCTGGCCCAGCAGTTTACTCTGATTGAAAAGGACGCCCTTAATGAGGTTGATTGGAAGGAGCTGATCGATATGCGCTGGAAAAATTCCCACAGTGACTGTCGCTCATGGGTTGATTTTCTTCGCAACAGTGACGCGCGTGGAGTCGAGGTAGTTGTTGCTCGCTTCAACATCATGGTCAAGTGGACTATCTCGGAGATCGTGCTTACACGAGATATTGAAGAGCGCGCGCGCTGCATCATCAAGTTCCTACACATAGCTGCACACTGTCGGAAGTTTCGCAATTTCGCCACTATGAGCCAGATTGCTCTGGCGTTGACGTCCAACGAGGTGGCGAGACTGACAAAGACGTGGACGATGGTGCCTCCTCACGATCTCAGGACCATGCAAGAACTCGAAACCCTGGTGTCACCAACCAAGAACTTTTACAACCTGCGAGCAGAGATGGAAGGAGGTGCAACTACCGCTGACACAGGATGCATCCCCTTCGTAGGCATTTACACGCACGATCTCCTATTCAACTCGCAGAGGCCTTCGGAAATTGCCAGTTCGCCGACTACTGCACCGCTGGTCAACTTTGAGCGCTGCCGTATCGCCGCTTCCGTCGTTAAAACTCTCCTTCGTTTACTGGAGGCAAGCACTCTATATGAGTTCCAGCCAATCGAGGGCATCACCGAGCGTTGTCTCTGGATGACTGCCCTTAATGATGACGAGATCAGGCGGCATTCTGAGGGCCTGGAGCCTTCACCCGTCTAAAGACTACAACACAATCAAATTACACCATGACATCACAATATCATTTCCTAAATCTGTACATCGAATGTACTCACCGAACTGCTGCTCAACAGCCTCTTTTCCATTTAACACCACCACCATTATAGAATATGCACTGCTCACGCACGCCGCCCTGTACCAGCACAGACTGTACTATCTTAATCACCACGACACCACTGTCACGTTCGACCCTTGCTTTTCATTCGACGCATATTAAATGAGCAATCCATACCTCTGAATGCATTCCGGCGTCACGACCTTCCAACTCTGCATAACGTCGACTCGCTTTTCCTTGTATCTAGCTTCGCTTCTCTGCATAGCAACGTAGGGTAGTGACTCAATCATCGGCGCCACGAAAGCGACAAAGGAGAATCATTGATACACCGGAGTTTGCTGTTTTTGCTTTTCCTTTTCTTGTTTCACGCCTAACGATTCGGGATCGGTTCATAAAAGATTTTTTGAAGGGAGTTTATTTTGGGGAAGAGGGTTAGAAAGAATAAGAAGAAGAAGAAGTGGGAGACAATACCATCAGGACACTGGTGCTTCAGGCGCTGACCGGGCGGATGTTTCAGATACCCAAGCGAGAGAAGAGAAGAGAAGAGGTCGTGTTGGATCACTTAGATATTCAGGCCAATAGCATGTGTAGCTTCCCGGGCTACGTCGTTCTTTCCTGTCTGTTGTCACCGGGCGTTGAGTAGAGTGGTACGTAGATAGAGAAGGCAACTGTTGTGATAAGATGACCCGAAGAAGAAGCTATTTTTTGCATGCTGGTGATTTGTCTGGTTCTCAGGATCTCAGTTGGAAATCAAGTTTATACCCGACATAGATACAGCCGCGTTGGTACGACCTACTTTCATCTTACATTATCCTAGCCACTACGGGCATTGGAGTAATTGGCTTCGTGCTGCACCGCCGCTACAGATCTATTGGTAGGGCTTCTTACTCGCATTCCAAGTTCGTGGCTGACCATTCTTGCCACTTCCTACTACCCCACGTCGCCCAACTTAAGTGTCAAGAATTTCCTGAAGGTTCAACCAATCAATCAATGGGGCGTTTGGTCTAGGGGTATGATTTTCGTAAGTTATCAATATTATAGCTTGTGGGTTACAGTAGAACCCCACACTAACGGTAATAGGCTTCGCACCATCAAGCGCGCTTGTGAAAGGTCATGGGTTCAATTCCCATAACGTCCAATCTTTTGGCCTTTGGGGTCTCCTTTTTGCCCTTTTCCCCAAGCCCTCCCTCTAATGTACATTTTCTGAGTTTGAACTATACGGTTGTTGTGCCGACACTAATCAATTTTTTGCTCTCTCTGGGAGCAGCATATCACACTAAGCGCAAGACTCGATGTACCCACCGGAACATTTTAAATCATGTTCTTATCTATGACAGTTTCCCCGCCCTACCCAGACGCGGCCTCGCAGTCACCACAATCATGCATCATACCTAATTTTCACAGCCACCTCTACTCTTTATGTATATACAACAAAACGGACGGAATACAGCTCCATAAGATCCATTACACCCGGGGCTTGTATTGTACGTTGGCCGCGTCGGCTTCTGCGCTTGGGTCCCATCCTCATCCTCCAACTCGAAATCAAACATGCCCCTGAAATACCAATAACAAGGGACATTTCGAATCTGGCGAACTTCATACCCACTGGTTTTCTAGTCATGGCTTAACCCCAGGAAACTTTAAGCAAGGATGACGGCCAGATCCCCACCCAAGATACGAATGTGGTTCTTGCTTGTCCTCGGCCCTGTCGGAAAGGTATCTAGCCCGGTCGAATTTCTCGGGGCCCGAGTACATGTCCGGACCGCGTGTCGCTGGTAAGCAGGTGCACGTTCATGACGGAGCTCTCTTTCTTCATCATGGTTATGGGTTGCTTGCTTAATCGTTAGCTGAAGTTGTCTAGCACGCCGGACCCAGGGTTGGTGGGCGTGCCATTGTGCCATTGGAGAGCTCTGAGTACTTATTTCTTGTCAATTCAAGAGTCGAGTCTGGTAAACGCTCTGAAGTCCAAAATGCGAAGGCCTTCAGATTCAAGAAGTGACGAGTCTGAAATCGGAGGACTCTCCATGCGAGAAAGTTCAAATGCTTGTTACCATAGTATGTCGCGCTCGATCATTACGTCTCTTCAAGACAGAACCGAGGTGTGGTTGATTATATATCACACTGTCGGCTGGTGTAGTTGGTCACTTCGCTGGTAGATAAGTCCCGATTTGAGCCTCGCCCACTTGGGTTGGTGACGAGTCGCGGGTTCGAATCCCGCAGCTGACACACAAGGGGGTTTAGTCAACCCTTACGGCGCGCTGCCCACCTTGTTGACTTCGCCTACCTAGCGATAATAGGGAGATTGGTGCAGTTTAGGATTACGAGCATCCTAGCCAGTCGACCGTCAAGCACTACGTCGGCGGAATATAACTCGACAGCCGGTCCAGAATTCGAATCGTTAATCCGACCCCTTATCGGACCTCGCCTATCCGATAACGCTCGTCGGCGAACCCGTCCCCTCACGATAGAAGGCGCGCAGCACGCCCCCTCGCCGCGATTCTTGCGAGCGTCTAGACCACGTTACGGTCTATCCACTTGAGCGTATGGTTGAGATGTATACGCTCGACGAGAACCCCAATTAGCAGATACTACGACTTGTCGCGACAAAAAAATAGTCGAGCATCTTCTGCACATCAGCAGCATCCCACCCCTGAGGACGAATTTAAGTGCCGCATTACCACACTTATCGGTAGTTCAGGCAGGGGTTGTAGCACAGACTTAGGGAGGGACAGGAGGTTTAGTAGTCGTTTGGCTACAAGTTTACCTGTATAACCGCCCGACGCGGCTTAAGGGCCCGCTATATCATCTATAGCCCCTTAAGGGAGTACTTGTAGAGGTACCGAGGGTTAACACCTACGGCGTATTTAATATTATATTATTTTTTATATCACACTGGAATCCACAGAAAGACCGACAGCGCATACCGCCGCTGCCCGCTGAGGCACCTGCAGAAGATCTGAACGAGCGGGTCTAGCTAAGCTGCCGTGGCAGTGATAAGTAAGCCAAGCAACACCATCGCTTTCGTGATTATCTGTTGTTCCCTTTCCTCGGACGAGTATGTTGGTCAGCGATAGCATCGGCTTTCTTGGGTGATTAAACCTGTGCTCACGCAACCGCCCGTCTCTAGGTTGACGCGAGGCGTATGTGCAGATGTCGAATACCTACCTGCCGAGGTGCTTACTTAGGGGCGGTAGTTACCGTGCTTGGGCAGCTTTCGGGTGCATCTCCTCTGGGTGAGGATTTCAAGCCGAGGAGTGCCAGTGTATTCGCATTATGAGCCAACGAAATCCAGGGTTCTACAGCTCGCTCGGCAGTCTGTTCTTCTTGCTGGGACATTGTCACTCTCTACCTCTTTTTTCTGGGATCTCTTTCTCTGGAATCATTTTCCGTGAGCATTTCGTACGAGGTTAATCAAGGTGGATGGGGAACTAGGTTGGACTGGCATCGTCGTCAGCATGCTGGGCGTCAACCAACCATTAGACTTTCCAATATTGGACGTCCAGTCCGGCATGTTTGGTGGGAACAACCTTCCGCAATTCCTTCCGTTTACGCTACCCAGCCCACTTCAGCACACTTCAATAGTGCAGACCCGACTTCTTGGGAAGGATGATAGAAGGATCCGTTAAGACTGGCTGGGGGTCGTCGATATTCAACTTCAAAATACTCAGATTGGACAGTCTACCAACCCAAGAAGACCAACTTGATCGGATGACTTGCTTTCCATTGGGAACATTGCCAAAAAAACAAAACGCGACATTCGTGCAGAGTGTTTGGACGGCCTAGGAAGTACGCCTCGGAGACTTCTAGTAGGCATCTCGAAGTGTACACTCGTATGCTACTGACGATCCGAACTAAGCGCTTGGACGTACTGGCCTGTCTATCTTGAGGCCGACGATGGTATCCTTAGCGTATGAGCTCATCATCTTTCCTGTATGCATGCTCAATTCCAATACGCGCATGCTTGCTCTGCTTCAAGTGTTAGCTCACCCGAGACAAGTCCAAGTTTGTCAGGAGTGGTTAGAGGCCTTGGAAATTACGCCACCTAACCTTAGATTTCTATGGTGCAGGTGCTGGAGAGATGCAAACTCAGTATAGATCACCTAGTCTTTCGCGAGGATCATATTTATCATAGTGAATGGAAGCTGAAAGAGAAGTATTCCGCATCTATAGGCAAATGTACTTTACCTTTACTGATGAAGACCTGCAAACTGCGTACATCTCATGGTCTGTTCATCAACTCGGACATGAGAGATGAGCACCAGTGCGCTTCTCGAAGTCCCTATACTTAAAAGCAGTCTAGAGGATTTTGCTTTCAAGATGGTATGCGCCAATGCCACCACTCGTACACAGATGGCGAAGGTTCGTGGATATCTCACGTTTAGTTATCCTAGTTATTGTCCTAATTTTAGTAATTTCATAAAGCGCACCTTTTCACTGAATCCTCCCATTTATGACATAAAAGAAACACTCTACTCGCATCATAAGCCCAACCAATATTCAGTCAACGGACCGACTATTCTGGAAATGTTGATACTGAGCCTGACAGCAATAATTAGGTGATTGCTTTCGTCATCCCCGCTTATAATGTTGAGCGCATCTTTCGGCGTATCTAAATTCAGTATACTTAAAGCCACCAGCGCCTTCCAGGCAGAATGACGAAATGTAGAAGATAAATGACTAGTCAAGTTCTCATGAGAGATTCGTCGCACGTCTGCTCCTGAGAGCTTGCCATTCAAAGATGCGAAATGGCGGCAATACTGCACTTAAGCGAGCAAATTAACAAAAGGGTATGTACAACTTCGATACGCTTCTGGTAATGACTACTGCGTAACTCTAGTTTATTCCACAGATTCGAACCAAATAACAAGTCAGCTTGTGCAGGGTATGACATATTATACCTATATATCGCCGCGCATAATCTTCCAAACATCGTTCTATAGAGAGTTGACGACTCTACAATAAACCTGGCTACCTAGCTCTCGACTGAAGACGATAACAAGAACAAAACAGAGAGAGAAGAAATTTAGAACTGGCCTAGCTGGAAAATATAACGTGTCCGTCAGGAGTTCCCTCTAAACACTCAAGTGCCAACATGGCTGCTCGCAACACTACTAGACTGACACTGTTTGGAAATAGGGGCGCGGAGGGAGATTTTATCTGGGTCAGATAATTACAGGGAGAGAGAAGGGTACGTGGGACCGTGAGAAAATTAGCTATCGCAAATCCTTTCTGCCTATGGATAATTAGACCTCTGCGTCTATGGCGATTGCCTGCTACTTGCTTCAACATAGCACTTTTAGTCAAGTTGAGCTTGCAGGCCCCCCTTTCCAGCAACGAACATTAGTATTTTCTCTGCTCCATTCCTTTTAATCTTGAATTCCAACTTGGTCGTAATATTGCCTTTCTGACTTCAACAATCACGATGTCCCAGCCAAATCGAGACGATACTAGCTCAGTCCAGTGGCAATGTCATCGTGCCATACAGAAACTGGTCGTAGTAATAAATGCATCGACGTTATAGGCAAGAAATACCATGGGAGTTGGACAAGGACAACTTGACATGATCGAGCCGATGAAGCCGAGCCTCCTTGACATACAGTCAGCTGAACCATGGTCATGCGGACACTTGCGTCTCAAGAAATACCCAGATTCAAACAAGACAACCAGGTGGTTCAGGTCTGCTTGGGATAACTCACATCTTGCTAGAGGTTAAGTCGCAACTACGCTTGCCGTGTTTTATGTTATGGGTATTACAGATTCATGGATTTCACACATCCAGACGCTCACTTCATCTCCAGGGGACCCAGAATCTTATTGTTGATAGCTATTTCAGAGCGAAGGTGGAATAACGGTCAAGTCCATTCCGTTGACTGCACAGGGCATTCCCTCTCCCCAATCACATAACAGGATAACCACCGGGTATAAACAGTGGAAAAATCGATTATACGATTGGTGACGAGTATCTTTCCCTCATTAGTGCAAGTCAATGTGCCCTTCGGCCAAAACTGCCATGTGTGGCTTTGTGCCGTGGCATAGATCGGTGGTGAGAGTAGTGGCGTGGTTTTACCAAATGACCGTGTCTCCCTGGGTTGTCTCAGTCGCCGCAATTCTCTGATTCTACCACTGGGACTCCTTGGCCTCGGTAGCACCCCACTCGCCAGTAGGGGCGGCAGTGGCATTGCCCCACTCATCGCCAGTTCCATCCCAGTTGCCAGTGGTGGCACCAGCGAAGCCAGGTGCGGCAGCCTCCCAGTCACCAGTCCCAGCAAATCCTGTGGTGATGGCGGTAGCACCAACCTCGTCAGCACCAGGGACCTTCTCCTCCTCAACCTTCTCCTCAGCCTCAGCCTCAGGGTCGCGGTCTGTCATCTTGTTAGTGCGCATTCCATTAAATAGTGATAAATTGCTTTGGTAGGACATACAGAAGTATAAATCGACCATGACGTCCCAGGGAGTCTCGCGGTTGTAGATGGTACCACGGAGGCGGAGGACCTCACGGGCAAGCATCCACCAAACGGTACCGATGGCGTGGCGACCCTTGTTGTTGGTGGGGATGGCAACGTCAACGTGCTCGGTGGGAGAATCGGTATCGCAGAGGGCAATAACGGGGATGTTGACGTAGGAAGCCTCACGGATGGACTGGGCGTCAGTTCGGGGGTCGGTGACAATGATCAGGCGGGGCTCCTTGAAGGATCGGGTGATGTAGTTGGTGAAGGAACCAGGGGTGAATCGACCGGCAATGGCGTTGGCACCAGTGTGGGCGGCGAACTTCAGGACAGCACGCTGTCCGTAGGGGCGGGCGGAGATGACACAGACATCGGCGGGGTTGTCAATGGCAGCGATGATGCGGGCAGCAAGGACGATCTTCTCCCTGTGATTTTGAGTCAGTACAAAATTGTATTACAGAGCACAATAAAGGGCGCATTGGATACGTACCAGGTCTTGCCAATGTTGAGCACGTTGACACCGTCGGCGCGCGTCTTCCACAGGTAGGGCTCCATGTGAACCTGGAGGTTCTTGGAGCCGAGGTGGCACTGAGCTGCGAGCAGCATCTCAATGTCCTGCGACGTCGCATTGAAGACAGCGGGAAGGTTTGCAGGCGCCATTTTTGCGAGCAGTGATGTATATCTGCTGTTGTGATGGTGAAGAACGAAATTGGGATGTGAATGTTGGCGCAAAGTCCCTCTGGTTGACGCGAGGTCGAAAAGAAAATGTTCGCAACCTCTCAATGTGCACGAAAATCGATTTGTGGGTAGCAAGCTGCGACTGCCCTCGCTAAAAAGTTCGAGCTTTGGGCTCAATACGGTAGGCGGTGACGGGTTACGTAGTAGAGACAGGGTTTGGATATGATGCATCCTTGGAACGAGGCAGCATGTGGCGTCATGGCTGGTGAGCTGTGGCTCAACCACTTAAACCTCCACCACCTCCCCAAAAGCCGGCTAGTTCCGTTCAAACGCAGTATTGTCTGGACCTGAAGCGTCAGGGATGTCGGTAAGGAAAAAGTTCAAGTCGCGGAGTATCGTGTCTGGATGCGAGCAACGAGACCAGATCAGCCGCCATGCCGCCCCGAATAACAGGCGTTCCGCGCCTTGGAGGTGCATTGAACCGTGAGTTAATGTACTCGATATATCCCAATTGCCTCTCTCCAGGAGCTAATCAAGCCTCCAGTATGCATCCGTCCAGCTTCCAAGCCCTCAACACCCTCGCTCCTGCCCCTTACCCAGACGGCCTCATTATCCCAGAAAGAGAAGAAGAAGATCGCAAAACAAGACCCGTATCGATGGGCGCAAATGCAACAACGTAAAGCGGCCCACGCTGAAATCAAGGAGAAGATTGCCGCCGAACGCAGCGTCAAGCTGGGTGACCAGATCCGCGGACTGACCACTCCTTTCGTGGAATCCTTTGACAGCGCCGGCCAAGCACCGCTGTCTACTCCGCCAACAGACGATGACGGCAACCCGCTCGAGGAGCCCCACAGTCTGCCCACGAGCCCGCACCTCCTGAACAACTTGGCCTCGAGGGAGGAGCTGAACAAGGCCATCAAGCGGGCGTACACGCTGACGAAGCCCATGGTCGAGCACCGGGACACTGTTGACCCGGAGAAGGAGAATGAAGCCCTAGAAAAGCACACGCGGGACCACCTTAAGGCTAAGGAGGCGCTGAGCCGTATCGTGCATCTGGACAATGGCAACGCGAAGGACAGACGGCACGCTAATATCCGTCGGTGCATTGAGACTTTTGGGAGGCACATAACGGACAAGAAAGTGAAGCAGAAGGCACTGTCGCGAGGAATTGAAGAACAGGCAAGGCCTGTACGCGCGGGTCCCGACACGGGCAGCAGCGAGGTGCAGATTGCCATCTTGACTGCCAAGATCCGAGCGCTGGCCAATGAGCTCGAGAAAGGGAGAGGGTACAAGGACAAAGTGGGCAAGAGGGATTTGAGGTTGATGGTGCACAAGCGACAGAGGCTTCTGCGGTATATGGAAAGAAAGGAACGCGGCAGCGGGAGGTGGACACATATGATTGAGACACTAGGACTTGGTGAAGCTACTTGGAAGAACCAGATTACGTTCTAAACTGCCAGGAGACGATGTGAATCAAGTAGCATGTAGACTATTAGGTTGTATCATACGAGAACGTGGCAGTGAGAAACTGTAATACGATTTACTATGTACCATACAGCAGTCGTAGGACGAGGCACATTCGATCAGGACTGACACCAGCAAATTCCGTCGCCTTGACCTCTATTTGCACTACCGTCTCAGCGCCATATTAAAAACAGTTGCAGTATGCTTTGAACCCGTTGTACCCCCATCAAATAATTCTACAAAGTGCAAAGAGAGTTTTAGAAGAAGTAGAGACAGAACATTAGAAGACGCTGATGTAGTTGCCGATGCGCTCCTTTTGGTTCTGAGCTATGCACTCTGCGATCCATGTGATGTTGCGGATCTCCTATGATCGATTGTCAGTCTTTATCCACTGCACTGGAAGTATACGTAAAAAGTGTTCGGCACTTACCTGCTCTCTAAGTCTCACCCACGCATACACAATGGCATATGTGAATTGTCTGGTGAAGGCACCCTTGGAAATATGCATCTCCTTCTCGTAAAACATATCCTCGAGACTTCGGCCATCGGAAACCCCGCCAGCCATATTGCCCGGGCCAGCCGGACCGCCGCCCAAGCCTGCCGCGTCGAAGAAGCTCTTGTAGTCGGAGATGCCATCGACTGCCAGTCTCACACCCTCGAAGTCATCCGCCCGCGACAGCATCAGCGTACCCTCGGGGTAGAGTCGGCCGAAGCTGGGGTACAGCTTCTTACGATCTGCCTTGCTCAGCTCGGTACCGAACGAGTTCAACGTGATGTTGATAGCGCGACGGTCGGCCTCAAACTCTAGAATCTCGGACATGACCTCGGACGTTGGCGTTCCAGCCATGTCTGGGTGGGTATTGACGAAGTTGTGGAACTCTTCGAGGTAGTTCTTGTACAGCGTATTTCGGACAATCTCAATGTTCAACTCATCTAGATCCTGGTGCGACAAAGACCCCTTGAAGAAGGGCGCCAGCGGCGTCTCAATCAACACACTGTTGTAGAGCTCCTCGATATTGGTGGCAACGCACAACACAGGCATCGTTTCGAACCAGCCCAGAGGGTGGCATCGCTCCAGCAGCTCGCGCGTGTCACGCTCGTGGAGGGTTCCGGTGATGAGAAGAGCGACGTTGTCGATCATGTATCCGTAAGTCAGGTAGTCCATGAAGGTCGCTAGGGAGCCAACTGCGTTGGCACGCACATATCGAAACTCGGAAACCAGTTTGTCGGTCGTCTTCGATGCAAGCGCTGAGGTGGAGGGGTTTGGCGGCAGAGAGCCCAGGAAGTCACCGTACGCCGGGCCGAGCTGGAGTTTGAGATCTAGGGGTAAGATAAGCTGCTGTACTGGTAGATAGTACGTCTGAGTGACTCACCATCGATGGTCTCGCATTGTGTCAGGTTGGAGTAGTTGGCACCGGTAAGGAGGCCATTTCGGTATCCTCGAACAATACCCTCGATGTAGCTACAGGCGGAGTCAGTAGAAATCCCCAGGTTCAAGGGAAGTTTTCAGAAAATTACCCGTTGTTGACGTTGAAGAAAAGACCCTCCATCTTGACTGTTGTGGTTTTTTCGTCAAGTTTGAAAGGAAACCTGTTGGAGGGTGGTTTATCGTAATATCGGTAGTCTGCCTTCGCCCACTGCCGAAAGCTCACACCTGCCAGGTTGACGTTGAACTCACGCAGCTTGCTATTTCGGGACTAGCTCCACTGCTTTCTCCTTTGAGTTAGTGCATCAGCTCCAACTCAGATGCCTAAGTATCTGCAGTAAGCTACTTCGTACCTGTAGCATGACATGAGCGGATTAGCACATTACAATTCGTATAAGACTTAAATTCGAGAGTCCTGTTTTAATCTTCTTGTTTCGCGAAACCTGATCAAGAGAGGACGATTGATGTGATGTAGCAGCAGTTATATGTAAAACCAACCGGATCGCACCCTGGTTGTGCCTGCCGTCACCGCCTCCAGATTTGGGTTAGTGCATTGAACTCTGCATCCCACTTCGAAAAAAAGTTGCTCCAGACAGAGCTCCGCCGAAAAATTATTTCGAATCTTCCTTCTGTTCAATTGACATTGTCAGAGCAGTCACGATTCGGCTTCAGTCCGTCGTTTGTGTCAATTGAATAGCATTGTCTATTCCATATTTTAACCAGCAGTATTCTGTCATTGCGATTTTGGCTTGGAAGTTACTTCAACTGCCTGCCAATTGCCTGCCATAATGGGTCTCTTCGTACTTGCAGAGACGCCCGCGGGGTGAGTTTTGAGCTATTGCGAAGCTGTATCCCCAAATATACTGACAATTGAATAGATATGGTCTTTTTAAGGCCAAGGATAAGAAGTTGCTGTCGCGAGATGACGTTTCCACCGCGCTCAATGGCGCTGATGCCATTAACTCCATGCTGTCCCTAAAGAAGATGGTCAAGTTCGAGGATTCGGCTCAGGCACTGGGCGAATACACGTCCTTGACTGAAGGCAAGGTCACCCCAATGCTCCAGCAGCTTCTAGATGAAATCAAGGACGAGAGCAAGAAGTCATCCCTCGCCGTCGCCGATCCCAAGCTTGGCGCTGCCATCAACGTGCTGCCCCAGCTGAACATTACCCCCGTCTCCGACTCTTCGACGAACGACCTTTTCCGAGCCATCAAAACCTATCTCCCAGAACTGTTCCCTGATTTGGAAGGCGACTACTTGGGAAACATGGCCCTGGCTCTGTCGCATTCCATCTCTCGACACAAGCTCAAGTTCTCTCCCGATAAGGTCGATGTCATGATCGTACAAGCTATTAAGCTGTTGGATGACTTGGACAAGGAGCTGAATAACTATGCCATGAGAGTCAAGGAGTGGTACGGATGGCATTTCCCGGAGATGGACAGGATTGTTAACGACAACCTGGCCTACGCTCGCATTATCCTGGCCATGGGCACTCGAGAGAACGCCTCCGCCACCGACTTTTCCGAGATTCTTCCCGAAGATATCGAGACCCGACTGAAGGCCGGAGCCGAAGTCAGTATGGGCACGGAGATTGGCGGATTTGACTTGGAGACCATCAAGATGCTTGCTGAGCAAGTCGTCGGCTTCACTGAGTACCGCCAGCAACTCTCTCAATACCTTACTTCCCGTATGAAGGCCATCGCACCCAACTTGACCGAACTTATCGGAGAGCTTGTTGGAGCTCGTCTTATTGCCCACGCCGGCTCCCTCATGAAACTCGCCAAGAGCCCCGGTAGTACCATTCAAATCCTCGGTGCTGAGAAGGCTCTGTTCCGGGCGTTGAAGACGAAGCACGACACACCCAAGTACGGTCTGATCTACCACGCGTCTCTGGTCGGTCAAGCAACCGGCAAGAACAAGGGAAAGATTGCCCGTACGCTATCCGCAAAGGCCGCTCTTTGCTTGCGTGTCGATGCGCTTTCCGAACTGAGTGCCGAGGGAATTGACGGCGAAGATATCCAAATTGACGACGAGGAAAGGGTAAAGCTTGGTATCATGTCACGAGCAAAGTTGGAGAACAAGCTCAGGCTCCTTGAAGGGAAGCCAATGCTCTCCAAGGGCGTTAAGATTGCTCCCAACGGAGCCTCGCCTTCGAAGTTTGAAGTCAAGCCTTCAAGAAACTACAATGCCGACGCCGATGGCCTGGCTGGACCTGATGCGACGAAGCCCCTGATCCAAGAGGTTGAGGATACGCCAATGGCAGACGAAAGCGACAAGGATAACTCTGAAGACGAGAAGGCCAAGCGGAAGGCAGAGAAGAAGGCAAATAAGGAGAAGAGGAAATCAGGAGTCTCCGAAGTTGCCGCCACACCAGACGCCCCTAAGGCGCTTTCTGAAGTCGATTACGAACGCCTCGCGGCGCAAGCAGGCATCTCGGTAGCAAAGTTCAAGCGCAAGTTTGAACGTGGTGATGTACAGATGGGAAGCGACGGATCCCCATTGGTCGTTAGCAAGAAAGAATTGAAGAAGCTTCGAAAGGCAGAGGGCGGGTCCGAAGACGGTACACCTTCAGGCAAGAAGCGCAAGGCCGATGAAGAGGGATCCACCGACAAGAAGAGCAAGAAGAAGTCAAAGAAGGAAAAGGCATAAGGCCCTGCTTTTTTACTGATCTTTTCTATTTGTACAAAACTGCTCTACGGTTCCTTCTAGATAGGCGGGCGTTCAGGCTGGTTACAGGCGGTTCATACGATTTTTGTCACGATAGTCATTTTTGCGTGTCGACTAATGGCGATATCCTTCACATTCATTGGCTCCTTTACCGAAGATATCGTGCTAGATATGTTGACTTCAGTGTCCGCAAGTGGAATACTCCTCGACTCCCAGACGTGCGACATGCGATTGCTTCCCTTTTCAATTGAAGGTGCATGGACTTGTTGGTGAAGGAGTATCGGAGGAGAAAAGGAGGAAATATGAGGACGCATCATTGCATCGCTTCGGGACATTCAACAAGCTGGCCGTACGGACACGCTAAGATGGTACACATCTGCAGCGTCTTTCTTGGAGCCTCACTCCTGATATATACTCTGCTGTACATAATAAGCCGAGTTGAGTAGTCCATCGTCGAAAATGTACCACGATTGACGGTTTCTTGGACTCGGCATGAGACATGTCTTTCATCAAAGCTGTCTTACGCTGAATCATGAAATTAGTTGAAGCCATACTTGTGTCGTCTGCCAATTATATTATGTCGCTCCCTCCCATTCTAACATCCCAGGCCGGCGCGGGACGCCGACATATCCGCCCGTTACCAGCAGAACAGGGCCGCTGTAGCCGCGAGTGCACTTCAATATTTCTCTTCGGCCCCTGTTATTGTTGTGCCTGATGATTGAATCAATATGCCTCCGCACCGTGGCGCAAGAAACCTGATGAAGAGTGTTTTGACGCCTGTGGATGGAGCGGCGATGTGAGTAAACAGTCTCTTCTCTATGCGCTGTGGGTTTGTCTTTCAGTTGTTGCGGAAAAATATGAACAAGCGGTCTTGATAGGTTGGTAGCGGGATGCTGTCTCATAATTACAGGTTATAGATACTCAATTGGCACGTTGCAGCTCTAATATCCTCCAAATAGTAAGAGGAAATTCTGACTTGTTGCTGCAGAAGTGGGCAAACAAGTAATCTTCGGATGGTGATGTAACTACCATCGCTAGTATCCACAAGTATGGATTCGAATAGCGAGAAGAAAAAAAGGTCGAAGCAGGCTTGATTTCTCTAGTATAATCTCCCCAGCCGATTATACGCGGCTTTCTTGTCCTAAGTACTACCAAAGAACTTCTTAATCTAGCGTAGCAGTACCTTATAATTATAGTCGTATTCAGGATTAGTTCATGAGAAAGTGGATATCTAGCATCCTTTGGCTTCAAGCCTTGTTTCTTTCTTTCTCAATAGTGACTTAGGGGCAGGGTCTTTGAGTCTTGCTTTTCGGTTTTCGGGATAACTTATGCAATAAGTGAACGTTTCGAGGATACTTAAGGACCTGGGTTATCTAGGTAGTCAGTCATTCTCTGGAGGAAGCGAAGAGGAACAAGCGGCCAGCAGTAGTATTTACTTTATTCCCTTCGTCTGTTGAGGCTCCAGCTATTTTTGATAACCTGCTGAGGTCTTATTCTGTTACTAATGCCTGTTGAGGCCATTGTTCGTACCTGTTAAGGTACTTTTGTTGTTCGAGTCGATCAATTCCAGCCTGCTAAGGCTTTACTCTGTTGTTCACCTGCTAAGATGATTCTATTCCAGGACCTATTGAGGCCCTGTTCTGTTCAAGCCTGATGACCTGATGAGATTCAGTCAGTTCGTCGTACCTGATCAGGGCAAGAAAGCTCTTGATCTGTTGTTCTTTCACCCTCCCAGATAGTAAGGTCTTGTTGAGGATCTTGTTGTCCGTTGCTATCATCTTCATCATCTTCACCTCAAACCTGCGGGCATTTACTGCCCGTCAATAGATAGCGTACTATGCAGCTATATTATTACCTAGCAATCCATCCAGACTATGAATAATTACATATTCAGTAAGTACTACATAAAAGTCCGAGAAGTTAGCTGATTCATATCTGATCGCCATAGCTAGGTGTTGTGAAGGTCAACCCTCGCAGACTCACTACAACCAGGTGACTTACAGCTGGAACACCTGCCATGGCAGTGCCAGATGGGAAGCCAATCATAACCCTTGTAGGAGCCCCGCCAAGCGTGGACGACTTAGTCGCGCTCCCTCAAACCTAAGTTGTCATCTTCTTTCCTTCGCTCCTTAGAGTAGAATCTTCGTCGATAGCACCTAATCGAGGTCTCTACCAATGCGATGCAACCCAGGTCGTGACACTCCCCGGGTGTTCGACAAGCTGTAGAAACCGACCGTGATGGCGTCTTCCATAAACTCACAGCTACACGTAATGAGTAAGACAAGTGTGAGCAGTGAATACCGTCCAATAGGCAGTTGGGAATTGATGCTCTTCTTGAAAGGAAGCTGTGAAGCCGCCCTGAAGAAAAGAGAAGAAAAATAAATGAAAAAAGGCGCACAAAATGTTTCGCAGACTGAAGAATTCCAAAACGAGTGTGTTATGCGATATAGTTCAAGGACGAAGTGTCGTCGGTTTTTTGGCGGTTAAAAGTGGGTTGACACGAAACTTCGCCCCACTTTCAGAACGACCGCAACTGCCTAACTTCTCGGCGAGTCTATCCAGTTATTACCGAATGTACATTATACAGTCACATTTCCATCAGCAATATGTCGGAAAATTCACGTTCGATGCCACCTAGACGAAGCCAGTCGCCTCGACGCGATCGCGAGCGAAGTCGCAGCCGATCACCTCCCCGCCGAGATCGCCAAAATAGTCAGCGTGAGCGACACCCTAGTCAAGAGCGCCAACACCAACCTCGTGAAACTCGAGATCGCAGTCGCTCCCGCTCTCCCCGTCGTGGTCGGTATGAGGACTCAGAAAATACACGACAGATAAATGGATACAAGCGGCGTGATCCAGACACAGACGGAGGTTCCGGTCGAGGACAACCGGACAGAAGACCAGGTGTCCGGCCAGATGGCGATTCACATAGAGGAGACTCGCACCGAGTGAACAGAGACGTGGATCGATCATACGGCGATCGAGCCGGCAGATCACGTCCCAAGAACAATTTCGGTGGCTTCAGATACAAGGAGAAAAGCCTCGACGCAGGCCGAGACGAGAAAGACGATGATCCTCCAGGACGTTCCTTCAGAGGCTACCGCAATCGCTCCGCTTCTCCTCGTCGACGCAATCGACAAGAGAAGCCAAAGGACACCACCAAGCCCCCCAAAAGAGCACCGGCAGCGGGCCCTACGGAAGAGATCATTGAAATATTCATCAACAACCGACTGGGCGCGAAGCACAAAATCTCCTGCATGCCATCAGACACTATCAAAAATATCAAGTTGCTCTTTGCAGCAAACACTGGGCAGAATCCGAACCGAATGAGGCTTCAGAGACAGGGGCAGAAGGCATTCAAAGACCAAATGACGCTGGCTGACTATGAAATCAGCAACGGTGTGCAGCTGGATATGGAGGTTGGAACAAACAACGATTAAGGAGGGCCGACGAGAATACCCCAGAAGAGTGCATAGATTACACCGTACACACTTTCATGCCTGCTGTAATGACGTGGCACGAGTTCTCATGCAGATCGTCGCTTTACAATCACCTGATACAGCCTATTCTTCACATAAATCGACTCCCCCGGCGTTTTCCGCTTCCCGTAAATAACCAAATAATATTGACCCGGGAGTCAGTCAGGAGACGTGGAAAGTTTACTTCATGGTCTCCATCTCGCTCAGCTCCCCTTTGCAGCTAGACTTGTACGACGACTCTACTTTAGCGAAGTGGACGGACTACAACAAAGAATTGAAAACATCATCTTACATTCCGGTTGGAAAGCTTGCAAAGAACTGCTTTTGCAATGACAACGTCTAAGAAGTTCCTCCAATTCTTCATCATCGTCCTCACGCCCCGAACCACCCAGCTGATTTACTCTTATGGCTCTCCAGCTCCTTAAGTCTTCGATCATGTTGTGCCAGCTGTTCGTACCCATCTCGAAGCTGCATTGTTAGCTTGTCGATTTGAGTCTTGGACTTGACTCGCTCCTTGTCTCCTCCAGCTTCCTCCAACTGGGCCGTGAAGTCTACGTTGCGTCCAATTGTTAGTATTGCAACTCGGCGGAAGTAGCCCGAAGGTGAACCTACGGTGGAGGCAGAGCTTCTCCATCTTAACCTCCTCTCTGCAAAGTTAGCTAGAGCATGCATCTGAATCATGTAAGCATGATGGTGTCGTCTCCTTCTTTGGAATTGAGCTTCGGCTTACGAGTCTTGCGGTACAGTTCCATCTCGCTGACAGGCAACTGGCAGTTCTTGCTACGGTAATTGTCTGGTGCAGCGTTAACACCATTCATCATTTCAGCTCAGCTGAAAGTATGGAGGACTCACGAAGAGCACACAAGTTGTTTTTCCTGCCGCGGCTGAGCCATGCCTTTGCATGTTCGCATTTCTGATACTCGCAGCGGTCTAACAGGTCAGTGACTTATGGGTTCAGATAGGATCTAGATGACAGCTTACGATTGTCACAGAACTGATGCGAGCCTGTCGACTCCTCGCAGTCTCGTTCCAGGCACGTGTGCTTTACGCAGTGAAGGGAGCCTTTGATCTTAACTTCGTTGCATAATTGGGTGTTGCAAGTTAGATCTGAGAATATCGTCAGCGAAATTGCACCCGCGTCACAAGAAGGAGGGTCGCGTACGAATGCGACAGAAGTCGGAGTACCCCCCATTGTGAGCTTCGTTGGGCTTCGTGCCATTGCAACCCGGCCACATGCATTTCCCGTCTATATACGGGCATCAGCTCTTCAGGTCTTTTCTGTGGGTCTATCTAGGTGGACTCACGTTGTACGCAGAAAGCGGACTGTGGTACCACAATAATGGGGCATTCGGAATTTGCACACTTATCTGGTTCGTCTTTAGCTGTGGGCTCGAGGAAAGCATGCGAGAAACTTACGCTTCGGGCAGAAGTCACGCCCCTCGAGGGATCTCTGGACGCAACCCTCATAGCGGCATGTCTGTAGGCTGTCAGTCTGGAGCATTGAATACGTCGAGGAACCACTTGTGCTTTGTGCAGAAAGCATAGAACTGTCCCTGGTTTGTCCTCGCTTTGGGTTCTGGGCATTGGGGCATTGGAAATTTGTCTATGAGATCCAAGTTAGCGGCCGCTTGTCCCGGAAGTGAAGATATCGGATTCAACCCACGATCTGCACAATAGCTCTCCCGCTGGTACTGAGGGGTCTCGCTCGGATCATGGTCGTCTAGATACTGCAGTCGACCATTGGTGCAATCGATGATACGACACTTGATGTCTACTCCAGTCAGACGCGTTGAGGGTCTCTGGATATTCGCGATGGAGACCTACGGAGGTAGCAGACGACATCGTGCGGCATCTTCTTCAAGTCGCATCCCGTTTTGAAGAATTCATTACATGTGTCTGCGCGAGTTAGACCAAACTGAATAAATGGACCGTTGTACAGCGAGACCTACGTTGGTGACAGAACTTGGAGATTACCTCGGTTCGTTTGTCTTCCCTGAATAATGTCAGGGGGACTTTGCAGTTCTTGCTTGCACAATTCATCGTCGTGGTTATCTCGATCTTCCGAAATTTACCACGTCTGATCAATTTAAGATCCATGGGAAATGGACACGGCGTCTTAGAAAGCTTGACGCTTGTTGTATCGAGTGCTCCAGGCTCTACAGCTGGCGGTTACCTCCCGCCGGTTTCCTGAATTCAAACCTGACCGGGTCTGGCTCTTTGCTCGCCCAATGTGAGGTGGGCTGGGTTTCGGACGGCTTGCGATTCGTCGAGGTTGCTGACCCTTGCCGGCTGAACAACTAAATACAAAGATCTGGTTGCCTGCGGAGTGACTTGTCCCTCCGCGATCACATCTACTCCATTTAGTGTATCTGAAGACGGCACACATGATCAACATCTAAAAAAATCATTTTTATGTCTTTTATTCACCGCATTCAGGAGATTCATCAACGCGCGCACGCTCGCCATTGAATTATTTCCTGATTCCTCGCTCGAGCCGTACGCGATCCTGTCACACACGTGGGGTGACGACGAAGGTACGTTGGACAAGATGAGACTTGCCGACAGCCACGTTGAAGAAAAGTATTTCCAAGGTTGAGAAAACCTGTCAGATGGCCATTGAGTACGGGCTGGGATACGCATGGGTGGACACTTGCTATATCGACAAGACCTTGAGCGTAGAGCTCGCCGTGCACATGTTCTGGGCGGCCAAGGGGCAACCCACTCGGGTCGAAAACCAAGCTTACTGTCTTATGGGTATATCCGATGTCAATATGTCCATGATACTCCAGGAAGAGATTCTCAAGACGACCAATGATACATCCCTGTTTGCGTGGAGGATGACAAATGGGCATGCGTACTCCAGAATCTTGGCCGATTATCCAGCTGCGTTCCTAGATTCCGGCAAGATGGGTTCAACAAAGATCAGTGCCAATTCCGAGGTGAGATCGGTATAACGAATAAGGGGGTGAAGATGACCCCATCTCTCTATAACTATAACGGTGGCCATATATCAATCCTCGACTTGCACTGTGACCAATGGGAGGATGGCCGAATGACGCCAGTTGCGATCCTTTTAAGGGGCATTCTGGATGCCTAATTCCGCTGGGACCAAGCCAGTTTTCTTACATAAACAAAGAATAATTGGATTCGTCTACATATACTGCACAGGTACACCAGCAAGCCGATATTTGTTGTCTCCAAGACAAACCAGGGGTCGACGGAAACGTACGCCGAAACGCATCGTGTATTTGTGCGGTTCTTCGACAGAACACCCGGGCTCACACTGCATAGGTCGAGGAGAACAGACCCTGCGAACGACGCACGCAGATGATGCTGGTTTTCACCCGCAGCCACAGGGGATTTTGATTGCAGGCTTTTAACAAGGTCCGCTACAATGGATAATATACCTGTACGCGATTTTATTAACTCTTTCGAGAGCATCGAGCAGCATGACCCAACAGGGAATCCTCCGAGCTTCGCGGCATTGTATAACAGTATGCCCGGGCCTCACGAGTTTCACGTCATCTACGGTGACCACAGCCATGATGACATGGTCATAGCTAGCCTGGCTATGCTGGAACCCGTCATGCCGCAGGAGTACCGATTCCTGCTGCATATTTGCAGACCAGGAGAGACCAAATTAACCATCTTCGGAGTGCTCGACACGGCGACAACTGAGATCAGGCAGCCCAGAGAGAGTGAGATGCTGCATTAATTCAATACAGCGGTCTTCGAAAGGGCCGCGTAGCCGTTCACATTTTTGTCGCACTCCGTGGCACTCCGTGGCACTCCGTGACACAACCATCGTCGAACCCTCGCGCGAGGCCAGCGTCATTACCCCCGGAAAGGGGCTGTCGACTCGCGTCCTCAGTCTATTGCTCAAAGTCAGGCTACTTTGTGATTGTGCCTTTACGCCGAGGACTCGAGGTTTATGGACCAAGTCTAAGATCGAGGCCAAGACGAAGCTTCAAGCTACTTTACGCAGAACTGTCGGGAAAGCGGTTTGATATCACGTGATTTGGCATAGCTACCGTGTCTTAGATCGCGGGGCAGACGCGCCTTTCCCATGACATGGTGGCTGGGTCATCGTAAGCTCACTTTAAAGGTAATCGTCCGTAGTCACCCACCAATTCCGACTTCCCTCCCGCATCATGTCACACAGATTGTATTCTAGGCCCCCACTGCTTTGCAAACCACCCATCTCACCTTTTCTCAACAACACTCGACTCCAAGATGGCCCTCGGACAGAAGCGCAAGCGCACAGAGGACGACAACGTTATCGCACCAGAAAAGGTTTTATGCACATCTATGGAGAACAGGTGCGCCATGATTGCTGAGCCCATCCCCAACCCGGATGAAATGGAACCCCAACTCGAGCGCATTGCGCAGTCTAGCCGCACACCATTCGAGAAGAAAGTCTGGCGTCTCTTATGCCAGATACCACCAGGTCATGTCTCAACGTATGGCATCATATCAGTCCACTTGGGATCTTCGCCAAGGGCAGTCGGCAACGCGTTGAGGCGGAATCCATTTGCGCCCCAAGTTCCCTGCCATAGGGTCGTTGCCACCGGTGGGGCGCTAGGTGGGTTTAAGGGGCATTGGTCCAAGAATGGGGAGGGGATTACGATTGAGGAGAAGAAGAGGTTGTTGAGGAAGGAGGGGGTTAGGATTGATGCTAGTGGGAAGGTTCTGGGGACGCCTTGGGCGGCGTTTACTTGATTTGGGCTTGGTTATTGAACAGTTTGGGGTGCCTTGTGGAATTCAGCACCGAGTCAGCGACAGGCGTATTGGTTCTCTGTCCCCACGTATTGACAGATAACCTTTCAATGGCTCTCAGCGTCAACTTGTAATTTCAGGGTACTCGAAGTTTCCTCGTGTCACCCTGGCGAATGATCCACTCAGCGGGGTTCAAACCCAACTCATCAAACCGAAAGTTCAACTATACCCCGGTTCCCACCCCGCCTAAGCGTGAGCCGCACCATTTCCATCCACATCGTCATCCAGCCTGAGTCACCTACCTCTGATCCCCAGATATTCATATTGCCCCATCTCTCCCACCTTCTGAACTCTCTTTTCTCTGTCCTCTCCATCCTCGAGCAAGGGCATCAGGTATGTCAGGGAGGACCTCGTCCGAGACAACCGTTTTGCCATTTGGAAACTACGTTAGACCAACTCCCAGTCGAGGTTTTTTGACCGGCGGGGGAATTTTGCACCTCATCTCTTTGCGAGATATTCTTTTCATATTTCGTTGTGGACTGTCCCTAGGCGATGGACATGAAGGAAATGGACCATTGGTGATTCATGAGTAGGAGGAGTTGTGGAATGGTAGTGTGATTTTTCCAAATATTCACCAGAGACATAGTTATTCACTCAATAGATAAGCCTTTCTCTGAACAATTCTTGCAAGAGTCCCACCTGCAATATAATTATCCCTGCCAGATCAACTGCCCACGCACTCCGTGATCCATCAGCCCAATATTGCTAGCGTATGTGCGGACAAGGCTACATCTTCTTCATCCGCTGCGGCCACCTCGAAGGCCCCATGCGCATACCATGCCGCAGCGAGACCTGTGCTGGAGCGACGGAGAACGGCTTCGATATGGCTGCAACCAGCCCTCCTAGCGCCTCCAGGCGCTGGGTAAGAATTGCGGAGAGGGGATTCCTAATCCAAATGGTGGTGGCGGGAAGAGGAACTAAGGGCAAGATGTACTTTAGTAATAGGAGAGGGGAGGACTTAGTTGTAGGATAAGACTGCTACGAACCAAAGTGGTAATGATTAATACTTCTTTCTTGGGGAGATTCCGTCTGGTGTAATGTTTATAGTGACTCCGGGGAATTTACTTTGAGGATGCTTCTACACTGATCAGCAGGAAGTCTACAGGAAATATGGGTTAATGAGCTTGCGAGGAGATAGAAAAGGCTCTACGCAAAACATATTGACGAAATCAGTTGGAACACATTACTTTCCACGTACCTCTCGTTTTCTATTCAATACTTTGGCCACTTTTGGAAGTGATGGTCACATAATGACTGACTTCATGCCTGGTTGGGCAAGGAGGCATCGTGCAACATATCGGTGCTCGGCTGGTTGACTGCTTGGGGCTTGAAATAACAGGCGAGCATGGGTAACTAGGAAATCAGAGAACTTTTCGAACTCATGGCAAGCGTACATAGACAAGTCGTGCTTCGTCATATACGCAGGTGGTATGCTTTCGTACCCGTCCTTTAGATCACTTGACGTTGGAATTGTGGTAACTAAGTCATGTCTAAGGTCTTGTCTGGTCTCTATGCTTTTATATCAAATTCCCCAAACCTTCTTGCGCATCGACTCGGGGTTCAAATCCCAATTCACCTCTTCTAGCAATCGTGCCTGTGAACAGAATTTATTGTAGATGCTAAGTCAGTAAGTAAAAGCGTACCTAACCTAAACCAGTCATTGCTCGTAGTTACCTCCTCTGAACCTCGAATTGACTAGGTTACACAATAACTCCAACTGCTACAAGATTACTCAGCATTCCGTCGACGAATCACCTCTCTCCAAAACTGCCCCTGTCGTAGATTCACTCTAGAACCGGTGTCATCTCAGCATCCCAGGGAAGTGTTGCCTCGTACCATGATGTTTCCACGAGAAACGCCATTGCAACCCCTCCATCCGCTCTAACAACCATTCTGAATACACGATCTTTCTGTCCCAAACCCGAAGCCAGATACCCCGCACTCACAGTTCTCCTGTCACCGGGTTACCCTAGACCTCCCAGCCTATATAGTGAACGATCGTCCAATAGCGTTAACTTCCCCGCAATGCACAAGTCCCTTAGACCCAGAGCTAACCCCCAGATTCTCCAGGTTGATCGTCGACCTTGGTCGCTCGGCTGGTATCCTCTCTATGTAAAGATCACCCTGCCGGAGACGGAGACGACAAACGACCGCACTGCAGTGCACCCAAAACAATACGACGGGCTTGGCGACGGCAAGTACTTCGGCTAGCGGCACCGCCCTGTGCCACGGAAGCTTCTGCATCATGATCGCTGGGCTTAAATTCGGTTGGGTTTTGATGTGGTCTGTTTGCCGTACATTAGCGGTAGTCATCAGGTAACTTGATCATGTAGAGATGGAGTAGACATTGAGGGCGAAGTTGACTTCACTCTCAGTTTGAGAGTGAAACGTTTACTTCGCGGAAACTTCACTTTCTGTCAAGGCCTTCAGTTAGCAGACCGGGCTAACTTGCATTGTAGTTCGACATCACGTACATGTTCTTGATGAATCATATAATTACCTTCAGTACGACTCATTTCTCACACCGTATCTATTAACCTCGGAAGTACACTGAACAGATCAAGCCAACGTCCCTAGCAAATGAGTAATTATGAGGGTGTCCAGGTGCAAAATGACCTTTCAGGCCATGAGGGGATCGACGAGCCATCTCAAGCGAACTTCCAGACCGATCAATATTATGTATCGCGGAATTTCCAACTGTCCTCCATTGCCCTTCCACCCCTCAATCTCCATGGTATCTTTCTTTTGCTTCGCGGCCAAGTCGAATCATGCCCTCTTCGTCAGAATACTACCGAATTGCATCTTTTGGGTTGTGGCGTATATCCGTACAGAGGAACAGGCAGATAGTTCCGTATTTCCAAACAATTATGCCCTACGATAAACAATCGAGTTAAGTCCAAGTCCTTCGTCGAATGTTCGGGTTGCGTCGCGCAGGCGAATGAAGGTGTAAGTCAAGCTGATGAGCCGCAACTGGCCCGTAGCCATACATTAAAGCGTTGCCGAAAGAAAACCAGGCCATATTCAGGAGTAGCCAAAGAGATGTGGTATCAAGGCATTTACGTGAAATAAGAGAAAGGGGTATATATCTCGCAATTCCTGGAAAGCCAACTTAATCCTAGCCGATGCAGAACAGGAGACCAAAGGGCAAACAGCCGCGTCGTTCGGACGGACCGCGGCAAGAAAGGAATGCGTATATACAACGACTTGCAGGTGAGCCCATCAGGCAAATGATTAGCTGTCGTTTTGACCCCAGATGGCTGGGTCAATCAGACACTGGCGAGCGAGACTCATTAGAAAAACGTGGGCTTCGTGAGCACTCGGTACTCGACGTAATCCTCGCCGTCAATGCTGATGATGACGCCCTGACTCACGAGTTTTCCAGCAAAAGGTCCGGTCTGCTTACGTTCGTATCTCATGCCTTCGTGCATCTTGATGTCGTCGCTGTTGCCGGCTCCCATTGTCTGCATTTGCTGCTGTTGTTGCTGCATGCTCTGTATGCCCTGCATTCGCTGCGCCTCTTGCTTCTGCCAGACCTCGTTCATTCGAACAACACTCTCTTGAAGCATGGCATTATTAGCGGCAGCGGCGGAGCTAGCATTGGACATGGCAATCCGGTGGGCGTTGTGGCGCTCTTGGCGCAACTGAGCACTTTCCATCTTGGCCACCTCACGACGAGCAAGGTTGTTGGTACGCTCCAGAGGATCAAGGCTTTGGGTGCGGCTTGCTGGGCGCATGTCGGCCTCGGGCATCGAGTGGCGGCCACCACGGCCATCGTTGTGCATCATGTCGCGTCGGCTGTGGCGTAGCTCGTGGGCGGGCATTGGGATGGGCTCGGGCTTGGGACTGTCGCGCATATTGTAATCAACGGGGGTTGGTCCGTTAAGGCTGTTACGGGAGCCCACAGCACCGGCGGGGCCAGCTGCCTTGGGATTAGCAGCAGCACGACGTTGTGCCTCGTAAACTGCCTTGGTCTCGTTAGAAACGCGCTGCTCCTCGGTCTCTCCGCCGTCGATCTGTGCCTGGCGGACGCGGCAATATTCCTTCATCTCAGGACGCGTCAGATCTTTGACATGATTCAAGAACTTGACCTCTTCGTACGGGATCCACAACGCGCCTGCACCGGTAGGGAACTCGGCATCAACAGGCCGGCCGTCCATAGTCTCCTTCATGAGCTTAACACGAAACATGTCGTTGGCACCGAGAATGCCAGTGACTGCATGCTTGTCCTCGTCCCTAGCAGGGGGGGATCTGCTCCAGCATCCCACGAGAATGCGCGTGGGTCGCGCGCCGGGAAGATTCTCGAGTATATGCGGCATGGGTGGCGGCATTCGAGACTGAGATGAGGACGGAGACGGGAACGGCGGCTGCGGCTGCATCTGCGGCAGCGGCTGTGGTTGTGGCTGCATCTGATGGTGATGCTGTGGTTGAGCCATGGCCATGGAAGGCTGAGGTTGTTGGCCTGTACTGATATTGCTAGCAACACTACCGATGCGACGACGCTTGTCGGGGCGATTTGTGGCATTTTCCGGGATGGAGAGTCCGTATGCGATGGGAACAGGCTGGTTGGTCTCAGGCGGAGGCTTGACGGCAAGGCGAGCCTTAGCCACTTCAACTGCAGCAAGCTCTGCTTTGTGCTTTTCCTCGGGTGTGGCCTCTTCACAGTTTTGGCGGAGTTTCACGTACTCCTTGATCTCATTGTGGTCAAGAAGCACGAGGTGATCATCAAAGACAATACGTTCAAACGTGACCCAGCTACCACCAGGGCCGGGCGGAATCGGGAACAGACGCGAGTTGATGGCATCGCCTTTACGGGTGACGTTCTGAATACGTGTGCGAAGGCGGTCACGCACATCCATGAAGCCGATTACTGCGTGCTTGCCACTCTCCACGGGAGCGGGAGAATCTCTCCAGTAACCGAGAATGACACTCTTGACCCCAGGTCCAGGAATTCCTTGGCGTCTCGAGGTGCTATAGGCCGAAGGCACAGGCGTCCCAATATCCTCAGCACCGTTAAGCAAGCTTCCCTCTAGCTTGTCTTCGCCAAGATCGTTGTAAATGGATGCGCGTTTGCGCTTTGGGTAGTGAGAAGTCAGTGGTTCATCATCTTCTTCCACATCTGCCATAACCTCGTCCTCGTGATCCGGGACCACACGAAGCAGAGAGGGCTTGCCACCATTGGTAGGACCTGCACGGGGTCCGGTACCCACGATGATCTCATCACCCAGCACATCAGGGTTCACACTAGAAACAGAGCTCGAAGGCGGCGGACTAAGACCAACTTCATCGGCAGTGTCATCATCTTCAGGCACGGCCACGGGGGTTGGTTCTGTCCTATTGGTGACGCTGGGGGGGCGACTATTGTGCATTTCGGTTAGCCTTTTAAACTTGAAGAGTCCGCTATTAAGTAGATGAAGATGGAAGGTGTAGAAATCGAGGGCCGTAATCAAATGCCCCAGAAAGGGAGTTGCCAATTGGTATGACCGCAGAGTGGGAAAAAAAGGTGAAGCTGTGCTGGCAAGTTGAGACGCCTGGTAACAACTCGGGACAAGATGGAAATACTCAGCAATGACGCTGCAGATGAAAGTCTGAAGAATGGTTGTAAGGTAACTCTGGGTTCTAGACCAAGGGATTGGGAAGGAAAGAAGATTGAGATTCAGTTAGCCGTAGGGTGGTTGAGAAAATGAGGCCAATGCCTGTGCAGTGTCAAAAGTCAAAGGCAATGGTTTGGTGGATTGTGAGGGAAGTGAAGAAGTATAGGCTGGCTGTGTCAACCAAGAAGGGAAGTCACTAATTTTGTAGAAGGGATCAAGCAGTGGCTCAAGACGAGAGTGTGTAGTTTCGGAGTATGCATTGAGTTGCACAGTGAAAAAGGGCAGATGGGTGGGTTACTGTGGCTTTCACACGAACATCCAACATTTCGAGGCCGGAACTCATGCGAATCTGACGAAGGAAGGCGCAGGGATTTACAGCATATGACGGCTCAAGAATACATGACTGTGAGTTTGTGTAGTGGCAGTGGCTTACCCACGGAGGTCGTAGCGTAGGTCCATATTAGACAACCAGAAGGATGGTCTTTGGGAGAGTACGCCGAGGGTGCGAAATGTGTAAATGGGGGTGCGACGTAGTTGATATATGTCAAGGCAGAAACGCCGCTGCAAATGAATGAATGACTGGGTGATAGGGTTGGGAATTAGAATAAGGGCAGTGAGCAATGGCGATGTCACTGAGAATGAAGAGAAGTGCTAGGGTAGAAGGACGTATAACGGATTGCATTACCGATGACTAGGCAAGAAGAATGTTCAGATTGGGGACATTTGGATAGGCATTGACGGCATCATCAGCAGAACAATAGGGCAGGTGCGCTTAGATTGCAGGAAGTTGTGAACGAAGAATTCATCTCCGAACAACGACGAAAGAGGAAATAGAAAAAGTTGCGCTCAATATCGCAACATACCTCTCATCTTTGGCTGGCGGTATCTCGTCAGCCTCGTGAGCCTCAACGCCGTTGGGAGGACTGGGTTCCAGCTTGGCGGAGGTGGTGTCGACTGAGTCGCGAGGGTCCTCCATCTCGGTGGCGGACATGTTGTCGTTAATTATCGGGTCGGAAGTTGCGGACGCCAGCTTGGGTTGCGAACGGGGCCGGGCAAATGACCCAAGATAGGGCAGCCGGCGGTGCAGCCGTTATGAATTGCGAGTTGCGAGTTGTCACAGTGGCGCGATGAGCCCAGTTGCAGAACGAAAGACCCGACGCGTAGTTGCTTTGGGATTGATTGCTGGCTATAACGGCGAAAAAGCGGGTTCAGGTATGCGCGAGAAACCCCACGATTAATTGAGTTTTGCCCTCAGAATGAAGCGGTTGCCGGAAAAGGTCGACTGAAATGAGCGTGAGTTGGCGTTGGGTCGCGTTGGTTGTTGTTGTGGTGTGGAAGGAAAATCCGGTTGATGATAGCGGAAGGGTGGAAAAATTCAAAGATTCAGAGGGAATCGGGGGTGAAAATAGTTGCGATTTGTCGACTCGAATCAAAGAGCGCCTTGATTGAGGGCGAGCGAGGTGAGGTGTTCGGGTAAAATAGCGTCTGGGTTGCTCAAAAGTGTGTCGTCAATCAGACAAATCGAAAAGGGAAACGACTTTGATTAAGCTGATTGGCAGACTGGCCAAGAGGTGGAAACGCTAGATGAGTACCTAGTTACCTCTGTTGCGAAGAAGCACACGAGTTTATTAAGCACATTTGACGCAGGCTCGAATAGCCCATCCGCATAGCTCAAACCTAAGCGAGGAAGTCTTTGGATCATTGGTGGCCACCATCTTCCTGTTTTGCGACTTCTCGCATGAGGAACACGGGCGTTTAAGTACTTTGGCTACATAGTCGAATACTTTTTACACGACACAGCTGAGGTCTCTAGTGAGGTGCATACCTACGTGCGGAAGCCAACCGACTTGTGTGACGGCGACACTGGCCAAAAACACAAAACAAAAAAAAACAAAAAAGGCCAAGTTTGCTGTTCTCTGCCATAGTCCCTTCTAGAGTTGACTAGAGCCGGTGTTCAACCTTGTATTGGGACCTACCATGTTGGCTCTTTACGAAAACTCGATGACCAAGTGAGGAAAGACAGGGGAGCTGGTTATCAATCATTGCCGGCTACATTCTTGAATTGGCTGAAGCCATAGTTAGTTGGTTGGGGGCCAAGAACGCCAGCACCATACTTGGTATGCACCAATGGGTCGGGGTTGGTTGCTGATGAGAGAATTGCCGGCAACGTGGGATTAGATCCGGCCTTTTCCCATCGAGCAATGCTATCATAGCCAACGTTCAAGACAAGAAAAAGCATCAGAGACGTTCTGCCACCCCAATAGATCTCCAGCACATCTAAAACATGGGGCCAACCTACGGAGAATACCCCTGCGACCATAGACGGTGCATACCTAAGCCTTGCGCGACCGAATTCAACCGCTTGTGTTGGTCCGTCGACCAACAAGAATTGAAGTACAGCACATAGCCTTCCGTCAAAGTTATTTACGGGCTCGTTTGGTTTCTGCTAGTAGTATGTTTCGGCTGATAAAAGTTGCCATAACTAGTTGGGAAGTGTTGTCGAGTGTCATAGCGAGCGGAAATTCGCACCCCGGCATATGCGACGTGTAGACTCCTAAGCCGGTATCCTCTGCTGTCGGCATTGGAACCATTATCGAGAGTCGTAATGGCGATAGAAAGTTCGGGTTTCTAGTTGTCTCAGGTGTTGGGGATCTGTTTGCGACATCATGATAAACCAAGCAACACGGGCGCAGTCAAACTCAAAACCCCTACAAGCCGCCTACCGTGTTCTCGCAAGATGGTCGCTCGACGATGGCGGGTTTAAGCAGATAATTCCCATGACAGAAGCGTTGGGAAGCGATGAGAACAACCACATGCCAATGTGTTCTTCAACTTATACACTAACTGCAGGGAACGAGTGGTAAAAGGCTCATTTTCAAATTCGTTAACCAGAGTTGGTTGGTTGCCGATTGTAAAAATCCTGCAGGTCGAACAGCCATCGACAGGGGGAGTTTCGATATTTACCCGTGCGTTAATTGAAAGTGGAACCCCCCAGCCATTTGAAATTGTTCCGTTGGCATGTAATAGACTCCATCCAAGTCACCGCTGCTGACTCATGTGACCCTCGACGTCTGTTAATCCCTAAGGTCGGTGATAAGTAGCCAAATGTCATCAGTTGTCTGAATTGAGTGTGAGCAATTGAGTGTTAACATTACGCAATCCTGATACCAGGTTAGCAGGTTGAAACACCCTCTCGCTAACCTCTTGCAGATGTCTTGATGTCGGCAAAACCTCCAAGGTAGATTGCATACACCAGCATTTGGGCAAACGCAAATACGGACTCCCCAAAAGTAATTTACCCGAGATCAAGTCGCAACTCGGCCCAAAGCTCCGCTTATAATTTGTTCGGATCTTTCGTATAGTGGCCCTGATTTAATCTGCCTTTGTTATTCTTGACAACAAGTCGAGTTCTTTGTTGCCATCATGTCCTCACCTGGGCAGCATTGGGCATCCGTAGGTCACACAGAGAGGTTTTCTGTACTGCCATGATCTCGCCGGCACATGTAGTCTGGTGTTCGAAGGTGCGGATTTGACGTATCACAGGTTCGCAACCCTGGAACATCAATGTTTTGGATCTTGTGGTATGCTGTCAAACGATGGCTGTGCGACACTATAAGCTGGCGCACTGAGAGATCTGTTAGGGACGACTGCAGATTGTTTCGCGAAATATACAACAGCCGGTATCGAGAAAACGACTTATTCCATGTGCAGCAACTCCGAGAACACCGGCCCCCCATATCGCTTGATGAGCAAGCGGTCATTGATACACGCATGGAAGTAACATTCTGCGGCTCGTCGTCCTTCGCGGAAAAGGAAAACGTCGTGTTAGCTTCAACCTGCGCGGCCCCTGTCCTCGCGCTCAAGATTTTCACGCCGAATACGTGATTGAAGCCTTTGGAGCGTGGGAGAACTCATGTACGTTTGGCAGCGACATGCCGCAACAGCCCACAGGAAGGCACACTGGAAGTCGACATCAGGGCTATCACAGTAGAAAAACTCGTGTGCTGAGGCTTGAAAGTGGTTTACGCGCTGTTGAGTTGTAATGGGTGCACAGCGACATTGAATTTATCTTCAACGTGCAGATAGAAGCCCACATGTTTCTTTTTGACATTATGACTTGGATGCACAAAGGCAATAAACATGAGTGGAGATATAGTTGACGTGAAGCAAGGTTGATCTGTGATCTCCACTTGCCTACTCCCTGGCAGTCGTGTCGAGGTTACATTTCCTCGTACCATGAGATATAAGCGCATTGAGGGACGGGGGTTGGGAACGTCATGCAAGACTCGCATTGACTGGTCGCCAGATGTTATCATCATCTCTTAGCCGCATGTCCACTCCAGGCGCTGGAATATACAGCAGGCAAGAAGCGCAACGCACAGGTTGCCGCGTAATGATCCCATTAACCTTCTTCTCCAGGATTCCATAGCTGTTGATAGATCGCAAATCTCACGTGCCCAAGATTCAGAGCCATCCGGTCGTTTAGACCCCAAAATAATCACGATCATCGACAAGTGCCTCAGACGGCTAGCTTCTCTCCGAAGTGGGCACCTAGTCGACGCATACCTTGAGTGACTACCTTCAGCTCCAGCTCCGGGAAGCTACATCTCACATCATCTTCAGCCGCCTCGGCCCCCTCTTCCCCCACCGCGGCCTCCACCTCGCCCTCCTCTTCCTCTAACCCCCCCTCTTCCTCCTCTCGGCCCTCGACCGCCCTTCAAGGCTCTGGGCGTATTCCCATCAAACCTCTCAAAGAGTCTCTCCTCAGAAAATGCCATCTCTGAGAACCTTACATAGCTAATCATGCCGCCGTCCACAGCCGCCACAATCGTGTTACGCCAACCATGCTTCAGCCGCGAGTATATCTGCTTCACCCCGTCTCCCTTTGTCTTTGGCAGATCCCAGGGTCCAGACTCCAGAAGCGGCACAATCTCCTCGAGCGTCGGGACGCTAGTGGTCCGGGCATCCACCACTGTGATGAGAAAGTCGGGAACACCTGGGTTGGTCTTTTGGAAAGCGGGGCGGGAGCGGTAGACGTGGAAGCACGTCCTGTAGGGAGATTCGGGTGGGATTGGCGTACGTGAGTTGGGATCGGGTTTGTGACGTGGGATGAGGTGGAGCTGAGCGTATATGGGTTGATAAGAACGATAAAGTCCGGGCTTAACCAAGGGGCCTGCAGGTTGATAAGTCGTTAGGTCTTGACTCGGCTGACCTGCGGCTGAAGGCTGGACCAGAGAGAGTAGCCATTGCCATATGGTTTGAGGTGGAGGTGTCGGCGGTGGTGCTGGAATTGCAGCCTTGGGGCGCAGGACGGTATAGCCTGTCCTGCGGAGGTTGGCATAAACTTGGTATCTCTCCATTGTCACCTTGCCTCGCTCGCCTTCCTTGCCGATGAGTAGAGCATACGCAGCTTGTACGCTCAATGGTAATCCGAGTTCCTCGTCGACATCCTCGCCATTGTCTTGGGCCTTGGGCGCCTCCGCGGGTACAGGACCCGCCTCAGTTTCCGCGTGCTCAAAATCTTCTGTGGTTTCACCCTTGCCAAGCGGAAAGATGTCCTTTATCTCTTTCCGAGGCCACCAAAGGTCCAAGTCTCCCCGATCCACCAAAAACAGTGCTTCCTCGGGCAGCAACCAATCCTTCTGATACCCAGGAACCCGGTCTGCCTTTCGACTCGTAAGACCGCTATGTGCCCTCCCCATGCTCTTCATCAAAGTACTCCTCGGAATGTCGACTACCACGACCCGCTCCCTCATACACAACCCCGACTCTTCGTCAACCGGTTCGTTGACCCATTGCTCTGAAAAATAGTACCCGCGCATGTAATCGCGCGGCTTTCCATGTGTACGGGTAAAGCTCAGCACCTCGTGCATCGCATTGCGACTCGACTCCAACACGTCGCCCTGTACTCGCGTGCCATGCGACTCGAAGTCTTTCTCGCCACGGCGAACTGCTTTTCGCACCGATTGTTTGCCCTTCGAGTACGTCGAGAGAAATTGGCTGTAGTCTATGATCTGGTCGTCGAGATCGTCATCTTCGAGGGCCGTGTTTGGGGTCGTGGGAACCAGCGAGGCGATCAGAGTACTTCCGTAGATGGGATCTTCGTCGTCATCGAAGGCCATGATTGTAGTCTTCGATTGGTTTGTACTGTTATTTGTTGTTCGGGGTAGTGTGCGCGTTATTGCATCTTGGCAAAGGTACTTCAACGATCCAAAGAAAATGCGCGCAGCTGGTACTTGTCATGCAACTGAAGCAGTCACGGACGTTGCGAAGATGAATCCAGAAAACTTCACCTAGGTCTTGAGCTCTCAGCCTTACAGGCGGGTTACAGGGATCATGTAGCTTCAAATCCCCAATCAACCCCTCACCCTCAATTTGGACTCATGTCAGTTCGTGAAACAAGCTTGAGTGAGCATTCAAGTAACTAAAATCAGCTTGAAACATGGCTTAAGATCTCTTTGGTCTCGTGCTGTTCTCTCGGTATGTTGTAAGGATCGGATCCACATGCGAAATACCTTATCCCGCTTGTTTCAGTGGCTCTTAGGCATCGGGAAACTGAGCATAGGACCCCACTGATTTTGGCTAATGCAATATGGTTTCTTTGAATCGGGAAATTTCCATATCAAATCAGGGAGTTTGGCCGAGTGGTTAAGGCGCTGTGTTTAGGTTATTCCTGATAATCTATTAACCGCAGTGGGAAACCGCGCAGGTTCGAGTCCTGCAGCTCTCAAATTTTTTCTACATGCATTACTCCTGATATGGGAATGTTTTAATCAAAAAATTTTGTTTGTTCGGTTTCTGAGACTCAAGCCATCCCGAGGTGCGTATCGAGTCCCATCGATCCAGGTAAGACATCCTGATGATGAAGCCACGAAGTCGAGACTTGCCCATTATTCTCCCACATTTTACTCAAGATCGTTGACCACCCTAGAAAACTCTCAGAAGGCTTGCATCAACCAGATAGCCCTCTCTCGTGATTACACATCACTATCCCATCCCATTCTGACCGACATACACAAACCTAAGGTCTGTGTATACACATCCCGCACCGTAACAACACATCAGTCACACAAAGAAGAAGGTATTTGAATTTGTTTCGAGTCATTTCCAATCATATCGGCCCATCTATACGGGCACGGGCACATGAGTGCGTTGTAGAGGTACAGCATATATATACAGACATGTTCATCCAACACGTTGTTCTGTGACCGCCCCCAGCAGCCGGTCAAGGCTGTGAGTCGGGGATACGAGTCCCTTCTCTCGACGTCCCGGCAGACTTTCCATGGCCGTTCGGTAATTTCCCAGGCCTAAGTCGTCGTCTAGTTCCCGGGAATTCCAGACCGCAATTCCTTGCCAAGCTGTGAGGACTAGTATCATACGGTCTCATCTCATGAGGAAAATTCGCTTGCGGGACAACCCTCCTCTTCCAAACCTGATTCCAACCTTGCTTTCCTGTAAACGCCCCAGACACTATACGCGGGTATCCTCCAGTGATCGCGCATGCAAGTTCGTAGACTGAATCATAACGCCGTAAGCAAGTCCGCTCCTCAATAACATATTTCTTCCATGTGAACGCCGGCCTAGCCAGGACTTCGGGTCCATATGCTTTCGACACTTTGGTCCACGCACTCATCTAGATCAATAATTGCCGTTCTCAGCACATGCTCACCACGTCCATAAATTACCATTAACCCAAGTCCCTCAAAAACGCCCACATACGGGTTTCACGGCCAATGGCTCCCCTTTTCGGCCAAAGCCTCGAGTCAGCCCTTCGGGTCTTTCTTTTCGTTTCAGAAAGATACAGCCCCTTTGCGAGTAGTCCACGTGTTGCATCTGTTGTGCATGCGCTAAAGTCGAAGGGGCAGGGTTAGAACCAATACCATTCTATTTTCAGGTCGGTTGCTGCTGTGAGACGAAGCGGATGGCTTTCGGAATCCATTTAGCTTTAACTCCTACCACTCGGGCGGATAAAGCAACTACAAGTCTGCAGGCCGCATGCGGTGATGTTTTCGACGAGAAGCGGTGATGATGCAGTCTCAGGGTGCCAACCAAAATTGCGGGACCACAGGTTCGGATGTCTTCGTCAGCCCCACCAAAGCATCATTCAATCAATGGCTTCTTCTGGCCCCCAACAATGCACAAGCCCAGTGTTCTCAGAGCATTGTGGTCATTAGCCAGAACAATGGATCTTGCGGGCAACATGGGGTTGTTTTGGTCGACAAATGAAGCTTCTTTCGCCGACTGTTCAATCGCATCCATCTCTTCTTTGCATGCCTGGTGGTCCATTGGACAAATCACGATAGGCTGCCGCAAAGTTATATCACGCGCTGAAGTCAAATGTGCCTGTGTCGACTGAGGTCAGTAACTGACTGCATTCAGGATTACGAGTTGCTTGTTTTCATCTTCCGCAACATACCTTGATGGCCAGGAAGAACTCGATTTTGTAGAGTGTTGATGTGGTCGTGAAAGAGTTAACTTCGTAATTGGGAAAGGCTGGCTCCCCTCGCTTGATGATGCCCGTGCTGTCCCGGAGATCTTTATGTGGGAAGATGACACCCATGTTCGTGACATATCCTGCCTCTGGCAATCTCGCCCCTACCGCCTGAACGTGCTTCTGTAACCTGTTCACTTTCTTGGTAGGTTCATCGCCTTCGGGGTTGTACGTAATTTCCTCTTCGATCGCCAGGGTAATTTTTTCGATTTTGACTTTCCGTGCCTTTGCCATCCAATCCAGATTCGGCGCCAGCTTGATATATACCGTTATGGGATCCATAGGGCCGTAGCTCCATCTGGGAAGGGAGATTCCAAGCGTAACGACATTGTCTACCGTTGCAATCTTGGTCTCGGGCCGGTTGTACATTCCAAAGGTTGACAGCGTGTCATATCTTTGTAGGGGTATCGGGAACGCGTACTTGTTTTGCATGCTTTGGCCCTGCTGCACAGTCACGACCAACTCATAATACGTCTCTGCTGTCCTGCTGTTGAGCTTTAAGGATGCTGGCGGTATCCTCCTGTTCGTCTCCTCACCACCTCGCCCAAACGGGATGAACAACACAAACGGTAGATCCATCGCCATAATATTCTCGGCGTCCTTTCCCGATGAGCAGCGAAATAGCAAGAGCTCCTTGCCGACGACGTCGGTAGAGTCGCGTCGTGGTGTGCCGAGGTGACGCTTGGCCATGTTTTCGGCGGCTGGATGGATTGTTTCCCTGCGCTGGAGACATATTCGCACGAGAGAGATAGCGACAGGTGCCGAATAGCCCTGTGAGGGTCTGATTTCGACTTTGCCCTCAATGCGCGGCTGTACAATACTGGGGTTAGTGGAGGTTTGGGGTAGCTGCGGGAGACTGGAGTTGACATCGCAAGGCTCTGGGTACTGGAGTACAGCTCAGCACCCCACATAGCGATAGGGAACTGGAGGACTAGAGAGACGAGGCTGGATGGGAACATTTCCACGACGCCAAAGGGAACGAGGTAGCCGGGGGGACTTACCAAGGTCGCTGAAATGCCCGGATAGCCGACCAAGAAGCTGCTATTTGGCGGTCCAGAGACCCGGACGAATGCCGGTATCCGGTCTGACATGTTCTCCGCCTCGGCTCAACACAGACGGGCTTGGTGATGATAATTGTCGAGCGCTCTCAGTCGCTGTTAAGGCCGTAGCATGTATTTATCTTCGCCTGCGATAGGCGTCGGCGCCAGGGTGTAATCGGGGATAGTGGTCGTCGCAATCGAGCAGTATGGGCGGCAAACGTGGTGGGCGGTCATTACATGTCAGATTGGCTCATCGAGGAACACGCCGGAGGGGGGGGGGGGTAAATGGAGGCGTTGAGGTCGGCGGAGTCGCTATGGTCAGCGTTGTTATGGAGTCAGTTTGGCGGCGGTAAGATGCCACTGCAGTTGCCGTGGTCGTCGATTCAAGGTAATTCGAGAAATTGGGTTGTCGAATTGCTCTGTGTACGTTGACCGTTGCAGCCTCGAGGTGACTGCTTCTGGTCTACGTCTGCAGCTGGTTTTCGTGGTAGCCGCCCGCTCTTGAGAGCTCGGTGACGAGCGGGAACAGTGGGTAAAAACGACCCGCGCGGCGCACTTTGGTTGCGCTGGTCTGGAATGCACAGGTTGCCCGGGTTGGGTTGATACCGGCAATTTGATGGAGGGTGCGGCTTAACGCAACTCAGCTAAGATCAGCCCCCCAGACCACGTAAACGAACCAGGCTGAGTGGTGATTGTTGTGGTTTCCAAGACGTGGTACCGTGTGCAAGCTTCCGCTGATGACGGCAGTAAGGGTTGGGGAACACCTAACTTAATGAACGAGCATTGGTTGAATGAGTTGCAGTTCTGAATGTAATTGTGGAGAGGCAGAATAAAGATAGCAAAAAAGAAGGCAGTCAAAGCCAAGTTAAGGTCTTGTCAACGGTCAACCTGCCTTGCGCAGATTGATGTAGCTCGTGGTCGTGATGCACGATTGCTGGGCCCACCGGATATGAAGTAGTCGTCCTTTGGGAACCCTGTGGGAACCGAGTCTTTGCACCTCTTTAACTTTCGCCGAATAGTTTCCCTTGCAAGGACACAGCTGAGCGCATCTAAATGGCCAAGTGCTCAAGATGGAATTGACTGGGCGAGCTGCGAGCTTCTGAAAGTTGATGATGGAATGAGCAAAGAACCGGCCGCTAGCAGACCTTGAAACACAGGGAACTACCTTGCTCTCTTCACTGAATGCACTAACAAGGTAGGTAGATGTCAACGAGGCTTCAGGTCTTGGAAAAAAAGTGGCCAAAATGCTGACACGACCCAGTCCATCCCAATCCATCCTAATCCATCTGCTGGCCAAGGCAATTTGGGTAAATCAGGCTTACATCGACTTGTGGTGACTGCCGAATAGTCCAGAGCCATGTAGTATGTTCTCATCGGGGATCCATAATAAATCTAGGACTTTGAGCTGGGGTTACACCACTGTGCTTCGTACACAAAGTGGGGTTGCGGATTCAGTGTTGTTGATGATTGTTGATGGGAGCAACAGTTGTACACATCCAAGTCCGCAAGAGGTCAACCGCTGTTCAGTTCTATCATAGCCAAAGACTTTATGATCACTAAATATGGACCCTGCCGAGACTTTCGAAGCTCTTCAAATGTCTATATCGAGCATAGATCGGACTAATTGAAGGCAGGTTCGGTGCTCTTGGCTGGCCAAACTCAACCACATTTGGTACTGCGAATATCCCTGGCATTTGTCCATAGTCAATAGAAAAGCGTTATAAAGTGACAATGAAAGTTTCTCAAAATACATTTCATGGAGTATATCGAGTACGGTAAATACCTACTTAGTTATTAAGGACTTGCAGTTGCTGGGTTTCGGTTTTTCGAATCGCCCCTCTCCCGAGGCAAGCACCTGCTAACCCCGCTGATGATCTAGCCCCATCTAGATCAATCCCTGCAAGTAGACTCGTGGTCGCCTCGAAATGTCGACGTCGTGTTTCGAATGAAATAATGCACCGATTTCCACTTCCTTGACTTCTGGAATACAGGCATGCAAGACCAGGCATGAATGCCCGAGCTCATATTCCACATGATCCGCACTGCTGTAGCGCCTTTGCATACCTTTTTTATTCTAGCTCGGCTAAAACCCCATATCAATTTTCGCATCTTTGCTCCGCTGAATTCCAAACAATGCAACTTCAACGACGCTCTTCATCATAACCCTTTCCCCCGCATCTACGAATTACATCTATCGCACATCTCATAATGTCGGTGACACTACACACCAACTACGGTGACCTCAAGATTGAGGTTTTCTGCGAAAGTGTGCCGAAGACGGCTGAGGTTAGTCTCATGAAGATCTTCATATCGAACACTCGGTCTAAGAACAACACAGAACTTCCTGGCTCTTTGCGCTTCGGGCTACTATGACCTCTCCCAATTTCATCGTCTGATCCCAAATTTTATGGTTCAGACCGGAGGCCCAGCGAACCCGACGCAAGAAAATCCCAAGGGCGGCCAGTCCATATGGGGTGGCACATTCGAGGATGAGATCCGGCCCGCTCTCAAACACAATGCTCGTGGAATCGTATCAATGGCAAACAAAGGCCCCGGGACGAACGGCTCTCAGTTCTTCGTTCTATTCGACAAAGCGACGCATCTTGATGGCCTGAACACCGTCTTCGGCAAGCTGATAGGAGACGAGAGCCTCGCAACGCTGGCCAAGTTGGAGGCGATAGAGGTGGACAAGAAAAGCCGACCCAAGGCGAAGGCTTTCATCGAGAAGGTCACCATTCATGCCAATCCACTCGCCGGGTAGCGGACCGATGCATGTTGATACGCGTTCCTTTCAGGTATTATTCGGATGGCTTTCGTCATCGAGGATTCGACCTCGATGACCGGGATTATCAGCTCACAGCTTCGGGCCCTTCAACGGTATCGGGAAGGACCAAGCAATCCTTGCAGTCAGCTTCTACCACCGCCGCGAAAGGACTATTCATAACCCTTCTGGCCCGCTTGCTACTCGCTTACCCGGCGTGTTTTCGAGTTCCAAAACGACGTTGTTTTAGCTACTTCTTGTAAACAATGAACCAAGCCCTCAACGCCTCACCAATATGTGCATTTCCAGCCGACGTGGACTATGTGCATACAGTTTGGGAGCCTTTACGATACAGGCTTGAACAATTCTCCCAACGCCGGAACGGCCCAGGCCGCCGTTGGTCGTCAATTGGAAGTCTGACAGGGTTAGCAACGCTCAGGAACCTTGGGGCTAGAAACGCGGCTTGGTCCTCCAAAGGAAAGCAACCACCAAATTCGTGTACAGGGGCAAGTATATGCCACAAGCTCATTTATCAGTTGAAATGGGATTTACTGAGCCTTGGCGACCATGTCGGCTTGCCTGGCTCCCCTGTTGCTTGCAATCCGGGCTCCAATCGACCAGATGACGATCGAGCCAAGCAAGGGCCCCGGCCCTACAAATGGAGAATGACATCCTTGATATACTGCTTCATTGGCAGAGAACATGGTTTCAGATTACTTTAAGAAAAGAGTCACTTCAAGGATTTGATTAGAGATGATAGCGGGTCCTGCTTCGCCGCAAAGAAATGCCAAAAATCGGAGCCTTTACATAAATACAGTCACGCTCCGTGAGGACCACTTTACGCCAACGCGAAAATTCGCGCAACCCACCGATCGGTTATCACCAAAACACTTTAACGCTGGACAAACTGCCACCCCTTCGATTCGCTAGCCCGTGGCCGTCGTCCTCGCACATCAACATGCCCCCGTAAGCGTTTCCTTTTTGGATTATGCGAAAGGAACAGGAATCAAGCCTATTATGCTGATGAACAGTCTGGGATAAGGATCAGTAAATTTACTACACGTTGCTACCTCAAGGCTCATAATATGCGCAAATAGACGCCCAAGAAGCGGGTGCTATGCTTGGAAGTAGTAGCAAAATATCGTCATAGTTTGCTTTTTATTAGCTCGAACCCATGGAGAATTAATAATGGTATGTTCTCTAACGCAAGTAGAGGCTAATTGAGGCTTTAGGTCATAGTTCTAACGAGTCCTCTTTACATAATCTACGAGCAACCGGACCGCCTGGGTTTTCCGATTTTCGAGCGGGAAGTTTCTTAAGGACGTCGTTAATTTAAAATGGCACGTTATAGCGAATATCTCGAACATGATGTAGGTAATGATCTGGATAGAAGCTGGAGAGGGTAAAAAGTCACCGCTGGTTGTAATGATCAGGCCAGCGGTAGAGGGACTGCAGTACGTGGAGTTGTCTACAGGCCTAGAAGAGGGTATGCTACCATGTATTCAAGATTAGATGCATTTTCAGTAGGATAACGTGAAGAGCCACCTCTTGACGTAAGCGATAGAATGGTTTGGTCATAAGCCATTTGTCTAATTTAATAGCTGGCTTATAGCCCAGATCTCGACCCTATTAAGTATATGCAGGCCTATTTAAAGCAATACCTTCGTAGATAATATCCTAAACCGTTCAAATTCGAAAATAACAAGCTCGATATTGAAGAGTTGAGGGCTGTACTGCAAAAGGCGTGGCCAGCAGTGCCGGACGACCTGATTAAGCGGCTGCTCACCACACTGGAGCGCCGGCTTCGTGCGGTCAAAAGGGCCCACGACTGGTATACGAAATATTAATCTCTACACGCCAAGCTTCGTTTCGGCTTTATTTTGTGTACATATCGCATATATGTATTGATAAATGGCCAAGTGCCAGCTGTAACACTGTGCCCGTTTGTGTGTTCTAGAGGGGTGGTCCCAGACATTTGGAACATGGCTGTATCGCATTCTCCCGCCGTCGCTGCCCTCTACGTCTTTTGTTCCTACAAATGGCTATTTTCATAGTTGGGTATGTCAGATGAAACCAAACAAATATTCCAACATAACCCGCGGCTATGGTGCCGGCTCCATGACCCGGCCGGAGCCGGCAGCACAGGTGAAGCAAGACCCAAAGCTCAGCATCTGGTTTTCTCTCGCAACCATGACCAGCCTTGTCCTTTGTCTCGTGGCCGTAATTGTTGTCGTCCGCGTCGTTGATGGCGAATCTATCACCTCATGGACGGTCGGCCCAACAGTTATTCTCACGGTTCTCTCAAACCTCATTACCATGCTGCTAAGCCTCATGCTTACAACAAGCATAACTATAAGATGGTGGAGAGAGGCTCAACGCGGGGCAGGGCTTTCACAGCTGCACCAAATATGGGCAGTCAATCGCAACCCTCTCTTCCAGCCGCATAAGTGGAGGTAGGGTATCTTTCGAGGGGGTCCAACAGCCAAGCTTTTACTAGGCCCTATACTCATCACGGTATCGTCCTTAGCGGTGCCGCCACTTCTGCAGCAAGTTATGAGGCCCCAGGCTTGAAAAGAGATGGAAAACACGGGAGTTATCACAATGGATATCATCAGCCCCCTGCCCAGCGGTTTGACCGGTACCGTTGACAAGGACACCATATCAGCTTCCTTGGACTATAAGGCGGCGGCGACAGCATGGTACAACAAAGATACAATTGCCCTTGGCCAGGAACCGTCATATCATATCAATGTGAGGGAAACAACGCTGCATGCAGTGGTAACATCTCAGGCCCCGGCATTGCTGCACTTGGATTTGATGTTCCCGTTGAAGGAGCAAAAGGAGGGCACATATGCCTAACCTGTCTGTATTGTAGCTAACTCTGGTCCTCTCTTCGAGGGTCTATGTATGGAAACAAAAGGGTTCTTATATAGTCAATGAATGGTAGACTTGCTGATTAATTCAGACAAGTTGTAGAAGCATATAGATAAGTAGGGAATGTTCTATCCTTGCCACATTTCTCGTAATAGAGGTATGTGGGGATGGTCGCCGTTCTAGGTGGCGATAGTGGCAAGTATAGGACCCACATGGCCCACAGGGCCCATATTGTCCAACTGCTGCAAACTGCTCAAGTACGATGAGCCAAGTAATCATAGGTGAAGAGCGCGATATCGGCGAGTGAAACTCTGCAGATCACGCCTCGGACGCGGGTGACTTGCCCCAAGCCAAGGAAGTACGCCAGCCGGGCCTTTATGGGCTTTAATATGAATGTATCCGACCTGTTTCTATTCCTTCCCGTATATTAACGCGAAGAGTACGGGCACTTCGGTGCTCAATGTCATGGCAAGAGCCTCTCACGGCTCTCCCTCGACGGAAACAAGCGCACGAACCGCGTCACTACACCACCGTCGACGCCTTCGCCTATAAAGATCCCAGTCACGGTAAGGCAACGGTGGTACGTTCTTGGGCCCGACTACAAGTTATTCGCGGCCGCAGTTGCTCTCGTAGGTTTGTGCTTGTTGACGGGGCTAATGCTTGTTTGGGGCTGGTGGGAATTGCATCGCGACGTCAGTATGAGCCCGTTTGATACGGCGCAGGTCTTTAGGAGTGTAGGAATGACGGGGGTTATGAGAGTTGAGGATCTGTTGCATGTCTACGGCGGGCAGGAGATCAAATATCCCCCGCCTCTGGTCGACAAAGTCAAACTGCAGGCGCCGGTGTGGTATGGCGTGTACCGAAGAAGAAAATTATGCGGCAGCCGGTAGTGTTGGATTGCAGACACCTAGACCGTCGTACTATGGGAATGAAAGGACGGGTGGATACAACAACGGGCTATGGGGGAACCCTTTGCCGATGGAGAGGGGAGAGATGAATATGTAAGCACAATATTGGGACGGTGGATAGTTGGAGGCGATGCATGACCAGCGCATTCAGCCTCCAACACAGCATCGAACATATGCAAATCATGATCCTTGACCAGGGGCTGAAAACATCATCCGGGAAGCCCCATTTGGGTTGGCTCGATGCTACAAGGTCTTGAAGATGAACAATGGGGCGACTAATGCAACAAACCGCCGAATCACTTCGAGTCGACCTAGGCAGCGAGGTTTCGAGCTTTTTCCAGTACAAGTCTTGTAATCTGGGTCTGCCCTTCAGGTTCATGCAGAGCTACGAGTGGGTGATGATTCGCGAGGAAAATTCATTTGTCGCGGAGGAGACAAGTGTTGCTGGCGGATCAATTCACGAATATGATCGATCATGCTTGCTTGACCACAATAGTCTCCTTCCTGTTTGCCAGGCACAGTTGTTGGGCGTTTGTCTGCTCTCAGGTGCTAGTGGCGTGGTCTGTGCAGGAGGGAACCCGTTCTGTCCGTCTTGGAAGTCAAGCTCAATCCCCAAGAACTTGACAAGCTAGGGACGGGAGACTGAGAAAGTGCCTGCTTTACACTTATTTAGATACATCACAACTCTCGAGCTCCCCAAGGAGCCCGCAATTGATGCATGTTGTCCTAAGATGTGAATGCGCCAGGTTTTACTCCGCGGTCTTGTGCCTTCCCAGGTCATCCTTACCTCGCTGGCGCCTGCCGATCCAATCACCGGACGGCTCCGACGACTGCGTGTACACTATGCAGCATTTCAAACCTTGCGAACTTCAACTTGGACTTCACCTTCAATATCAGCCGCCACCACCACCTTCATCCCCCCATTTCCACCAATCATTCGCATCACGAGTAGCACGTGACCTAGCAAGATGACGATCATTGAGGATGTTCCTGGCGTTGAAATTGCGGTCCAGATTGGCGGCGCCGATGTCGTCGAGTACGATGCCCTTGATGCAGATGGCGATGAACCCGTCTGTCCCACCATCACCAAGTACATCGAATGCATCGATGATGCTCATTTCGTCATCCGAACCAGGATTGATAATTTCTACCATTGGGGATACAAGGATCATGTCTTATCCCTTCAGCTCTACATCGATGGAACGTGGATCAATGCTCGTATCTGTCGAGCCTCGGATACTCGCCGCACTGGTTACAGAGAAAACAAAATCTCCGGCCGTGAGGAGCCCAGCGGTCCAAACGGGCAATGGGTACTCCGCAAGTTCAAGTTCAGCTCCGTACATACTGTGGACGACTCGAAGAGAGAGCGGGTCGAGAAGGATCGCGAGATAGCCAAGAACCTTGGAGTCATTGAGGTGAAGGTCAGACGTGGCACTGACTATGGGCTCATTGAGTTGCGGCAAAATACAATCAAGAACAAGAAATTTGAGATCGCCGAGAAGGCTCTCAAGGGCAAGGCTATCTCTCACGGAACTGCGTATGCTTGCACATTGCCCGAGCCGATTACATTTAACTAAACATTATTAGGTTGACTGCGGGTGATGTGGTTGCTGCTCCCAATTATGTTGACTTCAGATACCTGCCAGAGGATGGTGATCGACCTATTGCAGTTTACAAATTTCTCTACCGATCTAGAGGTGGTTGTTCCACGCAAATTTCAAGACACAGCGAAACTGATGGCATGAATAGAAGCTTTAAAGCGAGAGATTATCATTCCTCGGACGCCGCCACCCCGTTCACCGACTCTCGCTGCCCTGTCCGAGGCTGAGAGAGATAGGCTGGCCAGAGAAAGACTTGAGGAACTTCGGGTGAGTTCTTGTCTCCTGCTTCAACATGTTGCGCAAAGCTGACAGCCTCCGAGCATGCCAGAATCAAGAGTGAGAATGGTGCGATAAAGCGGGAATTTGGCGAGGTGTATGATCTAACGATGGACAACGTGCCTAAGAGGCCTAAACTGGGCCCTGGCGAGGTCATTGATCTCACGGATGATTGAGTTAAAGGCGATGGAGGGTTGGGGAAAGGAAGGCGCATACACACGGAGCAGCTTTTTCGGGTGACTACAAATGATGATACCATGGCTCTCTTGTTTCTATTTCACGGCGTCACATTGCCACCACACTGCACCTTGCAAGATATGCAAGAGAGAAATTTATGGGATAATACAAATTCCATCAGACTCCACGCATTGCCACAAGTCCGCACATGCCGCAGCCAGTCTCAAGCTGCCCAGAAATATCACCACACCACAAAGTTCTCCAGGTCTGCCACTGCCACTGTCTCCTGGTGGTAAATTTTGGGACGCCGAATTTCATTGCTTCCATTCCTCAGACGTGACTTTTCTACAATGGCCGTTATTTGCCTCTAACCTAGTCCTGTCCAACAAGGCCAGAATTTATTCACACTAGTTTACGATCACACAAAAATTTCGACGAAGCTTTCAAAGACTGTGTACCTAGGTCTGACCCGCCACCATCTTATCCCCGTCTAGATCAACAGCAACCCCCTATTTTGCCTTTTCGACAAAAGTACCACCACTTAGGCATACCCTTCCGCATGTCCTGCTCAAACCCACGGACACGGAACTCCATCGCAGTAGGGCACCCCGTCGACACATTCGCCCGTAGTCTCCTCGTTGCACCAGGAGCTGCCGCAGCAGTGTCCGTCGCAATGGCAGCGGGCCTCAAGCTTGTTGGATAACGTTGTTAGTGGACTATAATGCGCGTTTTAGTTGGTCTATAACTACCACATTGGCTCCGATGTCGGACTTTGGCTTGGCCATGGCGTTGGTGCCGATGATGGCGGTCAGGAACATGGAGATGATGAGGGTGGTCTTCATTGTGACTCGTTTTCTGTGGTTGAATATAGGAATATTGAGTGAATTAGAATTGGCGTGCAATGATAAAGCGGACTAACGATGTTCGTTCGACTGCCAGACTGCAGAAACCAGCCTGCTTATATAGTTTTACCTACCAGTAAATTAGTGAATCGCCTTTTGTTGTTGATTCGATGGAATACTCGCCGCTTACACGAAACCAAAAGGACCTAAAACTCTGGGCAGATCCTACATCATCCCTCGTCGCTTGGCGAAGTTGGAGAATTGGCTATAAAGTAGCGAACTACACAGTTTCCGTACACGTACGGATTATGTCAGAGAACAGAATGCCATAGGCACCGGTGTCCCACCGGTAGGGCTCTGGTGTAGGGACGTGCGAGTCATGACACGATATGGAAGTCTTGGTTTGCGGAACAATCGGAGAAACTAGTGCTCCGCGGCTCCGACGCCGGGTTCTAGCTATCTATGTAAGGGGCGGAGGCCCGGGAAGAAGATAGAGAGAGTAGAGATCAATGCATCATCGTGGGCACCCCTACCTGAGACCGCCAGTGACCACTCGGTGCTACGTAGGAGGGACGCCCGTTACTCCCCATCACTCTGTACCATTGCCTTCGGCCTAGCCGTACCTGACAGATTATCTATCGTAAGATGTTCATTGCTTACTTGAGCAATAGTGCTACCAACTGACCGCTGAGATCCCGGGACACCTTTTTCGTTTTCGGCCACGAACGATCTGAGGAGAGTCTATACGAAGGAGACCCGTGATCTGGGGTAGGTCGGGTATGTGGCCCAAGAGCCAACCGAGGGAGCATTAAGTCTGCGCTTTGTAAGAAACGGGGTAAATGACTATCGAGTGACAAAGGCTTGGTGGTGGGTGTGATGGTAGCCTAGCTGTATGCTGATGGCGTACCCTTCGAAATATTACTCATGGTATACAGTTCAAGACTGGGCACCTGCTTTTGGACTTTATCGTACGAATTAGTCAAACATACCATGTTATATTTACCTACATTGGCCTACTGTGACGGTTGTCACGTGATTGACCTACACTGGTCTGAACAGATTGATAAGTGGTTGCAGATATCAAAGTCAGGGACTTTGGTATTGGTCTCTTTTGGTGAAGACATCTGGTACGGTGGCGTAGTGGCAAGGATTGCCACCCCTAGCGCGGCGTGACACCTACCATATTTAATCATGTCCATGCATCTAAACTATCGTAAAATAATGCTCCTTATCAAATATCTTATGACACTTCGTAATATAGTTATAGAAGTTACTCTACTCGGGCAACTAGTACTTCAACTCAAACTCGACTAATATACGCTTAATGCTAGAATGTTAGGCAACCTTGGTGGGCTTTGCCAAGACCACCAAGGTCACCACGTGACTTAGCCCTTCGGGACTAAGTCCAACCTTCGTGCTCCATAGGACTAGATAGAATGTCATGCTTTTACAACCTCACAAATCTTTGACCACCTTTGCGTGTAACACTAGAATGACTTCCACAATCACTCTTATTTCATTTGTCATGTTAGTAAATTTACATTGGTATAAATGTATACTACTCTTAATAGGCAGAAATTAGTAAGATTGTATTTCAGAAGTATATAACACACTCCCTATCTACTCTCGAGACACAGGATAGTAGCATAGTCCAGAATGCCATTATGTAAAATATACTTTGCTCCGTAAATAAATAGCTGCCCCTATGATGCGAGTGCATATGGGGTGTGAATTGTTGTATTCGAAAAGGATGACCAAGTCAGCTATTCTGGCCTGGCAGAGCTCTTTAATAGCTCTTATCTATCTTATCTATAGCTATAGGGTAACCCCCATGGGGTCACGTATCACCCTAAAATGCTAGGTTTACTATACCCTTAAAATTCTCAGATTCTCCTTTTGAGGATTATATTGAGTTGTTAACTCGGGCTTCCTTGTTTTCTTTTTCTTTTTTGCATAACTTCTGTCGAATTCCGAGTATTGGGAACTGTATTGGTATAACAAAGGTGTGCGGTGAACAACTGCCCGGCGGTCGCTAAATACACTAGTTCGTGCCTAGGTACTTTGTATCCTACTATACCTGAGGCTACACTGGTCCACAACTTCATATTAGTTTCGGAGTTACTGTTTTCAGCATAAGCCAGGGGCACCTAGCTTGTTTGACCATGATCTCAGATAAATACCTTCTTTTCACGTGATACGAAACAGAAACCAAAAACAAAAGTTGGCTTTCAACCGTCTTTGCTTCTGTCAAGCTAAAATATCTACAGGAAGAAGTCAAATTAAAACAAAAATGGTATATAACAGGATCCCACCGCATTTCATCCGAGGGTAACCCACTCAACTATACCAATTGTTAGGCGTCCAATCGACAAACTCGGCATTAATCTTCTTCAAATCCGCAACCCCCAAATTCGCCGCATCATTCATAACCTCGGAGTGCATAATTTCGATGGCCTTAGCCACACCTTCCTCACCAAACACATTCGAGAACATGATGGGGCGTCCCAGACCGACGGCCTTGACGCCCAACGCCATCAAGCGCAGGGCGTCGGTGCCGTAGCGCACGCCGCCGTCGGCGAGCACCTCGATCTCGCGGAAGACGGCCGGGTCTTCCTTGTAGATTTCCAGGGCAACCTCGAGGGAGGAGCGGGATCCGTCCAGGTTGCGCCCGCCGTGGTTGCTGAGGATGATGGCCGGCACGCCGTGCTTGATGGCGGCGCGGGCATCGGCCGCGGATTGGATGCCCTTGAGGATGATGGGCAGGGTGGTCATCTTTTGGTATTTGGCGTAGACGTCCCACGTGAGGCGAGTGAGTTTAGTTACACTAGAGTCTTTTATGAGCACGTATTCAAAGGTGTCAATACCGGGTTCTAGCGACGGAAGACTTACGCAGATGTAACGCCATACCGAGAAGCACGCTGACGACTAGGCGAACCAGGGGCGTCAATGGACCATATGAGGGCCTTGGCTCCGGCGGCCTCGGAGCGGTCGAAGAGGATCTGGTTGGCCGTGTCGTTGGACGTGGTGTACAGCTGGCTGAAGAAGGTGTAGTTCTCGGCAGCGACGGCGGCGATCTCCTCGATGGACTTGGTGGCAAATCCCGAGATGATGTAGAGCGTGTCGGCGGCGCTGGCAGCCTTCATCAGGTTGAGCTCAGCGTCGGGGTGGGCATAGTCGGCCCTAGCACAGGGGCTGATGAAGAAGGGGTTGGAGAAGTTGAAGCCCAAGATGGTGGTGCTGAAGAAAGGTTAATAAGTATGCAACAGAAGAAGAATGCGCGTGGAAATGGATGGCTCACCTCATGCTGTCTTCAACATTGGTGATGTCGTTCAAAACGCGGGCCTTGAGACTATAGCGGTTGTAGACCTCGAGGTTGTTGCGGTACGACCACTCGCCACCAGCCCCATTGCGGTAGTAAGTGTAGTTCTTTCCTGGCAGATAGTGTCTGGCGGCCCACTGGAAGTCGTTGAGACCCACCATTTCGGTCACGTTCGGAAGCTGGCCCACCTCCAGATCTCCCAAGACATCGTCGATGCCCGTGTCAGGCTCATCGAGGAAGGACCGGGCAGCAAAGGCAGCTGTGGCCAGCGCCGCGGTAACGAATGTGGTACGCATTTTGCGTATTTGAAAAGAGAGTGGCTTGAAGTTGGACTGTCTTCGTGTGAGCTGAAGCACTGACAAACTCTGATGATCATTTGACCGAGTATGTCGATCCCTCTTATATATATCCCACTACGTGAGTAGACCCATTCTCGGCCTCCCACTTCCCATCCCTCCCACTCTCCGGGTCTATATTGACCCCTGCAGATATGGCCAGTATCAGGTAAAAACCACGAAACATATTTAACAAGCAATCAAGCTCCTTGGATGCGATGCCAAGATCAAGATCCATGGATACCCATGAGGCGCCCATAATGCTCTAGCTCAATCTCACTCGTCAATTCTCCGTGGTATTCCTTTCGTCTCTTCGGCCTCATTTTTTTGTTTGGTTTAAATATGCCCAGTTGCCTCATCAGGCATAACCCAGGTAACCAGCTTCCTCATTAGCCAGAAGTACGCGCGAGCGGGTCCCTCCTTTGTACGTAAATGAGTCGCCGGTAGACCTCCCACCAATGTGCCGCCATGAGCGTGTGGGGTTTTGTTAAATGAAAAGAAGCGATTGCATCATCAAGCTTTCACCAAAATTGATAGGAATCTGGCTTCGGGGTCGGTTCGTTGGACGGGTCGGTTCGTCGAACTTGAGCCGCCATCTTGAAAGAGACTGATGTTGCATCCACTCCACCTGCATTGGTTCTGCAGCCGGACCTGCCTAAACAACTCACTACCGACGGCTAGCTAGTTCATGCACGAGAAAACCCAGGGTGCAACCATCCAACCCTGGGCGTATTGATATATTATTGCTCTATATCATAGCTGAGCAAAACCTCCATAACAAAAAGAAATAGCTAAGTTGAAGTAAAGTGATTTGGTAATGTAGATTCAATACCAGGACCTACGAGTGGACGAAAAGTATACCGGCGATGCGGGAGAGTGGGTTTAGGATCTGATATCGGCGTATATACAATCAAATCGTGACATAGATATCCGTAGATAAAGCTGGTTCCACTGCTGGTCTCCTCATACTAAGCACAGATAATAAATTACACCCCAGACTATAGCCACATGACACCCCTTGACTTGCTACATATAAAACAGAACACTGAAGATGCAACAAGGAGGCCAATGTGTCGCGATTGTACAAACAGAGGATGTTTGCATCTGGCTCTTTGGCAGCCATCAGTTCTGTCGCAATTTCGGGCTGGCTAGAGTCCCGGAAGAAAACGACGGCCAAGAGAAACCTTTTGGCCACATGGTTGCCATAGTAGCTTCTCAGTTAATTCCGCTGACAATAGTGAGATGTCGTTGCAGTGATGAAATATCTGTAAGAGCAGCGGCATTTTCCATATGATTGCGCGTCTGAGAAATTCTCAGGGGCCTCATGAGGCGGGGCACCCCGTTCAAGGCGGCTTTCTCAACACGCAAAGTAAGAAGACAACACAAAGAAACTTCAATCCCCCCCAGCATTCTCTATGTAGGTGACTCGATCTAGTTGACGAAACAACTGACTGTTATCGTCTCTGGTCCAGCCCTGCTCACAAAGGTGTCCCAGGCCCTCAGCAGTAGCGATAACTATCAAGCGTCGGAACCATCTCACCATGTCAGCCTGGTGAGCTGGGGTTGGCGTGCATATACACTAATTCCCTCACTATTCTCTGGACTTTGGTTGCTAATGCTAACCTTACCGGAGGCCCTGGTTGGGCAACCTGGTTGGTTTCCAATTGCCAAGGCTCATATAGCTATTTTGGCCGTACTGGGGACCCCTGCCAACCCTGTAGGACCCTCTGTAAAGCTTGGTAGCTTGAAAATTTCTGCTAAATGTCTGGTCCTTTGAACCTTCCGCTTCCCTTAGGTATGGAGAGACAAATTACCGCTACGCCGACTCTGGTAGCTCACTAGATATCGGCTGAGGCCACTCCGGTGCTTCCGGAGGCATATAGGTACCTTTTTCGGAATTTTTGTGGCTTTACCTTCCCGAACGCGTCAAGGCCATCTCATCGTCGTCCATTATATCCAGAAGGGTATAATAATCGAGACCCCAGCTTAGCCACTTTGCCGCGTACCAAGCCGCCCCGATTTCACGACCCTTTCGGAATCAAAAGCCGCCGTGAACCCCACCCTACGGCTAACAGCTACTTAGTGTGCTAGTGACTATAAGATAGATACGGATATACGTGACCCTATTAGCTACTAGCATGAATGCTGGTTGAAGTGCCCGCGGCTTTCGTTAATAGCACTTGATTTCCTTACAATACAGGCGCTGAATATAAGCAGTTATTTTCATCTGCCGCTAGAACGGTTACTTCACAGCCGCCAAGCCTTCACTCCGGTATCATAGGCATACGCCAGATACTACGAAGTTGGTATAGAGCCGGCTAAGTAGGCTTGCTAGATACTCTGCCTGGGGTGCTACGGCTAATGCGGCTACAGAAAATAACTAGCCGGATGAACCGGACGAGGCTACAGGGGAGACTATAGTCAACTCCACTAACATGGTTTCGGGGGACGGTACCGGTGTTTTGCGTACTATTTGATCACCAACCAACCAGGGGAGGGTGGTGAAATCGGTAAGGTTGGTCCGACCCTTGATAACTACTACGTAGTATACATGAGAAAATACGTTATGAACCACCTCTACGCGTCTAGGCATGCTCATGGATATGAGCCCCCGATAAGATATGCAACCTGCGCTGTTGAACAGTAGTGAACCTACTAAATGTAACTCTGGGATACCAGAGTAGTTTGAATTATACATGTTAGATGGAAAGGGTATTGACTGTTAGTGTGTGTTCAATATCTTATCTAAGCGTACTAGCAGAATGTATGTGTATACTGCTAGGCTCTCATAGTTGTGAGCCCGTGTCAGACCTTATAACTACCAAAAATACCTCATTCTACAACGAGTGGGTCCCTCGTCTTTTGACGGTCAATTTGGTCCAACAGTTATGAGCCCGGGTTTGCGTCTTAGACTGCAAGATTTTCTCGGGTATTATCAGTCCTCCAATTCCGCATAAGTTAATCAGCAATGGCTCGAGACGTAGCGAAACCGCGTCAAAAAATAAGAGTTTTATTACAGAATTCATACTCAAGGTAGAGGGGCGGACAATAAAAAAGATGTTCGATACCCTGCAGACACCGTAGATGAAAAAGATGTACCGACGGCCATTGAAGCCAACCAATATACCATCAGCCAGATTCTACTACAACTTGACGATATCTCTCCAAGCTGAGGGGGTGATACCTCATTCTACAGCGAGTGGGTCCCTCGTCTTTTGACGGTCAATTTGGTCCAACAACAACGTCAACTTCAAGGTGGTTCTGGGTGACGAAACCATCGTCAACGCTAACAAATCATCGAATCGATTTGGTCCAACAGCCCGATAGAACGACCGGTTCAACCATAATAATATGCCGGATTGTACAGCACCTATGTATTGATAGGACGCATCTTAAGCTCCCGGCCAACACAGCAAAAGGAACCGGATTTGCCCAGGTTAAAGTAGTTTGGAAATGTTTTAGTGACTTATATGCAACTCGGTAGAAAAGCCGGCCTCTACGTTGTATAAAGATGGTTGAAAGCGCATGTCCTAAAAGTAATTGGAACATAACAAGACGTTTTAACTAAAGAACAGGCTGTGGGATAAATTCTAACTCATCATTTGCAACCCGAGGAATACGGTCCAAATATAGATAAAGCCTCAACAACCTCACTTCCTTTCCTTTTCTCTCAACGAGCCGGCTCCACTGCTGCCATCACCCCTTTCTCCCCCTCCCAACACTCAAACATCCGTACTCTCCGCATCCCTTCCCATGAAAATCTTATACAGCCTCCGACTGATCGCCTGCCCGACCACCCGATCCGTAAACGCGCCATCCTTGTTCGCCGTCTTCTTGCACCCCTCCAGCGCCAGGGGCCCCTTACTCTCAAAGCCGCGAACCAGCTTCTGTACCGTCTCGTACTCGGCCGCAATCCCATGCGCCACCGACGCCGTCACGCGTGTGATCTCCTGCAACATGCATATGTAAGTCTCCTTGGCCCCCTCCCCGTTCCGCACCTGCCCGGCATCCATGCAGAACCCGGCCGAAGCGGCCGAGGCGTCGCGCGCTTTGCGGTACGGAATGGTGGATATGTGTTGCGTGAAAGTGGCGATCCACTGGGCCGTCTCGACGGAGATGTTGGTATGGTGGATTATGGAGACGCCGTGTTCGACCTGGAGGGAGATAAGAGCATCTTCGACTCTGTCCTCGTCGATATAATCCTGTGGCGCGGCGGCGTTTCGGCGGCGCGGTTGGTTGCTTGCCGGGGCTCTGTCCTCGCCTCGAACCGCGGACACGAATTGGCGGTTGCGCACGTTGCGGTTCTTACGCATCCAGGGCGTCAGGCCCTCGATGAGATATATTAACGTATTGTCGTGAAAGTGACGTTTCATCTTCAAGACGTGTGCCTCGAGATCATACCCCTCCTCTCCGAGGGCGAGCCTGACGAACCCGGCTGCGTCAATCACGACCGCAACGTGCTTCTCTGGCTTGATATGAATTGGGACTGGCTCCCAATAGCCCAGATCCTCGTTGAATTTCGACGTCACTTTCCTGCGCCATTTGACTACGTTATCCACAGGGCTATTCCAGGACTCGTGTTGAACGTCGAGGTCTTTCAAAAACTGGTTGATTTGAATCGAAATACCGGCTCCAAACGTGGAGGGTAAATCTACAATCATTTCTGGTGTAGACACCTTTTTGTCTGTCCGCAGCTTATTGACTTCTGCGAGTGCCTTCGCCCGCTCCTTCTCGAGTGCCTTTTGCCGTTTGGCCTTTTCTTTCTCCCGTTGCTTATATTCTTTCTCAGCCTCCCTCGCCGCTGCTTTCTGCTCCTTCTCCAACTGCTTTTCCTCGGCTGTCTTGGGAGGCCGCTTTTTCCGTGGCGACGTCTGGGCAGTCTTTGTGCGTTTGTGAGGCGGCGACTCGCTGTATGATCGAGATTTAGACTTGATCTTCGAGAATCGGATAGCACCCAGTTCTGGGAAATCATCTTCCGAATTGGACATGTCCGAGTCCAGATCAATTACATCCGGCACGCGCTTTTTAGAAGCTCGCTCTGGTGTGACGTCGAGTGAGTCGTGTTCGCGAGTGGTGCTGACCTCGGGCATGGAGCTTGAAATCGGATCCCAGTTAGCTTTCCGCTTTGGCGACTGCTTGCGCGCTGGAGGCGATGAAGTGCCAAAGGGATCGCTTGACAAGTCGAGTACGTCATTTTGCCTTTTCTGAGGTCGCTTTGTCGAGGTTGCATTCGTCGAAGACGTCGCAGATGGAATCCTGGAAATATCGTAACGAGGGGCATACTTGGGCCCGCGTGAGTTTTCCGAGACATTCGGTGGCGGGCGAGCAAAGTACCCAGTTTCGTGCGAGAGATCGACCACTGGCGAGCTGCTGTGCTGTATTGGATCTGCAGCCGAATTCCAGCGCTTGATGCCGGCGGGGAGTAATGCACTAGAACTCTTTACTCCGACAAGGGCCGAAGTCGTACGCGTTATTGACCGGCTTACAGTTTCACTCTTGCCTGTGGAGCCGGGAGATGCACGAGATTTAGTAGCGAAACTATCTCCCAGATCGCCAGTAGTGTCGAAGTCGTCAGACAGAAATAGGAAATCATCGTAGTCTTGTGGGCGCTTGCCCGCAGTCGCCCGTTTCGGTGCCGCTATTAGCTCTTTTGATCTCCTCAATGCGTTCGTCTGGACAGCCTCTGCTTGAGGAACGACGGTCAAATCGAGAACGGATAACTGGTCCGAATCGTAGTCCAGTGCTCGAGCTGGCGGACTGACCAGGTTGGGAGGGGCGACACGTGCCTCAGGCGCAGGAACCAAGGGAGAAGGCACCGAAGGGCTCGAAAGCAAGCTGATAACTTCCAGCATGGTTCCAATCACTGACTGGCGTATATGTAGAAAATTGCAGACATTTGTTTTCAATGCCCAAAGTGGAAGTCCGTCAACAAAAAGCGCATATGGTGCGCCTGATGCCGTCATGGACAATTAAACCCACGGCTAAATTTGCCCTAGCAATACGCGGTCGCGTTCGCGTTTGCTGGCTGTCGCGTGCGAGGTGCATGGTCACGTGATATCTGCGTTTCGACTCGAACGAAGAATTATTCTGTTTGCCATCCTGGATCTGCCAGCTCGAAGCTTTGACGAGTTGCTCATATTTGCAGCATCCGTTTATTTCTGGGCACGTCATCTAGAATCATCGCAATCGACCCAGTCTAATACGACCTTCATTAGTAATTATTCCTGTCTTTGAACTCCAACCGACTGTGATGGCCCGTCCGCTTCAACCTCTACTCGGGCCACTTACTGTGCACAACACATCTAGCTCTTCTACATACATGCTATAAATACACTTAGTCACAGAGAACTAATAATACCCACGTATATCACAGCCTAGGTGATCCCACCGCTCGGAACATGACCATTGCCAACATGCCCATTCGCGTACCCCAACCCCTCCTGCCCAACCACAGGGCCCACGTCATGCTCGTTAAGCGACGGAGTCTCGCGATGAAGCCTATCAAACGACAGAAATTGCACATTGGGATGGTTATACTCGCCCCTAATTTCATCCATCTGCGCCAACCACTCCAGCCTCTGAAGCCTTCGCACCAGCGCCCGTGCCATGGGGTCGACCTCCATGGGCACCCATCCGTGCTGCCATTTTCGGTATGTCTTGAGGACGCACCAGAAGGCGAAGAGGATGATGTGCTGTTTTTATTCTGTCAGTCTTTGTCCAGGCTATTTCTGGATAGATGAGCTGGACCTACCGTGCCGTACGCCGCGGCCACTTTCAGCGGAGTGACCGGCGTGTCCCACCACATGGCGCTGGCGAAGGCGAAAGCGACCAGACAGCCTATAAACCCGATCCGGGCGTTCCACGGCTGCAGCCAGATGAGCAGGTTCCAGACTCTCTGCTTGTATTCGGGAGAATTGCGGATGAATCGCGTGTAGCCCCGAGTTCTGAGACCATCGTCGCATAACCTCGTCCTGTCCAAGCAATATTGATTAGCCATGAGTTGAGCCTTCGAGTTGTTACTATGGTACCTACCACCTCTCGTACCGATGGAAAGCAACACAAATGGCCGCCCATACGATCAAGCACGAGACGCTCGACGTGATGGAGATCATGTCGATGACCTGGCTCCGATATCAGCTACTTGCTTTTATTTCTTTTCGTTCGAAATGCTCCACGGCCCGAACCTACATCGTTGATAAGAATCGCAGCCGACTTGTTAGTCACCATCTCCAACCACGGCAGCCAGTAAAATGCTAACACCGACCACAAGAGCGCCATTGCCGGCGTACCCGTCACCTCCCAAATCACGCTCGCCTTCCTTAGCTTCCTGCTCAGGGGGTTCCGCCCCGTGATGCGGTAAGTCAGCCCGTACAATGTCCGGCTTGCAATATAAAGCGACGTGTTGGCCGCCGAGATGGTACTAAAGATGAGACAGCCGTTGATGATGCCCGCAACGACCCCGCGGTCTGACTGCAGCACGGCGATGATGACGGCGCTGTCCGTTTTCCCGGCTTGGTTTCCTGTCGAGTTCGAGTGCAGGACGATGCCGCCGTAGGGTACAGGCAGACTCGGGTTTCCCCACTGGACTGTGAGCGCGATGCCGAGCGTGCATAGGAAGTACAAGAGAAATACGGCCCAGTGAATTGTACGCGATGGCCATCCGATGCCGTTGGGAGGCTGTGCCTCGAAGGCGGCCACGATGGTGGCTTCTATGCCGATGTAGCTGTACGCTACGGCAGGGAATGCAAGGCTTGGAATGAGCTTGTTAGTCTTGGGCCGTAACCGGGCGGAGTGGACGGTCGACGAACCATATGGCCTTCGTGTTGTTATTAATGAAGTCGATGTTGTGATTGAAGCCGTTTTTGATTGCTACCCGCCAGCCTTAGTGCCTTTCGGCTGAGTCAAAAGGTCGTTTTAGGGGTTACCATACGTTCATTGGGATCCCCTTGCCCCCCAGCAATGACATAAAGGATGAAAGTTACCCCAAACAGCAAAATGATCTTGAGGAACCCCCCTATTGTCTCGACGATGCCAAACCACTACGTCCTGTGAGCTAGCTGTCTGGGAGAAGAGTTGCTTTGATCACTGGGAGCTCATACATAGACGCCGCTCAGATTGAGGAAGAAAAGCACGAAAGGCGTGACGCCGTAGAACACCAGCGGCGCCAAGAAACCATCTGGTCCCCAGTACGATAGAAGAGCAGCAGCTCCCAGCATCTGCAATGCGAAGACCGACGCAAAAGAGTACCTGTGCCATCTTTGAGCTTCCGTCCTTCACTTTCATTCCGTGAAGGCCGTTCAAGGAATGTCTCGACTTACCAGTAGCAGACCCCGACAACCCAAGCGAGGTCCTCGTCAACAAATGCGTACACGTACTCGAATATCGCGTTCGGTACCGGGAACACCTGCACGAGCTCGCTGATCGTCTCACCCACAAATATTGCGATCAGGCCCAAAATGATGACGGTGAAGAGCATGCCCAGGGGCCCTGCCAGTGCGAGAGCCTGGCCATTGCTGGTGAACACTCCCGTGCCGATGACGCTGCTGATAACAATGAACTGTCGGACTTTAGTCAAAAGGAGAGAACTCATGTTTATTCTCTACGCAACTCACGAATATTTGGTATCCTCTTAACCCCTGCCTAAGTGCAATATTTAGGATTCGGGTTTCGACCTACAGAGTGTGGTGGATTGGTAGTCTACTCACCGAAGCTGAGCTCTGTTGCTGTTCAGAGGTTGGTGTGATGCCATTGGTTCGATCGGGATAGAGGAGTCTGCCAGTCAAGTTTTGTTGCGTGGGCAGAAACCGGGTAGGCCTAGGCTTTAATTGTATGTGGGAAGGACATGAAAGTGATGAGAAAGGAGGCAAACAACTAGGGCTTTCGCGGTGCGACCCAGACGAACAAGGCAATGGGGGCCAAGACGAGGCTCCCGCTACAGCCCCCCGCCACAGCCCCGCTGGAGTCATTTCGGATATCAAGCTGGCATACGAGGCCCTACATAGCACTCGAGACGGCCGGATAGCGGTATGGGAACGAATTATAAATTCGACTCGGTCGTGCGCGCAAAACTCTTTGCAGCTCAGTGCATAATTCCGTCCAAATCCAGATTGCGACAGTCAGACTATCTTCAACAATGGGCCAAATCTGCCTTGATCCCAAGTTTTCCCGCTACATCAACGTCGGGACTGAGCTGAAGGACTACCTCAAGGAGAAGTACAAAGCCAAGTACGGTTCCGACGTTGACTTCAAGATCGAGGTCAGTTCGATTCTTGCCCCGTGCCCAAAAGGTTCATCAGCGCGCGCCTTTCTGACATAGCCATCCAAAACAGCACCAAAACGAACGATGGTATTTCAACTTGCCGGACGGCGAGGAGATGACAGAGGTAAGTGAGCCCCTCCTCCCACTCGGGATACGAAGCTCTAGTCCGAGGGGCTGACTGAAAAGACAGAAGCAGCTGAGGTAGCCACCGATCCCACAACTTGAGAGCGGTTGATGCGCTGTGGCGTCGCTGACATTGCATATTGACTCAGTTTTATGACGAATGAAATCGTGGAACGTCAAAAGGCTGCCAGCGTGGCCAAATGATAGGCGTTCTCGACCCCCCACGGCATGCCGCTGCAGCCTGATTTCTGGTCATTGGTTCCATGTACCAGTACTCGTACTTCGTGCAAGGCAATGCACTGGCGAATATCTTTTCATTTATGGAGTCTCAGCTCCTGCAGGCTGTGTGCGAGGCTTCTTGGAATAACCGCCGGATATGTTCAGCATGACAACATAGTTATGTAGAAAAGTAGGAGACAGAATTAAAAAGGTCACACTATCTCTTGGACCACGCCACAAGAAATTGAGTGATCCATGGCTGTCATAGCTTCTGAAGACTGGGATCAATACTTCGCCGAACGAGGTGATGTTGCAACTGCCAGAGGGTCCTTGCGAGAGCAGCTGGACGACCTGAGCGATTATGTTTTCTCGTCGACGACCTCCGACTTTGCGGTGATTGATGTGACACAAGGTATGAAGTGATTCATGGGTCTTCAACGTTGATGTAAGAGCACACGTTAATTGCGATGCAATGAGCAGAAACGACGAAGCAAACTATTGTTACCAATGCGCATGAGTTCGACGACGCCGTTCGTCGTTCGCCCAAGCCTAGAACTCGTATCATGTATGAGGTCACGTCATCATTGGGTGACTGCAGGCCACTGATCAAGGTTGCAATAGATCCATCCACTCACCGAGAACCATTGCACCGTTGAAAATCACTTCTAGCCTTGCTGCCAAAGTCTTCCAGACCTACGAGGTGAAAGAGAACTTCCTTCGCGTCCTCCTATCCTTCGGCGACGAACCTCATCAGTCAGAAGCCGGTAGTAGTAATCGAACATTCGTCTCCTCACCCGACGGGAACTGTGAGTCGCCTGAAATTCCGCTTTGGGGTTCTCGAAATTGATGTTGTAGACGTACTCTCATATAAGCTCAACTACGTCGAACGCAACCACCGGCCGGGCCAGGACCCGTGGTCCTTCCGCCATGTCGGCGTCTATCACCACCACAAGGATGATCAAGATCTCATCATCTTGCTTCATTGTAGCCCCACAAGTTCGCTCTATGTCAAATTAGCGCAGCACGTCAAGCACGACTCGGAAAATCCCAGCGCGACGAGACGCCTGGTGGAATTCTGCCATCGCCCCGAATTGCTGCATAGATTGACCCTTGCGTGCTACGTTGACAATTGGAGACCCTACCTCCGCTACCTAGGTGACCAGTTCTCGAAGATAGTATGCTCTTGCAATGATCCATGGGCGGTCCTCTTCTGATGTGTTTCATGAACAGAACAACCGGGCCATGGTTTCGACGGCCGAGCACACAGGAAAGGAGAACTTCGTCCATGTCCAGAAGCTCAGGAACATCATTGACTTCGCTCTCTTCGCCAATGCTTGCTGTTCGAGCAACCTTGATGTTGCTCAATCTCTGGAAACAAGCCTGCATGTTGGTGAAAAGGAAACCCCGACCTTTTCAACCACCGAGAGCATGCTTCAGGGTTTCATCAGCAGTTCCCACGTTCTACAGGACAGGGTCCGTAATACTATCGACCTGGTAAGTTACGTGCTGTTAGAAAGCCCGTCCAGAATCACTTACTCCCGTAGATTGGCTACACTCTGACCCTACACAACCAACTGGAGACCGCGCGTTTCGATCGCGAGATCAGGGACATGACTCACGAGTTGAAGAATCTCGCCCAGGAGACCAGTGTTGTAACGAAGAAGCTGAAGGATCTCACCGAGAACACAGTAGACGACAGCGCTATTGTTCGTATCATTACCATTGTATCGGCTTTCTATCTGCCGGGCAGCTTCGTAGCTGTCAGTCCCCATTCCTCTCTGACGTCGTCTCGACCCCAACTGAATTCTTCCCTAGACTATCTTCGGCATGAATTTCTTCGATTTTGACGCCGCCGCAAGTCGAATAACAATCACCGAGGACTTTTGGATATTTGTGGCGTTCTGGGCGACTCTGACTCTGCTCACTGGTGCTTTGTTCTACCTCACTTATCTCAGAAATAGCTGGCGGAAGAAATCGAGTCGATCCTGGTTATCAAAATGGTCGAAAAAAGTGTAATAGACGATTGTGGGCTGGTGCGATAGAGGTTTCAGTCGAAGCGTTCATAGAACCTGATGGGTCTCGTGAAGCCAGCCCACTGTTTCGCAAGCAGAAAGGTACATATTCAATTTTCCCCTCTGTGTGGTAGATGCAGGCATATATGTTGTCTTCTTGCTTCGTGACTCGGAGTATGGAAGAATTTTGAGGCTTTTCTTTGATTTTGCTCAACTGGATGCCATAGCCGAGGCGGTGCACATCTCTAAAGTTGAGAGGATACTCGAAAAGTCTGAAATGTCGCCCCACTGACCGACTTTCAAGAAAAGCCTTCTGTACGGTGATTAGGGAATGATTGTTGAACATGCACGCAGCTTGAACGTTAGAATTCTGTAACTGGTGAGAACTGTGCCGGGGCAAGGGACGCCTTAGGTCATACATGGAGCCTCGAATGATGGCAGGGTAGTAAGACAGGCTCGAAGATGCTATGAAGCACCCAAACGAACTGTTGAACGGCGTCAATCGAGTTGCATGGCGGTCTTCGTTGATATCCTACTCTATTCATTAACATGACACACACCCCCCCCCCCCCCCCCCCCCCATGCTGGACTCCTGAACTCACATATTCATAATACCCAATAGACTCCGGAGTGCTGGACCTGGCTAAACTTGAACACCGGTAAATGCAAAGCGCCCCGTCAGTACCGACATTGGCCCAAGTGTGGAGAAGACGTCCCGCATCATCGAAGGCGACGTCAACGAACTCCCGCTCCAAGACTGATATGGTTCTGCTTCTAAAAGCGCCTGTTGCCGGTGCCTCTAGAGTGAAGACGCGAGGCTCGGGCCTGTATGATTGTAAGATATTGACACCAACGGTTTTTGGGGAGATGCAACCGACTGACTGGTAGGCGACCACAGTAATTTTGCCCGACGTTATTACGGCAACATATCCCTGGCTAGAGACAGCGACACGCTTGTCGTAGTCGAACCTGCGCACATCGTTTTCGTTGGGGACTGCCAAGTTCTCCCACTGGCCATCGTCCGTCCGACGCATGACACGGAGCTACAACATTTTAGTCGCCCACGGAAGCCAGTGTGTGACCGAAAGCCTTACCTGCGAGTCCTTGGACTTCTTCTCAAAGCCCCAAACAACCAGAAACGCCCCTGCAATGGCAATGCCAACCCACACAGGGCCTCGCTCGTCTTTTGTAAATGGTAACACGGCTTCCAGCTCAGGATTCGGCAAGCCCGACTGATTGAAGACGGTGAAGATATGTATGGCGGGTTTTGTGAGAAAAGCGGCTCTGAGTCCATCCGATGTTACAGCGATGGCTTCTCTGCGAGAGCCGATTTTCAGCTTTTGAATGGTTGAAGGTTTGACTTCTCGAGGGTCATCACGGCTAGTCATGATCCCATGGGCTGTCAGGGGCTGCCCAAGAATGAAGTTCTCCTGCTCGCTTAGGGGCAGCGGTTCTGAATCCAGTACAACAATACTGCCCTCCTGCTCGTCTCCCCGACCGCCAGGTTGGGATCCCTTATCCCGTTCCACACTCTGAGATTTCTCATCGGGATCTGAATATGCACTTTCGATTTCACCGCTCTCATTGTTGACTGCTAGTGGCAGCGTTGGCTGGCGGATAATGATCGTGGGCCCTTCTTCACCCGGCCTGAGATCCTGTAGTGCAGGTTCCCTCACGAGAGCGGGAATCGGGGGCACTGGAGCTGGGACACGGATGGAATCGTGAGCAGAAGACTGGAACACACAGCGAATCTCCTTGGGCTGGTGAGAATGAAGTACGTGGGCTCGAACGTGGCGAACGTACGAGACCAACGTCTGTGCGTCGGGTCGCTTGTTTGGATCGACTTCGAGGATGCGTCGAATGCAAAGAGCCCAGCACTCAGCCCATCTCTGGGTTGTTGACGAGTGCATACACAGCTCGTTTAACCAGTCCAAGACTTGAGGCTTGACTTGGTAGGAGTGCAATGGCTGCTGGCTTGGATCATAAAGGGCATCAGGGGAGATCGATGAATAGAAATAGTCATCCTTCTGATATCGACCGGAGAGACGATACTTAGCAAAGCGTTTCACACCGGCATCGCGCTGCAATGAAAATGTCAACACCTCAGTAAATATACTGCCGAACGACCAGATGTCGCTTTTACGGCCAACTCTGCCTTGATCCGATGCAGCTTGAGGAGAGATATCGGAAGTGTCTCGAAACCGCCATACTTCAGGAGCTTGATAAGGACCCCGGTCTCGTCTCGGTTTCGTCTTCATGGTTACCTGGGCATGGTAATCACCTACCGAAATAACCGAGGAGTCTTGGTGGGTTTTGGGATGTTCCTTAAATGCAGAGATGCCAAAGTCGCAAAGCTTCCACATTCCTACAATTTCTCCATCAGGGCCCCCGTCGAATATAACAACATTGTTGGGTTTGAGGTCCATATGTGCGCAAAACAAATCAATGTCGTTTGCCTGGAACCCCTCATGGAGAAACCTCAGCGCCCCGGCCAAACCCTCGCACTGCTTCAGCAACGAGGGCGCGAGCTCAATCTCAATATCCGCGGCTTGTGGAAATCGTTGCGAGAAATCGTATGACCGGATAATTTCTCCTCTATGTCCAATGGTCTCGCCGCCGTGGAGAAACTGCCACAAGTCTCCGTGCGGGGCTTTCAGGAAAACGATGAACACTTTCGGCTCCTCACCCCTTCCTTGCATTATGATGGCTTCATGCAATGAGATATTCTTATTCTCGGTAAGACTCTCTTTCAGCAGCCGCATGTTCTTGGCTTCATCCAGCCCGTCTCTACGCACGCGAAACTCTTTGACGGCAACCACGAGTCCACTCGCAGGCTTAGATAGACAGAGGCGCGTCAGCTTCCGGTCGACGCGAGACATTGAGGAGGGCGGAACGTACAGGTATCCATCCTTCTCGGCGAGAGTCATGGTCTTCTACGTGCTCTGGTTCGAGGTGGTAGAACTTGCGTAATGCGTGACTTAGTCTGGGTCTGACGGGAATGGGCCCTTCCAGCGGTACGTACCGTAACATCTCCGTAGCCACCATGAGCAGAGCCACCATCCCGGCTAAACGGAAGCCTGATCTTGGCATCATCTATTTGCTGGAAGAATTCCTTTGGGTTGAAGATTATCCTCCGTGGGATGAAGCAGTATTGCTCGTGCCACCGTGAGGTTTTGGGTGCGGGCAAGCCCATCTTGGTAGCCAAGTCAGTCGCAGATATGGGCATGTTTTCGTCAGTAAGTACGGCGTTGGTGGATTTGCTTGGCTGGAAGAAGCGGTCGAAGCCAGAAAACCAGTCAGGATGCACCTCGATGTAGACGAGGAATGACACGAGCCGAAGCATCTTGTCTTGTACGACCTGGTGTTGATGTGGCTGAAGGCTGTAGAATAGGTCACGAAAGTCGTCGCGGCGCCATATTCTTTCCAGATGCGAATAACAAAAGAAAGAATGCTCGGGTTCGTCGCTTCTTTGCTTTGCCTCATTCAAACGCAACCACAGGGACTCGGACTCGAGGCGGCCATTTCTAGCACGGGGTCCAGAGTTTGAATTCTCCCCCGCGATGCCGCCTCGGCGACTGTGCTGGCTCATCGTGGAGGACCGGGGGTCCAATGTGAACGATGGGACATGGACCGATCATGGCAAAGGCAACGGCGTGGAATACAAGACGAAGGACCGACTGGTCGGCAGGTACGCAGAGCCTCATATGGTGCGCATTGCAGGGTCGGACAGCTGAATGAGGCGCCGTCTCGCTTGGACCGACCGCCGCCATCCTGCAATTTGGCCAATGAGGATGAGTATCTGGCAGGGTGATTGATCGCTATCTTTGGGAAGTGCGCGTGATCAATACACAACTTGCATGAGAAGGATGCATACTATGTACTGTACAAAGCGAGTACAGCCGCAAGCCCACCGGAAACACAGCCATGAATCACTATGTCCGGGCTGTCCTCCAACCGCTAGCTGTATCACCTTGCTGAAGAGGGGGTTCGCAGAGCAATGGCTTGGAGGGAAACCTGTTGTTGCAGATATTGGCTCAGCCCATCGCAGCGGCCTTAATTTGCCAATTATCAATCGCCCGCTCACGAACAAGCGAAGTACATACGTTGCGCCTACATAAGCTTGGATGCGTTGAAGCAGCAACTGAGTACGACGCCAATGACAGGCAGTTCATTCCAAAGACATCCACACGGTTCGTCCAGGGAAAGTTGACACACAGGCATTCTACATTTATCGTGGCTATATAAACAGCAGTCAGGTAGAAGCCCCACACGTAGCCAGCCACCTTCGCCCCTCCCAGTACTCGCTCGCATATGGAATATTCGCGAGATGCTCGTGCTCAGCTCATCAGCCCAACCTCCCGCGCAAGCATGGAAGAAAATCGACGAGCATTGCACTCACTCTTCGCCCCTCCCAAATGAAGTAAAGCAGAAAAGACGACACATATGAAAAACTAAAACAAAAATGGCGAAAAGTGGTATCTCGGGTATGAATTTGGGTCCGGGCCGCCCCACTCTCTCTCACACACCTCTTCTCAGTCGCCTGTCTCCGTGCTCTTCCAGGTTTCTCTCTCTCTTTCGTTCTTGCCAAACCTCCCTTCCGCCTCGGCCAAAGAGAAAGGAGACAAATAGTAGTCGAGTGTCGACAAGGCTATGCTGTGTTAATATCATCCCGTAAACATTTACGTCGCCTGTGCTTCTCGTGTCGTATTCCCGTCCAGATCATGTCGTAACAGAGTTGTGCCGCGTAATGCGTACGGGTTGAAAATAGAAGAATTAGGTTAATCTAGACAAGGGGAAAAACATTAAGGGAATAGGAGTCGAGCGTAGAGTCGGTGGGGGAACATCGCATGTCTCCATAACTTGCGTTGGTCAATCGATGGGTCGTGCGGTGACGAGGTGAAGGTAGACATTGTACAGGATTATGTGGAAAATGCGGGGGATAAATAGTACATGGACCATGACGCTCCCTTTAAACGCCTTGCCAAATGTGTGCTATGTGCTCGCTGAGCAGGATAAAGCAGTGTCGAATCAGTCGTTGCGATGAAGGTCGCTGAAGCAGAATGCCCAAGGCCAAGAACGAGAGCAAGAGGAGGAGAGCTACCCATGAAGGCCGCCGCGCCTAGAAGCAGTTGAGGCTACCCTTCTTCTTTTTCTTGTTGTTGATGGCGTTCATGCGCTCCTCTAGGTGGGCCCGAGCCCTCTCAGCATCTTGACGCTTTTTGCGCTCCTCCTCGACCTGGTGCAGGCTGTCGCGCCACCTGTTGTCTTGCTGCGGCTTCTCCTTGAGCTCCTTAACCTCGTTCTCAAGCTCGACGGCTCGCTTACGCCAGGCCTCGCAATCAGCCTTCACCTTATTAGACTGTCTCTCGAGGTCAGTAAGCGCCTCTTCCAGTGTCGAAGTCAGCTGCTTCTCGGCGTTTAGGTGCCTCTCAATGGTACGGATACGAGCTTCTTGGTCTTCCCTGATCTGGGCCAAAGCGAGGTCGTTGCTCTGCGGCCGACCTCCAGGGGTAGCCGCCTGGGTGGGCGATGATGAACCACCAACACCTGGCAGAGGGGGCAGCGGGATGGCCGGAGGGGGGGATGGCAAAGAAGAGACGGAGGCCGTCTTGCGAACTTGGGAGCTCAAGGAGTTGGTCCGTTGCGGAGCCTGGTTGGGGTCTTCGATGCGAGCCTGCAACGGCGTTAGCTCCCAATCCGGGAGAGTACTGAAGGTCGTTGAGTATCTCACCTGGAGGGCAGCATATTCTTCTTTGATGGCCTCCAATTCGCCTTGAGCCTTGATTCTGGCCGCAGTCGCCTCCTCCAGTTGAGTGTATCGTTCGGTTTGCAAAGTCGACAAGCGGTGGTTGGTTTGCTGAGCTTGGTCATAATTGGTCTGGAGCTGGTCTTCAAGTTCCTCGACCAAGCGGGAGTGCTTCTTGTTCTTGATCTCTAGGTCGCCCATTCTCTTCTTGACGGCCGCAAGCTGCTCCTTCACACTTGGATACGGGCTCTTCACCTTTTCTCCCTCAGTGCTCAGCATTTCGTTCAGCGCCGACTTTACAGCCTCGAGATCGCGCATGATGGTGTTATTGATAGACGAGAGCTCATTGATGTGTCCTTCAAGCTCGACCTTCTTCTTCTGCTCTTTCTCCAAAGCCTTCTGGTCCGCAATCAGATCTTCGACGCGCTCGCTGATCTTCTCTACACTAACGTCGAGGCCAAGAGCGAAGGCAACCTGGGTAGCAACCTTGATCAACTCCTCGCGAGCCTCGGCAAGATCACTTTCCAGCAGCTTGATGTTTTCGGCGTGCTCCTCCATCAGGATAGTGAGTTGTGACTCGTATTCCTGCTTCGAGTGTGCTCTTATTTCATCAATGTCTTTGCTATGACGAGCTTGCAGGTCATCCATGCTCTCTTGATGGGCCTTGAGAGCGCTCTCATGCTCCTGTAGTTGGTTCTCCAAGCGGATGATAAACTCCCTGTGTTTACTGGCTTCCGTAGCCGCGAGGTCACGAGCATGGGTGACTTGGTCAAGTTGATTCTTTGCGATGGAGTGGGCGCGCTCCAGCTCAGAAACTCTGGTGGCGTTGCTGTTGATGATGGCTTTGTATTCGTCAATCTCAGTCTTAAGGGCAGCGACGAGGCTTTCGTGTTTCTCTTCCGCCTCCTTGGTATCCTCGTCATTCTGTACAGTGTCGCGGGTTTCGTTGAACTTCTCATTGACAGCAGCAACCTGCGCCTCCAGCTCCTCAATAGTCTGCTTCATCGTCTTCTCGGTTGTCTGCATGGTCTCCAAAGCAGCCTGGTGTTTGCTTTCCCAGTTGGCGAGTTCAGATTGCAGCTCCAAAATTTGCTTCTCATGAGCAGCCTCAAGTTCGCCGCGGTGGCCTGCTGCTTCCTTGGTATGCTCCTCCATCGAAGCCGTGTTCGATTCGGCTGAATCCCTCATCGATGCGCGAACAGAGTCGAGCTCGGCCAAAAGCTCCTTCTCGCGGGCTGCGTGTGACTCTTGCAACTGCTGGAGGGTTTTCTCATTTTTCTCCAGCTGCTCTTTCAGTGTTGCCACCATGGAAATATCCATGGGACCGGCCTTCAAGCTCGAACGCTCGCGGGTCAAACCTGCGATAATAGTCATCTTGGTTTCCATTTCCTTTTTGGCATTGCTAACATCAGCCTCGAGCTCTTGGATCCGTTCCGATCTTGCATGCAATTCGTTCATGGCAATGTTGAGGTGGACCTCGAAGTTCTGCATGACATCCGGGTTCTCTTCAAAATTCTCAGTCGCAACATTCCGGAGCGCCGCAAATGAGCGATGGGCACGGTCGATGATCATGACGTTTTGACTAGACTTGCGACGGATTACTGGCGTCGCACCACTCCTTGGAGATGAGGGTTCTGCGTGTTTGGCCTTCATAACTTCTGTTTTAAGTTCCTCGACAACATCCAAGGTCTCCAGGTGTTGTTCTTCGAGTTGAGCGTACTTTTCAGCCAGCTCCCTCTCCGCGACTTCCTTCTCAGCAGCCAGATACTTCAGCTTCTCTAACTCAGCGGTTAAGGCCTCGGTGTTGGCGTTCTCCTCTGTGAGCGTCTCCTTGGATTCTGATGGCTTTGGTGTTTCAACATAAGTTGTATCGACAGTAGCTGGGGACTCCATAGCCGAAGACAATTCCGAGGAAAGCGATTGTGAGGAGAACTGCGTTCCATACTTGAGGTCGCTGGACCTCGCGTCGGATAAAAAAGACGGCGGGCGTGTCTCGTAGGGCGACATGACGGACATGACCGAATCTCGTTGCCGATTCGGATGCTTAGCCTCGTCAACGGCATCTTGAAGATCTGCCAGAGTGCGGAGCGCCTCCTCGTACTTGGCGCTTAATATGTCATATTCTGTGAGCGTCGTTTCGTGCTCAACGCGAAGATCAATCAATTCCCGCGACACGTTGTCCAGCTTGTCGGCTACAAATCTGGTTTGAGCTGGGCTGGGCGGGACGCTTGTAGCAGTCTGTTGCTCCTCGGATTCGAGCGTGTCGCCGGTACTTTCCGGAGGGGCATTTTCATGGTCAGGGGCGCGCTCGTCCGGCGTTGCTTCAGCGATATTGTCTTCGGGGCCTTCCTCGTCTACCTCGGGGAGAGCGCCTCGACGGGTCTGGCTTGCCGATGGCCGGCTGACGTGGCTTCTGACCGATCGCTCGGAGAAGGTGCGGCGGTGTCCAACTCCGTTGGTGGGTTCCGATCCGGGCTCTACTTGTTTTCCATCGTGAATATTGTCAAGCTCATACAAAAGATTGTCGAGTTTGCCTAGACTACGCTGCCGCTCTATGACTTGTTCTAGGCGATCTATCTCGCGCTGCATGAGCTCAGTATCTTGGTCAGCTTCAGCAAGCCTCTCCTCTAAAGTTGAGACGTAATCTTCCGCCGCAGCTTCGTTCTCGCGGACGCGTGCGATTTCCTTGCGTAGTTCGAGGATGATGGTCGCATTCTTCTCTTCGCCCGAGGTATGCCCATCGAGCTTGGCTTCCAAGTCATGGAGATAGTTCTCGGTGTTGGCTTCGCGATCCATCAACTTCTGTAAGCGGGCTTGAAGCTGCGTATTAATCGTCTCAATGTAGGCGCATTTGGTCTCCTTCTCGAGTAGGTTGGTCTCCGTGTTGGATAGCGTAGTCCGCGTGTTGGAGAGGGATTGCTCGAGGGATTGGATCGTCTTTTCGTACTCCAGCACGACCTGCTCGACAGCCTGGGCGAAGGAGTTAGATCGATTTAACCGTTCCGTGGCCGAGTCGTCGAAGCTTTCCTCCGAATTCTGGTTCTCATCAGCTTCATTGTCCCTGGCTCTAGCCATCTCAGCAATAAGCTTCGCATGGCGCTGGCTTAGTGTGGTGTAATTCTCCTGAGCGTCCAGTAGCTGGTTCTGCAGCTCAGATTCCCGCTCATTCTGTCGCTCGGACCGCTCGCCCGCCGCCGGATTGCGTCGTTCGCCACCACCACGCTCAGCACTACGAATCTGGTCGCGCAGAAAAGTAACCTCGGCCTTCAGTCGTTCGATGATGGCCTGCTTATCGCCTTCCTCCACCTGCTGGATCCTTGGTTTGCTTTGAATTGCGCGGGCCCTCTGGGCATACTGAACTGTATTGAGCGTCTCGCTCAAATGGAACTCGGCAGGCGTCACGCAGGCAATCATGTACGTTATAGCATTGCCGCCGAGCGAATCCTGGAGGAGACGGGTCAACCTTGAGTCGCGGTAGGAGACGTGAGAGCCATGTTGCCGTGACGACAGCTGCGAAATGACCTTGCCGAGAGCAGCCAGACCGGCATTGATGGAAATACCTTCTCTGGCCCTCTCCCCCTGCGCTCCAGTATTCTTCAAACGTTCACTGCCGGCCAGATCGACAAAGTGCAGCTTGCTGTCAGTCGTCACAATGGTTTCAGCCCCCGTCATAGCTTCCAGCGGCACCGAGAATCGCTTCTCCGCGCCCAGAGGTGACCGAGATTTGCTTCTCCGTTGGACGAGATTGAGACTAAAAACGGCATGTGAACGTGACGATTTTGCGTTTATAGCAGTTGCATCGGTCTGACGAATTGACGATCCAAAATTCAGTGCATTCATCATGTCTTCAACCGAATGAATCTCGACCTGGCAGAGACCGGTGAGGATAATGTTGCCCTTGTCTTCACGGATGGAAACGGTGTTGCGCTCGTTTTGTGGCGTGGCTTCGGGCACTAGCAAGTCGCGAAGCTGCTCGTTGTAGATCTCCACATAAGTAGCTTTCAGATGCCAGCTCTTCTCACCCTTGGGTGCACTCGAGGCGGACGTGGAATACCGTTGGGGTGTCTTCAACTGTGACATGGAGTTGCGGTTCGGATTGCGCGCAGGTGGCGTACCCTCCAGCTTTTCGAACAAGGCAGTTGCGGCTCGAGGAATTACGCCTGGACAGGTTAGCAAACCCATTTTCCGCATCACCATCGAGAACGCTCACCCATCACGTGAAGGTCTGCTTGATCACCCGGTCCGGAAGTACCCATGGTGTAGGACTTGCCAGCTCCGGATTGACCATAGGCCAGGAGCGACACATTGTAGCCCTGTAAGAATGCGTCTACGCTGTCTCTCAGGTACTCCCAAACGCCTTCCTGGTCGACGTCGGGTGCGAATACGCGATCAAAGACAAAGAGCTTCTTGCCCTGAGGTGCATCAATGGCAAGACTTGTTGACGATGTCGTCTGCACCATAGATCGTTGGAATCGTTGCGGTATGAGGTCGAAACCTGGATCTGTCGGGCTTAATGGTGGGCGCACTCGAACCGCTGCGAAGGTGAAAAATGATTAGGTTCATCGTCTCGTCACGCGTGTCTGAGGGCAACGGTACTCGTTCCAGGAATCATGCTTACCAACTTTGACTGCTGTCCGCCCATCGTCATCCGATGCTCTGCTTCCACCACCGGCTTTGCTGTTTGTGCTCATGCGACTATTGCTCCTGGGTGCAGGTTTCACCATAGTACTCATGGGTCGCGACGGTAACGTGCCAGGAGATGGCGATGATGGCGGTGAGGCTGCCATGGCGGCAATTACGAAAAAAATAAAAATAAAAAACGACTGTAAATATCAATCCCAACTATCGCCGAGGCGGGTGTCAAATCCTGTGACAATGGCGGCGGCAGACCACGCGGGAATCGGGATTCGGGTGTTGGGGCGGTAAGGCGTTGGATCTGGATCTGGATCTGACCGTCGCTGGCACGTTGGCGGGTTCACCGTTTAATTCCACCAGGAAAAGCAGGCCTGGAAGGAATGCAAAACAACCAAATCCCACGACGGCAGAACGGGACACACAAGGCAGACCCTCCGCTGGTGTTAGGTCAGGCCCTTTTCGCAGCCGTCTAGCGCTCAACTACGTGAAGCCGTGGTAACGTTTGTTTGTCACAGGCGTCATGGAGTTGCAGGGTTAGCGAGAGTGGTGTAAAAGGTTTCTGTCGCCAGTGACCGAGATGCGATTATTGTCGTTGACTCGCGTCAGGTCGGCGGGTATCGAAAGCAAATTTAGGGGTGGAGGAAGTTTTCGGGGTAGTACTTGTTTATGATGGGCGCCGATAACCAGGGTGCCAAGTCAGGCAAATTAAACACGCATCGGTTAGTGAAAGCCCCAAGCGTTTTCAGCGTTTGATTGGAACGGCCGTGATCTTCAACTTTGATGCCCTGAAGAGACGGCCAACATCTGCTTGCTGAAGTCGAATTGAGAGAGCCAAAGCGACCAAAATGTGGTGGCTAATGAAACGAGCATCAATCACTGATTGCGTACCTACCTACCATCACCCAAATCAAGACTTCACCACGTCCAGTTACAACAGTTAAATATCATGCTAGCATGCTGAATAATGTCAGAACTCTAAACACCCAAAGCTATCCCATCCATGGACCTTCTCGTCAAATAAAGATGCTCCTTCAACCAGAAAGCACTGAATGCATCCATTGGTCTAACGGTACTTCACTAGCAAGCATCGTGGCGAGTTGAAGGTTTGGGGCTCAGCAGGTGTGGTGGTCCAACAACGTTCCAAGTTCCTTCTAGAGGATCCATAGTGGAATCAGTTTTTGGTGGCCTCGGTCCTAAGACACGACGAGCTAGATACCCGCATTTCTACTGTGGAAAAACATTACGATGGCATCAACATGAGGAAAGCATACGATTGAGTAACGACGAAGGCAGTTGTCGCCTGCAGGTCTCGACTGACAGATAAAGGAACGAATGCAGGCACAGCTGTGGAGTCCCAACCTAGTCAGGAACAGGGAGCAGGGACGCAACTGTCATGTGGATATTCGTCCACTAGACCCGCGCATGTTGCAGGCGTAAGCCTGGTCTTATTTTTTCCTGCCCTCACTGCAAGGCCTCGCTATTCCCCTTTGGGTTGCACGTTCTCGGTCGGGCCAGTCGGAGTTGACCATTAATTGTTGAATTGTCGAGTGCATCAAATGCGCCTTGACCTCTTCTGCTTTGCCAGCTTGGTGTGGTGTGGGTGGTGCAAACAATCGATGATCGTACCTCCGTTGCCCTCCTTTCCTCCTTGAACAAACATAACTCTTACGTCGTTTCCTTCAGGGCTCCAGATCAGTTCCACCTATGAGTTTCTTTTGTGCTGATAGTGCGATTGCAAACAATGAGCTTGATGAACCGCCAGCCCCCCCTGCCCCCCTCCCCTCCCCTCAAAAAACAACGTCAAACTTGGCGCATGCGTTAGGAGGACCACAACGCGTTGACGCCAATGGCGTCTGTGCAGGTCCGGGGGGATACTAGTGTAAAGAGGAAATGGAAAAGCGAAACGAAGTCTGAATTCGACTTGGAGTCACGTCAAGCAATCTCGTCCCATCTCTCTTCCACAGAATCGGATACCTATCCGGTGGATTCCGGGTTCAGTTTGGAATACCAAAACTTGGGACGAGATACGCCGAGCCAAAGTACCTGGATCCTGGGCCCTGGCCTGGTAACCCCGAAAAGGGGCTGCCACATATTTGCCTGATGAAGCGATCCCACATCCGGCAATGTGTGGGAGAGCATTCAACTGTTCTAGGCCGTGATAGAAATCTCGTTTCCCAAGATGGACGACGTTCGGCCTCAGGCTTAAGACATATTCAAATGCCGTCGTTTCGGCAGCCTTAAATACGTGTCGCAGCTATCTGTTGACTTCATTTTCGGACACGGGCCTGGGCACTCCTAGCTGCACCGCCGAATACGTGGCTCCCAGGCTAGGGGTCCAAGTCCAGATGAGAGCATCAACTGTCATCGCGCCTGGCGGCGTCTCTTGTGAATAGATGATATAAACAGCCGCCGTTCTCGATGATCAAAATGCTTCATTCCGCACCGCACTCGATGCTGCACTGTGCAATGTACAACGTTTTCGTAACTGGGTGGAAAGTATAAACAAAGAAGCCATGGAATATGCTTGATTGTGGGTTGTCTGTTTCCTTTTACCTCGAGAGTTGACTGCTTGGATGTAAGTAGCTCATCCCTGGACAAACCTCATCCAGGTTGGCAGTTACCGACTCACCCGTCGACGGAAAAGTTGTTTACCTCTTCTAGCCCCATTTGTTTGTATCAACAATTGTTGCTGTACTACCCTGTCATGGCTATTTGCAAGACGTTTCTATTCGAACTTGTGGTGCTTGTCGTTACCATCATGATTTACGGCTCCTACCCACTGGAAACCGCGTTTCGGCCCCCCACATCTCCGGACCCCCCACCAACCGAGAGGTATTTTGCTTCCTCTCCTCGGCTACCAGCCATTGCCATTTGATTTGTAGTGCTTCACGGTGAAACGCCCGTCTTACGACTTTGCGATCGCCTATATGAATGCTGTTTGTCTCAAGAATAGGAGATCCGTAAGGTCGTCGGCCATGTGTCGCCACCAATTCCCGCCGCCCGAAGCGTGCACTTCAAGCTGGTTCCAACCGGCAACAGCACCTAATCAAGCTTTCAACCCGGTGCAGTCCAACGAGCTCAACGGCACATGGTGGACCCTTGTTCATCACTCAACTCTGCGCCGCCTGGCTTGTCGTGCCTTGCCATCAAAATTCAAAATGCACGATAGTTCCAACGCTGCCGCCAATGCCCTATGTTGAGTCAGGCAGGCAAACTGTCTGCTCCTCAACCTATTCAAGCCGTCCTTCCATGTAACGACAGTTAAGGTGTCAATAGTTCTCCTGGTAAGAGATGCCGCCGAACAGACTGCCCTCTCGCGCTGGCGTCTCACAGCAGCCTTGTGGAGTACTGTGCACAATTGCAGTCTCGTCCCGGCATCTCGTCCACTCACAGCTTCAATCACATCTTGATCTTTCATGGCCGAACAAATTAAGAGTGCAGAAGCCCAGAAGCCCAGAACTACTATCCTCTCGGTTGAATGCCACTAGTCATTTCTGAAACCCTTTCTGAGGGTCTGAGTGCGACAAGTTCCTTCATATTGTGGTTGCGCAGTCACTTACCCTTCGGAGCATCATGGATAAAGCCTATGAGACTCAGATCTCACGCATCCTGGAATTGATTAGATCCAGCGCAGTGATGCGCTGGCTTACATTCCTTTCGAATCAGTCTGCCAATGCTTCTCAAAATCTGTATTGGGCAGAGGAAACCGTGCTTAACAATGAGATCTGTCGGTGACTCGGTAATTGAAGACAAAGCCGCCGACTTCCACTCCTGCCACTGCTCTCGAGACATGGCTATCAATTGGCGTACCCAGGTGGCCAAGGCCCGACGTCTCCGTTGAGAGTTCTCGCCTCCGACAAGGCGGATGCGCTCCAGCGTCGTCGGCAGTTGATGTCATGAATGTGTGGTTGAAACCCACTACGGAGGGAATTCCAATTATTCTGCACCCCACACTCCGACAAATGCTGTGTAGCCTGGCAACTTGCCATGTCCGCCGCCCAAGTCGTGCAACCATATGCCATACTTTATTACCGTGCTCAGAAAGCGCATAGTGCGACAATGACAACTTCCGTGCTGTTGTTAATGCTGTGTAACGCCAGCAAAGCGGAGAAGCAGTTCCACGGATATGATTGCACTTCTCCGATCCCCGTATTTCAGGGTCCGAAAGACTGCAGTTACGGTTCACCTGTCGGGGCTCGACTCGAACCCAATCTGGATCCCACGTTCATTCGTTCGTCTCATCCTTTTTCAGCTAGTCATTCTCGAAACCATGCCTTTGGGCCGACTGTTGGTTCCGAAAGTAAATGCCATCGCCTCAGAACAGACCTTGCTTCATTCAATGTTATTTACCCGGACGTGACTGACAGAGAAAAGTCTCCGGGCCTGTGCGGGTGTCCGGTTGCTGGCACACGAAAAGCACACGAAAGCACACGAGAATCGATCATAACAGGTACGCTGAGGAGTGTGCGGAGAGCACCGCCGTAGAGAGCTAGGATATTTATAATGTTCTTGTTTCAAAGATGTAACCATTTGTGGTGATTGGACGATTGTTTCAGGAGGGGGAGGATCATATTTTGCGCTTTGGCGGTGCCGAATTCACTGGGTTCTGTGATCCGCCAAGATGAGTATGCAACTGCGATGGCGAGACTCCGGTTGTCACTCTGCACCATATTATTCCTATGATACGCCAGCCAACCTAGTATGACACAGCACCGATAAGCCTCGCCGAACATCATCCGCCGAGCCCCAACCCTTACTCAGGGATCACAAGCTTCAAAACTTCGCCGAATCCGTGCAAGCATCCGCCCCAAGACCGCCTCTGGACGGCCCGTCTGGCAGACGGACGATGTCCGACTTGGTTTACTGCCGCTAACCATGATGCTGTGCTTCGACGGTTTGAACTCTATCGTGACACGAACTAGACTCGAGGCTCAAGGCATCCTAGATACGGAATCTTCATCATCTAAGCTAAGCTTTGCTGGATACGGGATGACGACAGATCTGCATCCCATCAACCTATCGCCTTGAGACGCCCATCCTGATGAAATATGGCGCGATTTTCACTATTTTAAGGTAAGTTTTAGCATTGCTGCAGTGTGTCAGCGCTTCCGGTGAAACGGTTCATTTCACTCTTCTTGGAATACGAGTCAGAATAATGACACCGTTGTTCTCCTATTTTTACTCAGCAGTTAGACATTCTCTAATCCGCGTTAGAGTACGAGGTATAAGATATAATTACAAATGGCACTGTGTATATGCATTTCTCTTATAAGTGCACCAAGGTCAGTGGCATTCGGGATGTGTCGACCAAAGATACGTAATACTTTGCACACCACGCCAAGGGACGTGACACGCATTTCGAGCATTCGTTTGTATGTCAGACCTGTTTTCGGCAATTTCAACACCTATTTTTTGCCAGCTGCTCTCTATACTTCGCGTCAGCTTGACACAGTAGGCAGGCCCGGTTGCCATGGTTTCAGGTACGACTGATGTGACGTAGTCCAAAGTCTGCCTTCCGTTGATAACCACCGGGGACTGCTCGGCTCGTAACATCTAGGTGGAAAGGAGCGATATACGTGTGGGGCTCTGTGAAATTGTAATCTGATGGCACAAGCGAATTTGCTCAATTGTTCGGGCAAATATCAGGGTTCTCTATCGAGCGTCATCAACACCGTACTATATGTTTTTGATATTGCACGTCTGCATGATAGGGTGAAAATATACTCAAATATGATGGTCGCATAATGTCTAAGGTGTGGCTTGCCTTAATGTAGTTATAAGTAGATAATGGGCCGTGTTGTTATGCCTTATACTTTCATCTTATAATTGAAAGTAAAACTGCGAAGTGCTGTTAACCTATATCTCATACGGTGTGACTCGCTAGGTTAATAGATGTAATGCGAAGACAGTACCAGATCATGGGTCCAGATCTGTAGGTATGTAGCACAACAGCGTTGACTATCGAGGCAATATCTGCTGTAGACTAATTGGCAAGAAATCTGCCGGGCCGCGTCTAATTATCCTACATAACGCACTCTTCTCTATACCTATATTAGTCCATGTGCCAAGACTGGAGGTGCTCTTGATGTACAGTGTGGATTTTCTTCATATCTCAACGTTCTATTGTAGCTTCAGCTCCGGGGTTGCAAAGACCAAGTGGTCCGAACTCCAGAATTATGTCGCAAGTTCTTCGTCTCTCGTCGGCCTAGTTAATAACACATCATCAACTTCGACCACATCAAATTAAGACGTATGCGTCACCTCGTCTCCAGTGTTATTACCCGTACTTAGGCTCTCATTCTTGGTCACTGCCAGTCCTACCCACGAGAAAATGCCTTTTGGCATGAATGTGTTTAGTCCTTGCGAATATTAGGACCAAGGCACGTGGAAGTGACAGACGAAAAAGAATGTTGACTTTCGAATCTTGTGCCTCGACGCTTCTATTGTCTGTGGCGAGAAGTCAAGCGGGGGCAATGGATATGTCTCAAGTCATTTTTGCTCTTCAGACTGTCAGACGAGAATTCATCGAAGGTGTTGTATACCACTTTACAGGATGTATTGCATAGGTGGTCTCAGCAGTCAACCTAGCAGTGGTGTTTGTCATGTGCCATTCTTTGGGTCTCATAGCATGTTAAAGACAAATATCTTTGGTCTCCGGAAGATTGACACGGTCGATTATGGCTACGGACAGAATTCAGTTTCTGCAAGCCTCTGAAATATGATGTTAGGTATAAAGGTTGGGACGCCAACACAGAATTGGCAGTCTCTCGTGAAAATGACATATTGTAGAATATCGAGGCAAATTCTGGCGACATCATCAACCAGATCCACTACCAATGAACTATTGGCTGCCATTTTAAAGACCTGAACAGCGAGTATATTAGATCATCTGGCCCGTCTCAAGCTGACCCAGATGCAGCCGGCATGCTTACTGGCAAGCGCTTGGTAGGAGGTTTACGCCGCCGCCGGACGACTTCACTGAAAACAGTGGTGCTCATTCATGATCGAGGATATTAGTGGCGAAGTAGGCTCAATGATCCACGTAAAGAAAGCGTGTGACTCCAAGATCAGAGAAACATCGCCAGGGGCGAAGTCCTCTTTTTTGATCCCGATGGCCAGACCAAGACATGGACAAATGCCAGAGAAGCTGCCAGTCTGGCACGTCTAGCGACGGTCTCAACACTACCTGGCGTCAGGAATTCCTTACTATTCGTGTATCCCATCTTGTTGCTGATGCAAAATTACAATAATACTAGCTCACTCATTATACATGTGGCATTAGGAGATAGTTCCGAATACACGCATTTCGGCATGGCGGAACACACAGCATATGTTCCAAATAACGTTCGGGATCGGATCCATCTCGCACGGTTCAGAGGTACAAAACGTGAAGGCAAGTTTTCCTAATAGGCCAAGGCTTCATAGAGTGCCTGTAACTGTGCCGTCTAAGATTCTGGAAGGTGCCAGTGCAGAGAAGTTTGACTATGTCAATGACTCCGAAGACGACATCGAGGATGATTCAGGTATCGACTACACCAGGGTAAATCCAGGCGACTGTGTGCCGCTGGGTGTATAGGTAGAATTTGCACGTGTGGCGTCTTTAACCTATGCTTTCCGGCGCAAAACTAAGTACAGATCACACAACAAATTTGATTATAGTTGTCCAGCGGCTATCCTAGTACTCATTACAGCAATCCCACTAGCATCTATTTATTTGACATAAATCAAGGCAGCACTTGTATTGCGTTGGTGTTTTACACCAGTGCAGTTGTATTATAACTATGCTTCTTTATGCAACCTGTGAGAGTGGCAGAGAGTATAGGGAAAGTCAAGCTATAATTTGATGATGTGGAAGAACGCAACATTGCTTTTGCCTTAAGAGGCTTTTTGGATATTAGGTGATTTGCGTCATCTCAGCAATTCTAGGCTGGACCTCATAAAACTTGGTATTAATCCAAGAGTACACATGAGATGTCCACAAGCGACTAGTGTCGAGAGAGACGATAATAGGAGATATGAAAGCAATTATTGAGTAAAGGAAAGGGGGAAGCTTGGAGGCAAGTCTGTCCAGCATATATAGCTGTACTAGGTAAGACAGTGCACAACTTTCTAGAAACTACAGTTGATTCCTCAGACTGGCGTATGGCTAAATACCTAGGTACAGACAGTGCCAGGCAGCTGTTTACCTTCCTTTCCGTCTCTCCATATCGCATTTCCTCGTTATCTCAACTCAACCTTGATTCCAAAGAGAAAGACGAAGAGTTTCACATCTGTCTAGCTTTTGCCATGCTATGCTCTACTCTGGCGCAATGTACCTGTCCGTCATGCATAAAAGTCACCATTCCTGCCACGACATGGCCAGGAGACCGAGGTCCGGATATGAGACGATGGGTGACATCCGCTCTGTGCGAAGCGAATGCGGAAACATCACCTCGCTCGACCTTCTCATCGCGCAGATACGCTGCGTTGGCATGCCAGACCGTTGAAGCTTCTCCCTTGACCTTGCCAGGGGGTCTCATTATCTCTCTCTCATCGAATCGCTGTCCCCCACGGGCTACTTATATGATAAATCTAATTGGATTTACGTGCAACCGCCATGTTACTGCTGGCATTACGAGGGCTAGCTTACCCCCTGGTACAGTATGGAAGTGGTTCAAAATGGGATATATGGATCCAACCGAGCATCTTTCTTGGATCGTGCCCGACGGAAGAGACTCATTTTACTTGATTCTGGAGCGCTAGGAAAATATCTGGTATCTTTGGAATGGCGCATGCCAGAGGACTTGGCCTCCCTTCGTCCCACACCTCCTATCGAAAAAACTATGCAAGTTAGCAACCGCAGCGCCCAATCTCCAGTCCTTGAATATCGACCTTTACCGCAATAACAACACGTGGCCATGGGAGGAACTTGATGCACTGGCCCAGGGATTACCGGACGGGTTCACGAACCTCACACTCTATTTCAAGCTTTCCGGCGATTTTGGGTGCAGAAGGTCAATGATCTTGTAGACCGCAGTTATCAGCCTTGCGGATCTGCCAAGCAGTATGCACAGCCATTCCTCACCGCAAACAGCGCTTTGGTTATGGACGAGTTTTTGTAGGAGAGAGAAGCCCCGAAGTCTCTTGCTCACATCCGATTCTTTGCTGGCGACTGGACGAGGCCGTATAATAGAGCTGTGGCAGACTATGGATGACTGGATAGGAGGAAAGCGTGGTTTGGGTGGGATGTTTTGGATGGGAGTGGGGAGTGGGGAGTGGGGAGATGCGTTGCAAGGGGAGGAGGACACGGTCATATCGAAAGAGAGGAGAGAGAGTATTTAAATCGCATATGTAATCATACTTGCCAACTAAATGAACCATACTTAGCGTTATCAGAGAAACGAGAAGAATTATTACTTTAGTTAGCCCACGTAGGGATCTAGAGTCTTCAAGATAAACCGTATACTCGTGGGGCTAATAATCTTTCAGTTCGTATTGAAAAGGCTAGTTCCTCCCGACTATTCTGACTAGCGTCGTAACCTGTGTGCCAGAGTATCTAAGCTTAAGAATCACAGGGACAACCCAGCATGCCAAAAGCCAAAGTCATACGTGTTGAGCTGATTGGCACGCAACCATTGCTGCATGAAACATGTGGGTATTCGCCCAAGCAGCAGAGTCACCTGGGCAACCGTAGACGACAACTGTCAATACCCACTTGGTATTTGAAATAGAGCCGAGCTCGTAGTGATGCACAACGGCGGCCACGGGATCAATCACCAACCCGAGGATTCAGTCCAAAACTGTCGTCTCATATATCTACCTGCTCTCCCCTATCTGTAAAGCTTCCTGGTAGTCATCATGACTTGTAATTACGGCTCTGCTATACCATTGCGTTGTTTTTCGGATACTAAGCGAGTAATGCTTGGGATCCTCGAAAGAACTGCCGACTCAGGCAAAGTGCGCCAAGCTGACAACGGCCGGGTATAATGACGGTTGACAAGGTCCCCCGCATCTCTTGCATCCACACCCACCCACTGGAAGTTCTGGACGACATTTGACTGAATAAAACCCGATCTGAAAACCCCATAGATATTTGTCCACGAATCCTTGGCTCTCTCCTCACAGAGCTCACGATCTCAAGTACAACTCGGCAAAGGAGAAAGAGAAACAATCAAGCGGCAAACCCAGTCTATCCAAGGCCACTAATAACCAGGGAAAATGGAACAACTACCGCCGTTGGGTAGAGGCATTTTCGAAGTCCTCGAAGCCACCTTCGCCATCTACAAGCCCCTTATCCTCGCCCAAGAATCCAATATCCGGACCACCCGGCGCTCAACCCACCGCTACGGCGACCACCCTCGCCAGGAGCTCGATGTCTACCATCCTTCGACCCCAGCCGCAACTCCTAGCGGCGCCCGGCCGGTGTTGGCTTTCTTTCACGGCGGCGGTTTTGTGGCTGGCGCCAAAGACGGCGCTGGTTATGCCAATGGCCTCGTCTTCGCTAATCTGGGCCACTTCTTCGCCTCACGCTTCGGGTACACTGTTGTCGTGGCCAACTACCGGCTAATGAGCCATGGCGCCCGGTATCCATCCGGCGGCGAGGATGTCAAGTTGACGGTCGAGTGGATCGCCGGGACCCTGGCCAAGGAGGAGGGGTATGGCATGATTGATCTGTTCGTAATGGGGAACTCGGCGGGTGCTGTGCATGTGGCTACCTACACACTGGCAGAAGAATTTGAGGAGAGCAGGAAGGCCATCACGGCTCATTCGCGGGAAAAGGGGGGAAAGGGAACGCTTCTCAGGGGTGTGTTGTTGCTTGGTGCGCCTTGTCACTATGGTAATGAGACCAATGGGACGCTGAGAGACTACTTTGGCCCGGATAAGATATTCGACTACGCCCCGATGGGTCTGCTACAGGCGGCGAAACAGCGGGGTGGGCCGGAACTGCCGGGTGTCAAGCTGGCGTTGCTGATATCTGAGTACGATCCTGAGGAGCTTGTGGTCAAGACGAACCACGAGTTTGTAAAGGAGTGGCCCGGATCGAATATCGAAGTTCAAGTCTTGAAGGGACAGAACCATATCAGCCCACAGCTGAGTCTTGCGACGGGTATCGAGGAAGAAGAAGCTTGGGGCGTGATTGTCGCTAGATTCTGCGAGGCGGCTTTCACATGAACTTCATTATAACACGTTGCAGAGTGAGAGCTCTCCCGTCCCTCCCCCCTTACACTAACCAAAAGAAAATCAAATTCTAGACATGGATGATAAAACCCCTTTGCCTCATATCATATACAATGAGAGTAGACTAGAGAATAAAAATATTCTGTACAATAACCATATCCCGACCCTGTTTCCCCCAGAACCCTCAGTACACCATACACGGATACCTGTCAGGCCTCCTGGGGAACGCATTCCGTCCTTCTGATTCTTGTCCAGCGTAGATAGATCGCATCTCCAGAAATTGAACCCGCGCTTTTTCTACTCACATACGACGCGAGATTAAGTGTGTTGGCCGAACCAGCCATGTCCGAAGGCAAGGTATACAGCAATTAAAAGATCAATCGGTCAGCGGCAGTCTGGCACATGCAACCAAACCAATGGTGACCCATAATGCTGCATGCTCAACAAAACAACACCCAATCTGTATTGTGTAGGGGATTCTGCAGACACTGATTCGGAGAAAAAAACAAATAACTGATGCCGTAGCCCAGTGTGGCTGCGTCGTAACTGTTCCCCACTTGTGTTTACAGTATGTATATTTGCAGGCAGTCACTACAAATATCGTGCTGACACCTAATTTGGAAGCTCGGACCTACAGCGTTCATGGCTACATCTTATATATTGGTTGTCTTGGCCCTTGTTTGATGGTCTCGAAGTGGCTTAGTCGTCAAGAAGCTGTCACGCAATGTTGCTGCTCAACTAGCCTAATTCAAAATCTAGATTCTTACATAGTGGTGTTATATAGATAACATCGTAACCTGCGGGTTTGCACACACATACCGAGTATAGCCACCTTATCTATCTCATGCAACTTTTTCTACTCGAAATGCGCAAAGACCAAATGACACCCGGCTGAATTTCTTCGAGAGGAGAACGTGAAATTTGCCACAGCATCAGAAAGAAGAACAGCTGAGGGGTATAATCCCGAATCTTATATACTATGCGGAAAAGCAAAAGAGATTGGTCGCTCTGACTCCCTGGACTAAACGACCTTCCTGAGAATATAAACACCTTGACTTCTACCAGTTCTTTGATAATGGCCAATCACCAACCAAAAGAAAAAAAAGAAAAACATGAAATTTCGGAACTTGAGTTTTCAGTCTACATCACAACTAGTCTTAAGTTAAACACCACTCCCACCATTTGTAACCAAGACCGCCACGGAAATCACTAACCCAATTAATTGAGGATGGAAGCCAAAGCTCCTCATTTGTATACTGCCGCGTGCGGGTATGATGTACTGCAGATTATGCAATGTTATCGCGACCTACTTGTCAACCGCGCGCTCGAAACGAAGCAGGTTCCACCACGCCTATACGTCGCAGCTATGGATTAACTGATCGACAAACTCGCCACATGACGCTGTCTGATGCCGAATTTGAGATCTTCTAATAAGCTTTAATCAACCGTTCACACTTTTGCAACTCATCTCTAACCATTATATCAGACCAACCCCCCGTCCCCTGGCTGGCGCCTGTAGCTGGTTAGTTTGGGCCGCCCAACCAGTGTTCTTGAACAAAGAGGTTAGAAGCAGGAAGGAAAAGGAGAAAAGTAACGGTGTTTGGCCTGGTTGTTTAAGACACTGGTAGGCCGGTAAAGGTACAAGGGACAATGACGTTATGACGAGAAACTACTATGATTTGTTTAGATACAATACCCCCAAAGGCCGTATAAGAAAATATTATTATTATTATTATTAAATACGCCGTAGGCTCGAAGCCCCCGGTACCTCTACTAGTACTCCCGTATGTCAAACCGTGCCCTAATGGCTGGACTAAATACATACGCTGCGTCGTCGGTTCGCCCTATTGGCGACTGCGTTACGTCCACTACCATACTACGTTGGTTCTCAACCTACCAACAAAGTCCCCCCTGAGAAGATCGATGCTATCTGGGCCTTGAAGCTGTCCGACCCGTCCCTAGCAGCCACCTTACAGTAGTCCCACTAACTACTGGTTCTCCTGTTGCCGTTGCGAGGTCTCTGCGAGAGTATAGTGGCCGTGGTGCGATGGCGGCCCGTAATCGTTCCCTCGGTCCTTCCAACAGCCCGCAAAAGAGGATTACGTGCTCTGCCGTCTCAGGGGCGTCGCCACAGTGGCATAGCGGCGAGTACACGCCAAAAGCCCCTGTCTTGAATAAGAAGGCTGCTAGTCCTATTTTTTCCGTCCTGATCTGGCACAGCGTAGACGCCTCCAGTCGGTTCAGGCCGAAATACCTGCCCCCTTTCGGTATCTGCATCGAAGGGCCCTCCGGTTCCTCAGCGATAGCGCGTCGCTGGCGATCGTGATGCTCTGCTCCGGTGAGCCATCTCTTCCTCCAGTGGCCGAGGAGGGCAGCCGGGACCTCTTTTTCCTCACTCATCCACTCGGAGCCCCGGGCCTCCTTCTCCATAGTGTACCCTGCCGGTCGGAGTAGCTGCGACGCCTGCTTCCTCTTCGCCGGCCTATCCTGCCGGAGTATATGTGACGCTTTAGCGCTCGCGCTGCGAAGCAGATTTCTCTTCCCGCTAAGCCGTAGCCGTTCTTCAAACTTAGCAGCCCGGGCACTAAGATAGAGGTCTAGTGGCGGGATTGCTGCTTCTGCTTCCAGGTGGCGAACCGGCGATAAGAAAATAAAACTTGTGTTGCAGGACCTGCAAAAAAAAGAAATATATGCGAGCTTCAGACCATGAATGTCAGACGACAAGGTAAAACACGGCTAACTCTCCGAGCCAAGCATAGCAGATTACGAAGACGGATCCTCCCGTCCCTAATAAGGTGGATTCAGACAATACCTTCACAAAGACAGGACGAAAGAGTGTATTTGGTAACAAGAGATAGACCGGGGCAATAGGCGAGTTGAGATTTCAGATGATACTTGAGACGAAAAGGGGTGGAGAGGAAGGAAGGCTTTGAGGGGATGATAGCATAAACGGCGCAAGTCAAATTGGAATACAATGAGCTAGGGTGTCACTCCAGTGTAATAAATCGACATTACATGCCTTGGTCATTCAATCTGAGTACGCCGTTTACTGGGTTAGCCGCTAGGGCATATAAACTCGATCAAGTAAACAGATAGCCGAATAGTTTCAGTACGTCCTCTGGATCTTCTGTATTCTGCCTCGTGGTCTTCGTGCCGCCCTGGAGTCAAATACTCCAACGATTTATTCACATGACGTCCGATTCTGGGAATGGGATTGACAGCGTACCAGCAGGTTGTGGCAATTTGACGTTGATCCATAAAGACAGTCTGGACTCGCGGCAAAACTGCGAGACTTCGAAGCACGTATCATATCAGACTATAGAACGAGCGTTATTGGTTGATTATGTCCTTGGTGAGCCCCTGTAGTCTTCAACACACAACCTAGGCAGCATTTTGCTTCTTGCGCTCTTCAAAAACACTGAGTGCCTCCTCAGCAGCCTTCATTCCAGAAAGGACCATCGCTCCAAAGGTTGGACCCATCCTATTGGCGCCATCAACTTCACTCAGTTCCATCCCGCCAACAATCAAGCCAGGCACGATCTCACGAGTCCCCCTGACAATGGCATCTTCAGCCGTGTTCATGTCCAAGCCCCGCATACCACCAAGCCTCTCGAGTGCCTGCATACTAACCAGCCTCTTGACACTGAACGCACCGAAAGGCCCATCATGGCCCGTGGTGCTGATAATGACTGGCGCATTGATAGTACTCGGATCCATGCAACTCTGATCCTCATGATGCATAGCAACGAGCGTCCAATTAGTGACCACGCCCGCGATGCGGACCCCCCCGGGAGCACTCTCATCGCGGCGGGTGATGAGATCCTCGACCGATGTGGCGTTGAAGAGCTTGACGTTGGGGAAGGCGAGCACCTTGGATAGGAGCGTCGAGGTGAACAGCGCAGCGTGCTTAACGACGACGTAAGGGCCCTCGTCCTCAAAGGGGACGCCGATGTCGATTAGAAATTTGTTGGCGGGCTTGCGCATCACCATGGCGCTAAAGAGCTGGCCACCGAGCCAGGCTCCACCGCCTGGTTACGAGTGTCAGTCATATCAATTCCATGGAAGGGAGGAGGGAATGTCAGCATACCAGGCGATACGCTAGCCTCGATGATGGCAATCTTCAAGTCGGGGCGGGCCTTGGCCAAGGTGTAAGCAGTGCTTAGACCACAAGAGCCGGCGCCGACGATGACGATGTCTGATTCGGCATACCTGTCGAGGTCGTTGAAGTAGCGGCGAGCCATGGCACGAGCCACCTGTGACTCGCGAATGGCGTCGAAGGAAAAGTCCTTCCACTTCCCCTCAGCGACATCATCTGCAGTCTTGGTATTGAGCTTGTCGTTGCTAATGGCAACGCTGCCCTTGTGAGGAAGGGTGGCCGGCTCAACCACGTCGACAGTCACAGCAGGGGCCATTTTGTGTTGATGTACAGTTCAAGTCTAAGCAGGGGTTAGCTGCTGTCAAGGGGGAAAGGGGTTGGCAGAAGAGCATGATCCTTTCGCTGGTATTATCCAGAAAATCAAGTTCAGGCCGTATAATCTCAGAACGAGCTTTTGCTCACGTGTCCAGTCTCCTGATGATCTCCATCACAAGGCCTTAAGAGGAAGTACGATGGGTGGATCAACAGGGTGAGCTGGACGCAAAGAGTCTCGAACACCGGCTCATGGCTCGCTTCAAAGCGTTTACCTGATGATGATTTTTCATCATATGTAGTCATGTTGACTTTTGCTGGATAACTCCATGGCAGGGCCATGCCTCCATTTTCGCCAATTTGCTGCCTGTAGTGGCATCATGACAACCCGTACCGGGTGAAAAGTCCTGGACGATCAGTAGTCAGCAACCTTCCAAGCCAGAACTGATATTGCAGCTGCAATGCATACGAAGTTTATTTACGTACTTTGGGCGAGTGGTTTGCAGATTTCCGTGGGTGCGATACAGCTGTTGATGATCAAAGGAGTCAGGATGGGAAAACGCCCTTGCGATCTCCCTGCGTCCAAGACTACAAATATATATGTCGAGAAGCGGGGTAAATGTATTTCGTCATCTTGACACTATCATATGCACGATATCGGCCTTCTATATCTGTCTGGTCCATTATCAATGGCAGCACAGAGAGCGATTTGTGTTCCTTGCCAAACTTTGATCGTGATGCTTCTCACGTGTATTGAACAACCGATGGCTGATTATCTTGTGTCGTCGGCTAGATACGGCCTGTGCCTGATCGTATCTAAGGCCTGATGCCGAGTTTGATGGGGACTGCTATAAGTGTCAAATCTATTTCCTGATCTGCAGCATTCCCAACTCAATATTGCGAGGTAATCAAAATCTGAGTACATTGAGACCGAGTTTCCCAGCGTTGAATCTATTATTATGCAGCGCAGTGGTAGCACTACTGCATATAGTGCAGCATTGCTCGAAGAGTTGGGCTTCAGCAGGGAGAGAATTCGATACTCGTCTCCATGAGGGTCAGTCAACTCATGCTGGACGATACTCGAAGTGAAGGCTGTAAGGGCAGATTCCTCGCCTATTAGCATTTGTAAGTTTTCTAGGCCCGGGAAAGCCCATACATAGGAAGCCGGTCTCGTGGCATAGACTGCATTCACAGGATAAAGCACTTGTGATTTTGGGCAACTGGCCACGAACCGACAGGCGCCCCAATGACAGCTGCCATATTTACTGGTTGTGTTACTCATGCTGGGAATGTGATGTCTGGTTCCTTCCTACCTTACTGAAGCTTCTTGAAGGCTGAGGTAGCCAGTACGTACTCACCTTTACCTGGCGATGATAAAGGTTGAAGTTACGCAAATGGCGGGGTCGAACGGCTGGCGGGGTAGCTCCTTCGTTACTACGCCTGTTAGCTTGTCCTTCCTTTCACAAGCTCTGCGCAATATCAAAATCTGGAATCTCAGTGATATCGCATTTGCCCCTCTGATATGCCCAGCCATATCCTCATCATCCCCACCAACAGATCCATAACCTAACGAACCAAAGTCCCACATCCCGGAAATGGCGCGATCGGACGAAGCGGCAGCCTTCTTCGCCGCCGTCTACAGCGCAGTTCAAGAAATCCCCTACGGAAAGGTCACGAGCTACGGACACATCGCAAAGCTGGTAGGGACGCGTAAGACCGGCCCCACATTGCAAGTTAAAGGGAATACTATAGTAGGGTGGTAACCAAATCTGTTGCAGCCCAGCGGCCTCGTCAAGTGGGGCTCTGTTTAAAGCACCTGAGCCAGGACACAGACTCGCACTTCAACCACGACAACGTCCCCTGGCAGCGCGTCATTAACTCCAAAGGGATCATTTCTCCGAGGTGAGATATTCCTTGACGTTGAACACGATACAATGCATAACGATGCTAACGTATACCAGATCGCAGCCATCAGGGGCGCAAAATCAGGCAGCAACTCTGCAAGCCGAGGGTGTGGTAGTTTCTACAGGCTCACTAGGCGAGCTCATGGTGGACTTCTCAGTGTACGGGTGGTTTCCCCGAACTTTGCCATCCGAGACAGGCCAATCGGAGGAAGGCGATGAAGATTGATGTCAAGTGAATTGAATAATCTATAGAGTATATCGCAGCCACGAGGTTCGATCTTGTCAGTCGCATTCTGGACTCCTGTGGCAGAGCGTTCCACAATGGCACTTGATCTATATTGATAACTTTAGGGTACAACACACTCGTCTCGTTAAGAATGTGCCACATGGACGGCTATCCTGCCCAAAAGACTGCCACACAGTTGTATCTATGCCAGGCCAGGAGGATTAGCGAGAGCCACCAATGCATGAAATTAGGGGGTTGAAGGACAGAATGGATGTCAGATAGCGGTTGGACTTAAGTGTTTCCACATTTTGTTTCGGAACAGGTCTGTGAACAAAAGTGCTTTCATCATGTAGAGGAGAGACGAAGAAATCATTCATGACATACCTCAGCTTGTAGCATAAATTGATGCATCTGGCCCCGAGGAGTGTAAGCTTCCGCTTTGTCGTGGCGTCAGCCTACACTGTTATTCCTCAGTCGCCTTTCGCTTATTCGATGTCACTGCGAAGAACGAGTCCATGGTGCGTTGCCGGGAATCAGACTTGGCGCTACCAATTCCTCCCCGCGTCTTCTTCAGGCCACGAAGATGATCTGTGTTGTTAGTTGATTGCACTACGAACGCAAATCTCCTAGAATCCAGGGCATCTGATGTAGGCAGGCACTCAGGTAGCTCCGGCGCACTGGGTTCATCGCCGGGCGCATTCTTCTCGTCCAGGCTTGGCCGCTCAGGTACCGTCTCGACTTCCTCCATCCGTGCTTGTAGCACACCCGTGTTGCTCCAGGTAACATACTCGACGTTACTATTCGAGGATCCATCCTGGACCACTGATGAGGATGCGCTGGTAGGAAGACGGAGGCGAAGAGCTTTGAGGAGAACGTTGAGGATGATGCCGTGAGCAATGATGACGATGGTGCTTTTCTTAGACACGCAATCGTGGAGAAGAGGGAGCAAATGATCGTCCAAGAAGTGGTTCACTCGAACCATCATCGCATCGCGGGATTCCGAGTCTGACCCGTTGGTTCTCGTCCCAAACTTCTTGCCCTCAGATGAACCGAAGTCTTTTTCTCGTAGTTCAGATAGCTGAATAACCTCGCGAGCAATCTCAATTCCACTTGCTAACGTAGAGCTCGCTGCTAGCTGGGCCTCAACGATAGCTTCTGCCGTCTTGCAAGCACGCTGTAGATTCGATGCAAATACATGCGTGATAGGGCCAATGGCGTCCCAATGTGATGCGATATGAGCCCCTAGCCGCTTAGCTTGAAGGACCCCATGGTTTGTCAAGGGAGAGTCGCGGGAGCCTGCACTTGGGCTGACGTTAGCAGTGAACGAACAAGTACGTCATTGATGGTCTAGGAAACTTACTAAAGACCTGCTACATTATCAACCGACTCGCCGTGACGGACGAGCAGAAGATGCATTGTATCGCATCATCTTACCCACACATCAGCTTTGAGAAAGCAGTGAGATGTTCAGGTCTGTGAGGAAGGGAAGAAGTGTCAAATGTGCGCTTTATGTAAATTTTTTGGAGCTTGCCCTGGAGTTCTAGCGGAGCTTTGGTGGACTGCTCGCGGTTAAATACTTTATCCGTGCCGCGGCACCACTCAATTCGCTGGTGGATTAACCTGTCGCCGACCACCTGCCGATATTGATCCATCTTTGATGAAGAGTAGCTCATATATGAAGATGAGATCTGTCATTGAATTCATCAATTGCAACGCCTAAATCAACGCGAAATAGCTCATCATATGTGGAGTTTGCCATCAATCGGACCGCATCCCAAGCGTCGATGGCGAACTTCGTTCTGTTGCGCCCTCATTCCAGTGCCATTCCAGTGCAACCTTGAGATCTAGTGTTCACCGGCAGTCCATGTTTGGTCCTTTAGCGTGGGTCGACCTTCAGACATTGTGGGGGCAGCGCCCATCGACCCACTGCCATCCGGGGAAGTTGGGGTTAGCGCAGATCATCGACATGCCTCCTACGGTCAACACACGTGGTCTAAGCCATTGTTCTTGTTTTTGGGTATAGACCCTACGAGTTTGAAGCAGTTTGTCGACATGGAAAACATGCTACTTCCAACGTAATAACTGGACGATAGCGCCTCACCTTTAACTGTCGAGTGACGGTTCACGTTGCAGACCGGAACTTCGAGCTTGAGCAAAAGTGGTACGTTTTCCGGGATTCTTTCCTTTCTTTCCGTCAGTGTGGCCACCATTACCTCGAGTCAGATATGCGGCAAGCGAACAAGGAATATCGAAGGGCCAAGCGACCATATGAGCAGACGGAACAAGGCCATCCTTCCCAGCTCGCCTTCGGGGGTTCGTTCGACTGGGCGCAGCATGAGCAGCAATCCTTGATTAATACGCATATTGATTGGTGCTTGCAACGAGATGCGACATCACCTCTATCTTACCATTGGTTTACCCCGCTTTCTCTCCGCGCTCCCAGACGGACGCGGCCGAGTAACTGTTGTTGGGAGGCGAGCAAGACAGGCTGAGCAGTGGCATTTCCCCCTTTATTAAGAGGCTCGCTCATTACCTCCAAACTAGTTTCCTACAATATTTCGTCCCAGTGTCACACCAGATTTCATCTGTCATCCATCATTTGCATGAACAGATACCATCCCACCATCATCAATCAGACGATTAGAGGCTGCATCTCTATACCACACGCTTGCGATTAAACTTCGAGTCCGGTATGCATCAGGCTTTCCTAAAGTTCCACGATAATCTGCCTAATTACTTGCCTAACACCATTTTCGTCAAGTAGACAATAAACCCTCTCCACTCTACCAATAAAGACAAGAGTCAACATGCCCGTCCGCATCCCAGCCGCAAGAGCATCTGAAGGTGTTGCTTTCGGTCTCGCCGGTGTTGGTGCCTTCGCACCCTTCTACTTCATGCTCCCCGGCGCCGAGGAGCGTCTCGCTTCACAGACTGCCCGATGGGCACCGCGCTGGGAGCGCAACATTTCCTACTTTGCTCCACCAGCACGAACTGTCGCCCAACGAGTCGAGCCTCGAGTTGGAAAGACTGTCAAGAAGATCGATGACAAGCTACCCCTCGAGAAGATGACGAAGAGTGTCGACCGACGCATCAAGCATGGGATAGACCGCTTCAACAAGAACTGAGGAGGATGACCGTGGCAGTGTATGTGGCCAAAGGTCTCAGGGATGAAGACACCATGTCTTGTCTCTCTCTGTTTTATGTAACGCTGATGGAGGTCGGCGTACATGAGCGCTTATCGCTCTCGACCAATTGATCACAATTTGACACCAATGCAAATAAGTGAACCTATGCTGACTTTGATGACATAACTTCCAACCATGAGTGAAGTCTACAATTGATTGAACGTAGTCGACCAGTGTCTCTGCAGTCAATCACAAGAGTCGTAGACTCTTCCCCATTGGGTTCGCCGAAATTTTTGTCTACACTGTTGGCCGTGAAACTTTTGCGTGGATCCAACCATTGAGAGTGCATAATACCCATTTGGACAGCATCACCGAAGTTGATTGTGTGAAAATATACTTGCTCGTGGCTCTAGATCAAACCCAAAGACTTGATAAGGCGCACCTATAAATTTCGTTGCAGCCGGAAACGAACACCTTAGGTTTATATTTCTCTTCTCTAGAAAAATATAAAACATTGCCTTGACTACCTCAGCTATTCGACTGAAGGAATGTTTGATACGGACCAACAAATACACGTAATCAACGTCGGTTCCAGTAGGAAGAGCTTACGCGTTTGATAGATATACCCTTACCAAATAATACATGAATTAATTGGACAGGGATGAGCATAAAAGTTAGTGTCAGCCCTGGAGGGGATAAAATTCCAATGTTGCAGGCAAGCACGTATGGAACTTGCGGGTTGGCGCCACTTTACCCGTACCATGGCTCGTGAGTTCAACCCCGTCAACGTTGTTTGACCCATGCAACCTGGGCTGTACCCCAACGGCCAACGGGGAGTACTAGCCAAATTACGACATCTGAGTATTCAAGCACGATGTAACAGGCAGCACCATGTTCTGGGCCTGGGATAAGGGGCGTTGCATGGGGTGGTGGGCCACGTCGTCTTTAGGCTCATTGTAAGTAAGTCGCTTCCACAATTAGTGACCTACCGGGATAACGAATCAATGACGCTCAAGTATTCAAGAACTGAGACTACCAGTATCGACAAGATATATCTGCCATCATTTACTAAGTGGACGCAAGGTGTTTTCTACCCTGGCTCCTTTGGGATGGTGGCTTACATCCCGCTGTGTCCTAAAACACGCAAATCTCTGCGTACTGTCAGTCAACCATGCATATAGTCAAGTTTATAAGAGAAGCATTATGTCGTCATGGCTGGTATGATTGTGAAGGACAGAATAATAGAGCGGAGGCACGAGTGAAACTTAACAGGATAATGCCACCTCCTCTTGATCGGCAGGTTGATAGAAGAGAAAACGCCGAGAAATGTTACCAAAATCAAGTTTCTGAAGAAAACTTTGGTTTCTGGCTTTCCTTTGCATATTTGGGTTACGGTGCCATCAGAGCAGTGTCCGATATTGCGCCAAATGCGGTGTGGCACGTCTTTTGACAAGCGAAGTGGTATTGGTATAGTCTAGCCCCTTTACTCCAAAGTCAAAGAACTAATGATACCAGACTATTTGCAAATTCATCGTTTCCTTTTCTTGTTAACTTTTGACTGGAGAAATCCATTAACCTGAATTAAGTAGTTCATTGAACTTCAGGCAAGACCGAAGAAGACAATGCACTTTGTCGTAAATACGTGCCCCGTCTTGGTGGGGAATGTAGTATTCAGATGTCAGGCCGCTGGCCTAGCTACCTGGTAGCACTACAATTGTGGTATGCAGATGAGTGCCTCGCGTTACTACCTGTTGTTACAATGAGAAATTAATAACAGCTTGTCTGCAACTCGCCTCGAAGCAACTAATGTGCAGTTTGGAACCAGAAAATATAGAAACACGGATTCAAATCACAACATGCAGCAATCCATGGGTTTCTCCTCTCGGATTTCCAGTGTTCATTAATACGGAACTTATATCGATTTGGTAACTAACATCATTGGTTGATAATAGACTTCAGATCGACCATTTGTCCAATCCGAGAAGATTTCGAGGAAACTTCAATCTTAGACATTAGCCGAGCCGTGTTTTGAACAAGAATGTCACGACAGGCACGCCATCACCACCGGACTATCCCGCCCCGATGGCAATGCTATTTCAGTGGCGATTATCTAAACAGAGCATATTTTTAGATCTACTGTCTAGAGGCTGGTATATATATATATATCTGCGAGCTAAGGAGACGGCGATATACCTTGCTTTGCCAGTTGTTACGTGAGTATACGGTGCATCATCATTTTATCGCAGAAAAGCCGCGGCAATGGATCTAATTCAGGGCCGTGAGGCTGAAAGGAAATCGACTTCGAATAATCACACGAAAATCGACAGGATCGAAAATGAGAGCATCTCAGCACTACTCAGCCACGCCTCTTTGGTGCTCGTTTGCGCCAGCATCGCCATCATCCTGTTGGTAAACCTCCTAGAACGTTTCGCTTTACGGAAACTATGGCGCGGCGTCTGGACCGAACTTGAACTCCATGGAGAGGAGCGACGACGTCGTTCGTTTACCTATCACCACGTTGCCGCACTCGTCATGTTCCTCCTGTTATGCTTCGCGCTATACCCCGTCTACCTATTCCTCATTTCTCCTGAAAGTGGGTTATCCACGCCCATTATGGAGCATAACAGCAAGATTGTCACTGCGGGAGACGTTCTACTCACCCTCTCGCAGATATACTGTGCATACTACATCTTCGAGCTAGGTTTTAGGACACAGTTCATGAGCATCATTGGCCTGGCGCACCATGTCGGGCTACTACTCATTACACAAACGGCTTTGGTCATCTCGGTGAACATGGACAAAGATGCGACCATCGAGTACTACATGTGTATAATGTGGGGTGTGTATTATTATTCCTTTTCATTTGCAACCCCCCTTGCTGGAAGTTGACTTTTACAGGAACCTTCGATCTCATCGCCGAGTTTCCAATCCACACCTGCATGATCTACTGGCGTGTCAGACGGAATTCCCACCGTACTTTGATGTACATCGCGTACAGTTGCTACGCCTGGCAGGCTTCGTTGGCCGCTGCTGAGACCGCCTTGACAATCTACTTGCTGAACGCCTCGTGGGATCGCTGGGAGGTGAAATGGCAAGTCATCACGCCGCTGATTTTTGCGCTGTGGATCTCGACTCAGATTTACGGAGCTACCACGCTACTTCGCATGGGCCATACGGAGCGGAGGCATTGCACACCAATTGCGGAGGAGAGAACAGAGGAAGGGTTACCAGGCGTGCCCATGGGGAAGCAGAGGCATCGAAAGGGGCGTATCGACTTTGGCTTCACATCGAGATTTCCTTTCGTGGTAAAGTGCAAGTTTTTGAGAGAATCGGTGGATACCATGCAGTCATCTCAGACCATCACCGGACGGGAGCCCAAAAGCGAAGAACCCTGACTTATCGAAGTACTGGTAGTTATTTCAGGAATAGGTCAGAAGGGTCATGTCAAATAGCTGGTATAGAAAATATCGCTGCAAAATAGGATGGCAGAACTGGAGAGAATATAAAGACCGAAAACCAAGTGTGGAAAGATGTGGAATATGTGCAGTAGAAATTATACGATAGAACCGTCCTGTAATGTTGTTATTACGACTTATTGTGGAACTTAGCCCAATATACTGTTATGTTATACCACAAGTTTTGTGATGTACCTATTATATCGCGAATGTCAACTGCTTCTACAGATCTGAGTTTCATTAAGCTATCGTTCCATATAACCTGGTTCTTATGCAGATATCCATAATACCGATACTTGTGGTTTGGGGGAGAAATAACTATTACAGCCCAATGCACACTAACTTACTACAACTCTTATCTCTATCCTAGTCCTTGCAAGAATAGCTTGAAATGTGCTTGGACCTTTGGTTTAATCTGTATAGGGCGGATTCTTACTGCATTTCCATGTTTCTTTTGCTTTCACCACCTTGATGATGAAAGTCCTCTCCAATAGCACTTGGACCAGCAAATATTACCGTATCCCACGATGACATTCCACAATCGAACCGCATGTGCAAAATTATCGCTTCAAAAATAGAATGAGGGAATAACGGCATCAAATTGACAGCTCCTGATTCCAGAACGCTACTGAATATATCGAAGCTTGTCATCGGTGCTGTAGCGGCCGCCTTATTATCGACAAGCGCGCCTCGCAGCCAGAACCCCAGTGATCAGTGTCACAAAGTACAAATGTGTAAAGAGTATAGTCGGTCTCCCGTAAATCCATTCCTACCCTGCCTAGGACCAGCAACTTATTTATGAAGCCCTGCAAGTTCCATAACTGTTAGCAATGTCCATTAAGATGACAGAAGGGGCAATCAAAACTTTGCGAGGTAGGCATCCCGCCATTTCTATAGGACCTGCGCTAGCCATTAGAAGGAAATGAATGTCTTAGAAGAGTTTCAAGCCGGTGTGGATGTACACTTGGCACAATAACCCCGACATTGCGGTCTCTCTGTATATTGATTGCAGACTTTTGACCGAGTACAACAAGACACAACCTCTACAGACACATCCGATGCCACGTCCCCGTTCGCCATAGAATTTGAATCGGAGCCAAAGCAATAGCCGTAAATAATCATGCATGGATTATAGACGAATGGCTGATTCGAGATCGAATATCATTATGTGATGTCATGAGCCAGGAAGACCTGACAGGAATTGGTAGATACACTCACGAAGAGACTGTCCTAACGTCGTCAAGATGGTCTCAATTGTCAGAGCTGCTGACATAACCAGGGTTTCCTGTCAAGGGTTCAATCAAGCTGCCCTGATACTCATATCTCGCCGGCGAACCGCGGAACTGGTTGACTGGGGGCTAATAAGCATTAACTGGAAGCAGTGAACATCAGGACGCGAGCGGGTTCCGAATCTCTTCACCGCTAGGAATACCATCTGTGGGTCAATGGTCAAGGGTGGTTGGCCAAGATCTATAGACCCCAGAGATCCAACCTTGGGATGTCAGTGCGCTGGATCATGATTCCAGCTGGCATATTGACTTGACTAAAAATGACGAGTTGTAGGAAAATAAGACGCGTTGGAATGCAAAATATGAGACAAAGTGACTTTTACATATTCGAGGCCGATTTCGGAATGCATACGTGGAAGGAGTTCATATTCTAAAGTTGCATAGCAGCTTGTCAATCGCACTCCTGCACCTGCCTTCCCGGCCAGCACGAAATAATTGTTGAAATCGCTGGGGGAGATGACAACTGTAAGCAAGCTAAGGATTGAGTACTTTCAATGTTGGTCGACGATATTGTAATTGTCCACATACAGCATACAGCGAACAGCTTGAACAGCTTGCTCGGGACTTACCCGCCAGCCTATCCCTTAGCAAGGATTATCTTGCAACAAGCTTGGGCCATGGCGGGACCAAAAGCCACTTCCATTCGATCTCATCCCTGCGCGCGAACTTTTTGGCCTTGTCGATCGACCAAAAGTTATGGGATTTGTCAAAGCTCGAGGATGAAGAAGTGATCCAAGAAGCTGCTCGGAAAGACTCAATGGGACGCATGTAGCAACCGGTTCTGCAGGCAAGTTGCAATGACCCAGCCGCCACTATCGGCCAAGCGCATGCGCTCCAACACTTCTTCCACCGATTTCACCAATTCGGCCCCGCAGACCACAGCTCCTGCCCTTCGACAGTCCAACTCGAACGCCAACATTGGGCTCTACGTCGCGCCCACCGGCTTCAATGGTACCTTTGGGCCAACCTCCCAGGTCACTCTGCGTCAGAACCTCAACTATGCTCCCTACGGCACCACGGGACAGCCCAATGCCTATCCTGACGGCTTCGTCGCGTCCCCAACTGCCTATACCGATTCCTACGACCCACACGGACACCCCAACAGCTACGCCGCCGCCTACGGCCAGCCGACCTCGAATGGCCAGAATTCGCCCCTTACTGCTACCTACACCCAGAGTACCGTCAGTAACGCGCACAATGGACCATACGTTCACTTGGGATGCCAGTCGGGCTCGGCGGGTCCCGCGTCCTATTCTCCGGTGCCTTCACCCGTGCCTCTCAACAGCCAGAATACCAACTACGGCGAAATACAAGGACGGAGCGCGACCCCAGTTTCGCGGCAGAGCTTCTCGCAATACGGAGAAACGTACAGCTCCCAGCCTAGCGCCCACAATCCTCAGTACCACGGACAAGCGGCGTCATATCCCGAACCTACGGTAAATCCTCAATACAGCCCGCCCCTCGACCAGCCAGTCGGCAATGTGAATCAACAGAGCCCGGATATCCCTCCAGATGGCGATAACGGGGAAGAAGATGCACTGGGCGAGGAGGTGGATGAGGCTGTTGACGTATGTCCGCAATCTCACGACCTCCTTTCAGCCGCGACTGACGAACTCCACCTCCAGGTGTACCCGAACCCCACACCGACTGTTGAAGAAGAACCGCCCAAACCGCCGGACACAAAATGTGCCTGTAAAAAGGGCCGTGGAAAGAAAAAAGCCTGCATGAATTGTGCCTGTAGTAAATACGGGCGCAAGTGCGGCAGACATTGTTCCTGCGGTGATGCATGCGGGAACCCCTTCCAAGATCTGACGACCTTCTTCGGCCCGCCCGAGAAATTCCCCAAACCCTGCGAGGCGAATGCGTGTTTTGTGACGTGGCTTTCGAACCAGCCCAACATAGAAGAGCTGGACATGGATCTCATGGTCGACATGCTGCTCTACGACGACAAGTCGTGGGCCACCATCAAGGGGCACACGAAACCCTTCCGGGAATGGGAAGACCGGTGGCTAAAAGCAAAGAACGCCAAGTCGAAGAAGGTTAGGGAGGGCCGGGAGCAGCTCGAGTTCGACCTGCTGCGGGGGGCGCTGGGAAACTGCAATGCCGACGATTTTCATGGGTACTGGTACAGCTTCTGCCAGCGGCAATGGGTACACATGGACCATTGGGAGCACTGCAGGGAGTGCAAGATGTGTGCGCCGAGCAGCGAGTGGCATTGCGAGCAACACGGTCGCTGCACGACGAACCGTACGTGTGCTGGATGTGCGGGGGCGGCAACGTATCCAGACATGGCCAACTACGTGGCAAGCTGAGAAGGAGCGGAGACATATCATGAATGAATGTATAGACACGTCCAGGAGATAACAAAGGAAATCGGCTTGTGCTTCAAGCATCTATATACCTAGCATTAGGGTGGAGTCATAGGAGCGTATGAGTGTGTTACTTGTTTATATAGGTAGAGGGCGGCGGGGCTGATCAATGGCAGATGCATATTCTCTGCCCAATCTGGAGATGTTGGGCACTCGTGGGAGTGAGTGTCCAGTATGAATGCCGTGGGCTCTCTTCTGTCGCATTTGCCGAACGTACCTTGATACACACGCTTCGATTGATCATCCGTTGAAATCATCCCAAATTGCAAAGTGAACGAGTGTCGAATAATCCTGTGAAGGCTCTGAAGACCCCACGAGAGTTCACAATGGACTGTAGTTTCGAGGTCATTTTGAAGCCATTTGGCTTGAGACGAAATGCTTGAGCACTGCAGTGCTTTTATCAAGAAAAGAAATTGAGTACCACAAGCTGCCCGTGGGTGGCACCTTCCCTACCACAACGGTTGTCAACTTACGTATACTTGCACAGTAAATCAATATGCGTGGTATTATGCATGGTGCTATGTGTGATACTTCAGCAATAACACAATCAAAGGATGGACCTTACAACAAAATCTAAGGAAACCCATTGACAAGGTAAAGGAAGTAGTTAGTGGTCGGCAGGAAGCCTCTGGCTAGGCAGCTAGGTGCGCCTTCCTCTTGGACTGGATAATATCAACCATAGCTTGGAAGTCGCTCCCCCCTTGCTCTGTTGCCTGGTTGACAAGGAAGTGTAGAACGAGCTCACCCAGGTTTGTTTCTCAATTGCTCATAGACATTTCTGACGAACGTTTCCCCAGACTTTCCAAAGTCGACAAATTCATGCATGGACTTGTGCATTGGCGAGCTGGACGGCTCTATTAAATCTATCGAGGCATCTCCGAGTCACCCGAACCTGTGACTCGGTGCGACTCGACTTCTGTTACATGAAACACCCATAACCACAAGAGAACGCTGCCCAGCATGCCTCCAATCACTCATGCTCACAACCGTAAAGATACCCCCCATCCACGCAGGGGTATTTTGGAAAGGGGTCCTGCACGGCCTCGACGATTTTTACATCTCCGAGCGCCGTCTTCTCCTCTTGTATCATCTTCACCTCTTCCATCATCGCCATCTCCCCTGCCTTTGCAAGGATCCAATCTATTCCCAGGCTATCCCAGCTCCAGTCTCGACTCATCGCATCTTGACCCTGCCAGTGGGGATCGCAGCCCCAACGGTGAGATTGCGCACAAGCTACCGAAATCATGCTTGATGCAGCCATTGACCCATGTTGTAGGACAAACCGCATCTCAGGCGATTCCCATCATAGAAGACGAGAGCGATGCGGTCGTCCGAGACACTTCGCCAGACCTGTCGTACGATGCCACTTTGAAGAGACTTTCTGCAATCACATGTTTGCGAGAGCGGTTTCACAATAATGACGTAGACTCGTCAACAGACAACATGCTCGACGAGAGTGATGATGATGCCGACGCGGAACATGAAGTTGACGGCAAACCGTGGCCTCATGAAGATGAATCTGACGATTCTACTCTGGGATTTGTATCTCGCTGCGCTAAGGAATACGAGGAAGAAGAAAAGCAAGACATCTTCGATAATGGCAACTCAGGGGATGAAGATGAGCTCGCAGCTGATGCGGGTATTGCCGAATGGGCTCATTGCGATGACGAAACTGATCTTGAGGATATGAATATAGACCTTGACGACCATTACATTCGCCAACGCTCCCACATTGACGACACCATCATCGATCCTGTCCCTGAAGCATCGGATGCAATCCAAGGCGGTGGAGCTGCGGTAAACCAGACAGGAACTGGAAATTCATTCGCAGATTTTTTCAAGATACAGCTGCGAGTCTCTTGCCTAGACAGGAAGGAAAATGTGCAACTCTGGAAGATATTCGAGTTGGAGGAGACTAAGCGTCACGTGGATGCCGGACTCGCGGCTGCCTTGAGAAAAAAGCAGATCATTGCCAAGGAAAAGAGCAGAGTTTTGTCTGAGATGGTGCTACAGCAAGGAATTTTTGAGGTCTCTGAGGATCTGTGGCAAGCATATACAGAGTTCTGCGAATCGCTCGAACCTGAGTTTGGAAGTCGTGGTGGTTGGTCAATCACCTGCCACTGGGACCACAATGGTTCCTACGTCAATTACGACCCTGACCTCAGTCTCTTCAGAGAGCATACCGACATGCCATATTGGGACTGTAATTTCCGCTGTGAAGCAAGCACGATCAAGCCTTACATTAACGCACTAGCTGAGCACGTGGTCGAGTTCTGGCCTGTGCAGTCTCCTGAGCCTCTGCCCTTCTCTGGTGCCAACACGACTTGGGGCAAGAAATATGTACGTGCCCTACTCATCGTTGAAATAACTCCGGTATGACTAACATATGTTTTCAGACAGAACTATATAGACTTGCATCTGAAGCGGCTTGCAGAGGATCCGAAGTAGCCATGGATATGCTCGTTGCGCTCCCAGACCAACACGCATCATGTCATGGAGGCTGGCTGTTTGAATATGGGTTCGCGGAAGAGCTCAAGGACCACCCGGTGAAGTCAAGAAGATGGACTTACAGGACCGCACGCATGATCGACGTCCCTGTTGATCCCGCTCGCAAGCGGGAACGGCTGGAGGCATTCCTCGTGCCTGAGCTGTTCTCGGATGACTAGTTACTCTGCCACTTTTACCTTTTGGCATCACACATTGAAACAGACCTGAAGTTCAGTCCACGGTGGAAACGGCAGCATGAGTATCGGGGCTGCCACAGTAAACTCCGAGCTTCAGTCGCACAAGTCGACATCTACCCAATCCGGGAAAAATCATAGCTGCCGGAAAAAAAGCACAAGAGCTGTGTTGGGGCCTGTGGCTGAGGATATGTCAACATCGATTTATTATTTCGCAATGATTTGGGGCGAATACGGGTCATACATGAAGGCTTCTTCATAGAAGGGAGATGTATGTCGCAGAAAATTCGAAATTCAAAGATGCTCCGTCCGATATGCTGGTGAGGCTGTCATTGGGACAACTGTTCGTGGTACTGCCCGAGTATTGAAATGGTGCCCGGCATTGTTATTAAAGCCAAATAGGTTTAGACGACGAACACTTGCTAGACTTGTCCACAGATTACCCAGAGGCTTTGTGAGAAGCTATCACCGGGGGAAAGAACAGCATGTATATATACAAGTAAAGTTCCTATTTTGGTATCATCGATCTATCTCAATCTTGACTTGCTAGCTACGCTAATGTTCAATCGTTTGACAAGAAGGGAAATGATCGAATGAGCCACCATCGTATGCTTCATAATTCTCTCTCTTCAAAATCATGGAATCCAAATTTCACGTTAGTCCTGACATTTACCACCTCCACGTATCACATCATCAACACCATTATTACCGCAGATCCCACAAAAGGCAGACCGGCTCCGACAGATCCGGATCCACGGATACTTCTGCCTCGGAGGTCGCAGGCTGAGCCGTAGCCTCGGGCATGTTGTCCTGCTCGGTAACAGTCGCTGTGGCCCGGATCGTCTCGGTAACGACCTCGAACACCCGCACGGTCATCCGATCCGTCACCGTTTCGTGGGTTGGCTCCGGCGCAGGGGCTACGGAGGGCGCCTCGTAAGCACCCATCCGGCCCTCGCAGGGGTCCATAGCCTTGGGAAGAGGAGCGGTTGGCATGCTCGCTAGGATGGAGGTGTGTGATGGGATTTGGAACTTCTCCTGGGAGATGGAGGGTGTGGCGGGGTTGTAGTCAATCTGTGCCGGGTTGTGATTTTCCATGTTAAAGATGGATTTAGCTGCTTTGGATTCATGTGACGGGAAGAGTTCCTCCAAAATATCGATGATGGATTCGGTTGCGTTGCCTTGCTGTGCTGGCGCGCTGTCTTCCTGCTGAGCTGAAGATCCAGGAGTGAAAATGCATTCCGGCATCGGCAGGTCTTCTTCGGCCACGTCGTCAACGATGGTTTCCGCTGCTTCATTGTCTTGGTCCGGCAAGTCTTCAGACACATCGTCGATGATGGATTCTGTTGCGATGTTCTCTTGCGCTGGCATGCAATCTTGCACATCGTCGACGACGAGTTCTGCGGATTCGGTTTCCTGCACCGGCAAGTCTTGTTCCACCTCTTCTACGATGAATTCCGCTGCTTCGGTTTCCTGCTCAGTCGTAGGTTCCGGTACCACGTAGTCTACAGTTGAGGGTTCCATGACACTGCATTCTGGACTCGACATGTGATCCTCCTCCTCCTCCTCCTTCTCCTCAATTGGAGGCTCGGCAATGATACTCTCCTGGACTGGGGCATCATCCACCTCCTCCACACTCGAGAATTCTGCAATAACGCAATCTGGGGCCAGCACTTGATCCGTCTCCTTGGAATCCATAACTGAAGGGTCCACGGCAACGGGCTCCTGGGCCGACATATCATCCACGTCCTCCACAAGTAAAGGTTCCTCGTCAATGCTCTCCTGAGCTGGTGCACTCTCCTGGGCTGGCATGTCATCGACCTCATCCAGAATCGCAGGTTCTGCGACAATACTCTCCTGGGCAGGCGTATCATCGACGTCCGGCACCCTAGAAGGTTCAGCAACAGCGCACTCCTGCGTACGCGTAGATTGTTTTACCTCTTCCTGCTCAATGACAGGTTCAGCAATAATGCATTTCCGCACAGGCTTGTTCTGTGCTACTTCCTCCTGCACAATCTTAGGTTCGAGGACAATGTTTTTGTGCACAGGGGTTTCATGTGTAACCGCTTTCAGCACAGTGGCCGGTTCCGAAGTAACACATTTCTGCACAGGTGTATCCGGTGTAACTTGCTCCTGCATGATCTCAGGTTCCGGGACAATGCTTTCCTGCACAACCGGATCCTGTGTAACTTCTTCGAGTACGGTCTCAGACTCCACAATGACGCATTCTGGCACAGGCATGTCCCGTGCAACTTCTTCCTGCACCATCTCAGGTTCGGCAATAACCGTCTCCTGGGCCGGTGCAGGATCGTCGACATTTTGCACAGTCTCGAGCTTAGCAACAACACTCTCCTGCACCGGGGTATGTACTGGGGTATGCTGTGGCACATCCTCTTCTTGCATGACTGAAGGGGTCGCAATGACGTTCTCCTGTACAGAGGCTTTGTTGACAACCTTCTGCACAATCGGAGCCTCTGGGGCCGCCATACTACCCTGCGTCGGTGTGTGCTGTGCCACCACAGCCTCCGCAGGAGTGTAGTGGTTGTCAACGGATTCTACAACAGGAGCCGCCAGCTGCTGCCGCTCCTGTACAATGGCCTGCGGCGCCTTGGCAACCGGAACCTGGTGCATCTGCAGTATGTTCTTGACCCCGAAGATGCTGGGATCGTATTGCAAATGCAAATGCTGCGGCGCGGTACGGACAGCCATGAGAAGTACGAATACACTCAGTGTCAAGATGGCAATGTTCTTGCGGTCCTGCATTAAGACTCGCACGGATTGGAGGAGGAGTTGGGGGAGAGAGGCCTGTTGGTATGGCCGAGAGGATTGCGGTTGGTGAGTGTTGATGTGGCTGAGATCCGGCTCTGGAGTCCTGCCGTACATCTCGCGCATTCGTTTCTCCTCTTCAGTGAGGTGTTCGTCGTCGTCGTGCGCGGGAGAAGAGGGTTTCTGCTGCGCCTCCTTTCTTGCCAAACGGGCCAGTTCCTGTTGAACAGCTGGCTCAACGACGGGTAGGAGCTCGACATCCACGCGCTCCATTTCCTTCCAGCACGCGTCCCAGGCGCCCGCCTTCATAAGCCCGTTGCTTGCGTAGACTTTGACGCGGAAGATCTTGCCTTCCCCGAGCGCATCGTAGCGGATATCGTGCTTGCACGTGTTGCACCAGTGCTTCTTGGCTTCAGGACGAACTGCATTGTATTCGTCCTCGCTCTCGCTCTCGCTGTTGTCGTCCACGGTGGTCAAGTTGGCCGGCCCGAGGTAGTGTCCGCACTCCAAGATGCGGGCGCGACGACGCATGGGCAACTCGAGAGCCTCGAGTAGGCGCTCCTCAAGAATCTCGTAGTCATTCTGAGGATGGCCTAGCAGGATGCCTCGCTCGATCACGGTGTCGCCCATCCGGTCTTGTAGCATCCGCCATGCTTCGCGGAGGGTCTTGACTTCCTCGCTCAACTCGCAACTGTCGAGTTTGTTCATCAAGTCACCATGCATCCACCTCAACGGGAGAAGAGTGCAGTGCAGGAGGACAAGGGGTGCCTCCTTCTTGACCTTAAATCGAGAAGGGGTCCTGTTTTTTGGCGAATACTGGGCGGAGGGTGATTGGCTGCCCAGCCGCGAGACTGTAGGGAAGGTGGTGCGTTTGCTTGAACGGGGAGATCCAATGGCGGACCCTCCAAATACGGATGGAGCAGGGGATGACATTTGCAATGCTCGAACATCGGAAGGCGTACGGAATGGTGGCCGCGGTGTTCCTCGAGCAGTTGGGACGAAGTCTTCCCGGTCGTATTGTGAAATGTCTGACACACGGGGTGTACGAGTTGTGTTTTTATCGGAATTATCTCGAGCTTTGCCCGATTCGGAGCCTCCGTCGTAAGACCCTATTGAGCTGCGTTTGCTCTGGCTGTTTTCGCTGAAGACGTCTTCGTCGTGTTCGTGTTGGGAACTGCTGTCTCCGCCTTCGTCGTGAGTCGGGGTTGTGTCAGAGACGCGCGATTGAGCGTCTTCGTCGGTGTTGTTGCTCAGCATGGAGTCTTCGCCGTTGCCTTCTCCAGCAACACTTTCCACACTCGGGTGGTTGTATGTGTCCTCGTCAAAGGCAGCATCGTCCTCGGCCGCTTCCTCGCCGGTCGGCTCTGGTTGGCTTGTAAGTTCGTCCACTTCAATGCTCTCTCTGATGCCTTCCGTCTTCCGGACCTCTTCAGTATGAGGGATCGTCTCGTCGTCCATTGGGTCGCTCAAACAAGAAGGGTCGACATGTATATTGAAATCGTAATTGGGTTTATTTTGTCGGACCATCGCTGCACTTGGAGGGGCGAACTACGTTGATTATAACGCCGTGTAATGCGGGAGCTCTGGCAACCGGCCGTATGGTAGCTTTGGCTTTTGATTCGACGAATTGCTTGCGTCCCACAAGGATGAGCTGGCAAGATGTTTTTGGTTGTTTTGTGCTTCAACCTGTCACCGTCGAGTGGATGGTTGTGGTGGTTGCTGGTTGGTTGTACGGTGCCGCCATAGTTTACATGCAGGGATGCTTATCGCTGGCCCGGCAACCGGCAGCGCGGGGCGACGAACGCCGCAGTACAATTCGCGTGGATCTCTCCAGTTGGCCGTTCGAAGCGGTCTGGAATCACATCTATCGAAGACACGTGGGTTCGTCTGAAGATTGCCTCGAGTCATCAGTCCTCGGGTCTTTGAGCATTTGCACCTCGGAATCCCTGATTCTGATCGATCATCGTGATGTCTCTCCAGCAGTGCCTCATTCCCGCGCTTGACGTCATTGCCAATGCCTCATTATTTTCCCAAAGCAACCATGCTCCCAAGCACCAATGGCAACTCAGAAATCCATGCACTGGCACAGACGTGTCCGTATCTTGTGCATGTGGGAAGAGCGCGCGAACCCCGAGTCTCCCGTTCTGCCCGTGTGCCCGATGCTGCAGCTGCCGTTTATCTCAGTGTCAAATGTGACAGCTGCCTTGCCCTAATTCATTCAGCATGGATTTTGGCTATTGATGTCATTCCTCCAGGCCAAAAATCACTATTTGAATCCTGCCTTGAAGCTGCCGAGCTAGCCCAAGGTTGCTTCTTGACATTGTGTAGTCATTGCACCATGCCTCCCACTTCAGAAGGAACCCCTGGCTCTGGCAAGGTCTAGACTCTTAGTGCACCGCTCGCTCGCCTATTTAACCTGCACTGGCTCATGGATGCCACGCAAGGAAATGGATGCAGAATCTTGCCGTGGCCCTAGTGACTGCAGCTATTGGTCAATCGAGGGATTGCGGGCGCACCTCAACTCCCTGGTACGTAGTAGAATGCTTTGCTACAGCCCAGCCTGCATATTCCAAGTTACAATAAGATCCAACTCTATTAAGTTGGTAATCGGGGCTGACAACGATGCCTGTTAGCTCGTCGTGAAGCATACAAGATGGCGCTTACGGCCGGCTTGCTCTCTGTCAGAACCCAATCTTCACTAGGCGGCCGTCCCCTATTTGACAGACACAACTGCTCAAATTTTACTTCGCAACACAGCATCAAGTTCGGTTTGGACCCCCAATTGTAAGTGTCGGACCAACTAGTCAAGATGGCGGAAGAACAGGCCCCCACGCCGGAGAACATGACAATGCTCCAGGGCTTTGAATGGTATGTTCCTGCGGACCATAAACACTGGGTCCGGCTAGAGAAGCATGTCCCACAGCTCAAGGCGTGGGGTATTGACAACATTTGGATCCCTCCTGCGTTAGTTGCACTCATCATCTGTGGATCAGATCTTGTCTGACATTTCGCAAAGATGCAAAGGCTCTTCTACGACTGGCAACGGGTATGATCATATTCTCCCCGAGGAATGAAGCCCAGGCTCGAACCAGTGACTCATCTCAACCTGTAGCTATGACATCTACGATTTGTACGATCTTGGCGAGTTCGATGCTAAGGGCGGCGTTGCTACGAAATGGGGCACTAAGGACGAACTCTTGAAGCTCGGCCAAACCGCCAAGGACCACCGAGTTGGGCTCTACTTCGACGCTGTGCTGAACCACAAGTTTGCCGCCGATCACAAGGAGAAGTGTCAAGCAATCGAAGTGGACCAGGAGGATCGAAACAAGGAGATCAGCGACAAGTATGAAATCGAGGCTTGGGTGGGCTTCGACTTTCCTGCTCGCCAGGGCAAGCACAGTCCGATGAAGTACCACTGGTATCACTTTTCTGGAGTCGACTTCAACGCGCGCAATGAAAAGACTGGCATCTACAAGATCATGGGAGACAAGTCCACGGGTTGGGCAGAACACGGTGATGTTGACAGTGAGAAGGGAAACTAGTGGGTCTACCTCTGTCATGTGTTCAAGTCTACACTCACAAGGCCGCAGTGATTTCCTCATGGGCTCTGATCTCGACTACTCTCACCCCGAAGTGGAGGAAGACGTGCTCAACTGGGGCAAGTGGCTCGCCAACGAACTGCCGCTCAAGGGCATCCGCTTCGACGCCATCAAGCACTACAGCGAGGAGTTCCTGCGCAAGTTCATCACCATGCTTGACGAGACATATGGCCAAGGCTGGTTCTTCGTCGGAGAATTCTGGAAGGACTCCCTCAACGATATGACGCGGTACCTGGACCGCATGCAGAAGAAATTCTCCCTCTTCGATGCGCCCCTCGTTTACAACTTCAGCGAGATCAGTCGCGGCAACGGTGCCGATATGCGACAGGTATTCGACCAGACTTTGGTGTCCGTCATGCCTGTGAATGCCGTTACCCTCGTCATGAACCATGATACGCAACCATACCAGGCTCTTGAAGCGCCCATTGAGGGTTGGTTCAAGCCCCTTGCTTACACCCTAATTCTCCTTCGTGTGGAGGGTTACCCCTGTATCTGGTTCGGCGATCTCTACGGCATCGACCCGAAAGGTGAGCATCCCTTCCCATGCGCGTGTGGAGGGGCTCTGCCGAAGATGGCGCTGGCTCGTAAGCTCTACGCGTACGGTAAGCAGGCGGATTACTTTGATTACCCCACCTGTCTCGGCTGGGTCCGTTACGGAACTTGGGACCGCAGGTTCGGATGCGCTGTCGTGATGAGCAACGCTGGACCTGGCGAGAAGCGCATGCATGTTGGCGAGATGCATGCTGGTGAGGTGTGGACTGATGTGTTGGGATGGTCGGACCGCGAGGTCACGATCGAGGACGATGGGTTTGGGGTCTTCGTCTGTGGTGGGACAAGTGTGAGTATCTTTGTCAACCGCGAGGCGGAGGGGCGGGAGAAGTTCTGCGAGACATTGTAAGTCCATGTCGCATTTTGAGATGAGAAAAAATGCTAACAGTTCACAGTAACGACAACATCTATGGTCATGAATGCTAGGCTAAACCGGAAAAGTGGTTGATAATTAGTATATTTTACAGCTACGTCTCTGAATTGACGTAGACAGTTTTACGATTTTCCCACAGACTCATCCAACTGTCGCATAACTCACCCCATAAGAACGTTTATTCCACCGTCTGCGATCCTATACTCCCCAGTCCATATACCCATCACCTTCGCGAAAATGCGACTCACGAGTAGACTTCACCCAAGCCCCAGCCGGCTTGCCCTCACTGCCATCCCATTGACGTCGGCAAAAGGAGAATCACCAGATGCGACACTGCCCCTCCGACGTATCGAAAATCGCCCGATGCAGCAAGCCTGCTCAAGGTGTCTCACTGCCACAAGTTCATCTATAGCATCTGATTATAATGCCACTTCATCCCATCGTCGCTTCAAACCGGATACTTTCCGTCCACGTTCCCAATATTGGTAGTAGCTTGCCTAGCACTTCAGTGAAACTTGGAGAATAGCCTCTCTAGCGTTACTTCGTGGATTCGAGGGTACGTTCTTGCTGTCTGGCGTTTGCACGGCCACGAGATGAAGCAGATGAAGCATGAAAGGGGTTTGATCGGCGGGTCGGCGGCGCTTCAGCTGCCACTCAGAGTGGAGCATTTAAATCCCCATTTACTGCAGGCGCAGTTGAGGCAAGAACCCTGTTAGCATTGCTTGCTCGGCATTGATATCGCGCGAATGATTCTTCTGAGGCTTTTGGGGTTCTCTGGTTTTTTTTAGTAGTCATAAAACAGGAAATAATCAATTGCTACGGATAGTTACTGCCAGAATCTCTTGTTCACTGGACTGAGCAGAACGCAGTGGATTTCCGCCGACCCGAAGCCCACGATGTTTCAGCATGCCAGCACCATCGATTGAATCTCCCAATTCGACATCACAACCTTGACAACACAATGGCAGGCTTGTTCTTGAGCCAAGTCTCATACCAATGACTCCGAACCTTTCTTTCCTTGAACATGTTGAACTCGAAAACCGTTTCCGCCATGGTCTCGATCATTTGGGCGACGGCCACTTCCATCTCCTTGTACAATTCACATCGCCTGTTAAACTCCGTATCTGATAGGAGCGGTATCGATCTGAATCCTTCATATTCTTCCTGGAGCGCCTCGATTATATCATCGCAGAGCGTTTTCTTCATGTTTCCGGAAAAGACCTTGATCAATCTCTCACGCTCATCGTAGGTCGTCCTGGGTCGGCTGGCGGAAAACGGTCTTGGATGCCATTGTCTGCGGGCATTCTGCAGACTCGGTTCTGTCGGCTCAACTGTGCTCTTGGTGTCCGGGGTGGAGGAGTTGTCTGGTGGTGGTTGCCATTTTCAACACTGCTGGTTTCACGAAAAACTGGAACTAGCCATATCAAGATCCGATGATGAGGAACCCTCAAAACTGTTCAGGGCGAGGAGGTACGGTATATTTCCCACTCGACGCATCGACGGGAGAGTTGATCCTATGCTTTTATACGCCGCTTGAGTTCAGCCAGGCAGACTATCCTGAATCATCCACTTGAGTAATGCCACTGGGACTTGTGGAGAAATGTCCTTCTGTCGGATCGCCCCAGCCTTTGATAGTTATCCATCAGTTGTTTTTCCGCTGGCGGCTACAATGGTCAGTTGACGGGATTTCGGACTCTGTGCCATGAATCCTCTAGTGTATCAGCCATTGTTATGCTCAGACGTGATCAGCACTCTCAGTCAAGAGGCTATTTTGCTGTACTCAATGCCCTTGCGGCCACTTTCAGTCTTTTTTTACTTTGGAAGGGCATAGAGACACATTCTTCAACGATTGAATTCACTGTGGAAATGCAAAGCCTACGTAAATACTCTTTCGCACCGTATAGTATACTTAAAGGTATACGTTGTGTAATTTACCTAACACGCCTGGCGGTTTTGCTGTAACTTCTGGAACATATCACACACTATTTCACATACTCTACTTCGCTACCTGGATTAAGCTGGGGTATAATTCTGCGACGGTTCTTTAGTCGCCGAGATCTTTAAACACAGATTTGGACTCAGCCAAGTCTGTGTGGTCTTCGCCCAGCATTCATATTACACACCCCATCCTACAATAGCTGCGTGAACTAATAAAACTACATCAAGGTAGACGGTGAGTGGGTAACGCTTAAAGATAATGAAATGACCATAGCTTAGCCATTTTGAGTTTTACCTGAATCAGAGCCGACGAGAAAAAGGCCAACAGCTGTGCAGCTTTCGGCGCCTGTTCCGCCGCAAACAGAGCGGACAGTAGACATGGCGACACACCCTTCTACATTGATATAAGGGAATCATTGCTCATTATACTAGATGAAGTTATTCTCACCTCACCTATAACAAACATCCTTAGGACCCGGTAATAGAACTTCGCGGACTACTAATATACTCGAACAACATACACCTACATCAGAGTAACCAATCGATCGGATACCGGTCCGGACCGGTCCGATATTCCGATATCGATACCGATCGGTAGCACATTTTGTTCATTAGATCGATACCGGTACCGGTATATCTGAGATCCTGCTCGATCGATACCGGTGGCAGTTTGCGCCACCGGTATCGATCATTCGATCTGACCGGACCGGTTTTATGGAGGATTCTGAGGGCATCGTGACCCTTGTTGTTGACCCTGGTTTTATCTAACCTAATACGGTTAGGCGTTGTTTTAGGTAGGAAAAGTGAAGAGCTGAGTTGGCGTGAGCATTATATGGCTAGGTTGAGGAAGCGTTGGGAGGGTGACTATAAAAATAGGTAAGTATAATATCTAGATAAAATGTTCATCTCTAACTGACCCTCGTCTAGGCCCCTTCCTGAGACCAACCCTTTAGCTGAAGCTGAGAACCAGCCAGTCCTTACGATGCTTCAACGCCGCAAGCGTTTTTATATGAGCGACGCCGACTCCGAGGTCCTTGATTCGCAAAGTACACAAGATACACAGCCAATAGCAAAGAGAAGGAAAGGAAAGGGCAGAAACACCAAGCCGGTGCCGATTAGGCAGGAAGAATCACAACAAGACGAGCTTGACCTCTACCTGGCAGAACCTGTGGTTAACGTGGACCAATATTTAAAGGACCCAGTAGCTTGGTGGCGTGATATTGGCGCAAAACGTTTCACCAAACTGTCTTATATGGCTGTTGACTTCCTTACGATACCTTCAGCGCAAGCAGAAACAGAACGCCAGTTTAACAGTGTAGGAGAGATGGTATCAGCACGAAGATCTCGCCTAAAACGCCACGTTATTGGGGCATCACAATGTATCAGGTCATGGAGTTTAGCAGGCGTTTATCAGGCTGAGTTGCCACTCCATCTGCTTGAAAAGGTATCAAACGTTGAATTGGATGGTGAGGTTTCACGCGAATTAGCTAATTGGGCGCAAAACCGTTAAAAAAATAAACAACTCCGTACAACCGCTATTGATCGATCCGACCTCTATCTGACCGGACCGGTTATATGTGATCGATACCGATCGATACCGGTTGCTTAGTAATATGTACCGGTACCGATCGGATGAATATGATGTTGATCGATACCGGACCGGTATCGGTATCGGTGAAGAATCACGATCGATATCGATCGATTGGTCACTCTGACCTACATGGCGCGGGCGAGGTTAAATGACATCGGCAAATTAGCAAGTAATTACTATAAGTATGAATCTATACTCCGAAACCCACAAGATTCTCGGCCCTGCCGAATTAGCAATGGGGCTGATAAACCACACTATTGAGGATCCACAACAAATAGTGCACAAGGCTGTATTAGAAAGCCTGGAGTAGCCGGAAACTTTCTATATGACAACCGTAAATATGCACATGGCTAGGTTAGATTGCCTGTCAATTACGAGAACTTGCTCAAGAGGCCATCATCTCATGGATATATAAGTACGATTATATTGTAGACAGCCTTCTGTTCAAACGTATCACACCTTTTTCCTCTATAACGGCCACATCAAATCTCTTATATAGGCCCGAATGCCATAACAGACACAAGTTGGGTGGCCATTATCTCGACCAGGTTCTTCATCCAGAGATCTGAGGATACAATTATTATTATTATTATTAAATACGCCGTAGGCTCGAAGCCCCCGGTACCTCTGCTAGTACTCCCGTATGTCAAACCGTGCCCTAATGGCTGGACTAAATACATACGCTGCGTCGTCGGTTCGCCCTATTGGCGACTGCGTTGCGTCCACTACCATACTACGTTGGTTCTCAACCTACCAACAAAGTCCCCCCTGAGAAGATCGATGCTATCTGGGCCTTGAAGCTGTTCGACCCGTCCCTAGCAGCCACCTTACAATAGTCCCACTAACTACTGGTTCTCCTGTTGCCGTTGCGAGGTCTCTGCGAGAGCATAGTGGCCGTGGTGCGATGGCGGCCCGTAATCGTTCCCTCGGTCCTTCCAACAGCCCGCAAAAGAGGATTACGTGCTCTGCCGTCTCAGGGGCGTCGCCACAGCGGCATAGCGGCGAGTACACGCCAAAAGCCCCTATCTTGAATAAGAAGGCTGCTAGTCCTATTTTTTCCGTCCTGATCTGGCACAGCGTAGACGCCTCCAGTCGGTTCAGGCCGAAATACCTGCCCCCTTTCGGTATCTGCATCGAAGGGCCCTCCGGTTCCTCAGCGATAGCGCGTCGCTGGCGATCGTGATGCTCTGCTCCGGTGAGCCATCTCTTCCTCCAGTGGCCGAGGAGGGCAGCCGGGACCTCTTTTTCCTCACTCATCCACTCGGAGCCCCGGGCCTCCTTCTCCATAGTGTACCCTGCCGGTCGGAGTAGCTGCGACGCCTGCTTCCTCTTCGCCGGCCTATCCTGCCGGAGTATATGTGACGCTTTAGCGCTCGCGCTGCGAAGCAGATTTCTCTTCCCGCTAAGCCGTAGCCGTTCTTCAAACTTAGCAGCCCGGGCACTAAGATAGAGGTCTAGTGGCGGGATTGCTGCTTCTGCTTCCAGGTGGCGAACCGGCGTCGCTTTGTGGGCGCCACAGTAAAA